GTTCATCAGGTGCTCTGCTATGGCTGACTTCTCTGGTTGGCTCTGATCAGCATCCTCAAAACTTCAGACCCTATTTCTACAACTAATTCAACACACACTCACAGAAGTGGATATGAACACTTTATTTTATTTTATATTTATTTAATATTTTATTTATTTACAAAAATTACATTACAAAACCACATATATATATATATATATATATATGCAAACACACATATATACACACATATACACACAGAATACACATATACACAGACTGGGCCACAGCAACACATGGCAGGGGATGGCTAGTATTCTATATTATTTTTTGGATTGCATGCACAGTTCTCTGAATTTGACAGTACAGTTCTTGGCTCCGATTGTTCCTTCAGTATTTTCTTTTCCTTTTGGTCTCCCTATGTATATGTATCTAGGTTGTCTTTCTTGTTATTATGTATCTTGAAATTGACTCCAACTTGTGTAAATTTGGGAGGATTGTTTACAAAATTGTGTCTAATGCAGAAGATGGACATGATTTGGGTTCACAAGAGGAAACTGTATAGAAAAATGTGAATTTTATGTATATGGTTAGTTGTGGATATGAACAATTATGTGTAGATGCCAGTTAATCATCTCTGGCTCTTTTATCTTCCTTTTCTGACATTTTTTTCACTATTTGTTTTGCTGGAAGGTTTTTTTTTTTTTTTGGTTTATTTCTTGGTTTTTTTTTTTTTTTTTTTTTTGATTATGAACACACTTATGTTAGATGCCAGTACATACTCTCAGCTCTTTTATCTTCCTTTTGACAAGTCACAGAGACTTACGGGGGGGGGCGGGGTGGGCGGGAGAGTATGAGAAACTGTGCTGTAGCAAGCCATATTCATGCATGCTGAACCGTATCTGATTTAAATACAGTTTAGAGGCATGAGAAGAATTAGTCCACAGGGTGTTCGACATTCAGGCCCTTTCTTGAACTGTGTTGTAGTACACTTGGGATCCCTAGCTCAGGAATGCTGCATTTTTATGCCTGCATTATATTCGGCTTGTTTTAAATAAGGAACTGAGCACGTAAAGCAGTGGTTCCCAACTTTTTTTTTTTTTACCAGGGACCCCTTGACCAGGGACCACTTGGACCAGGGACCACTCTCCAACATTAGTATCAAAAGGGTTATGAATCAGTTTTTGGTCAACTTTAGATTCAGTTTGGTTATTTGGGGTGCTGATTCAGAAAATTGTATTGGATAGACCACATCAGCTCTAGTTTCTGATACAGAATATATGTCATGTTCGTTTGTGGGATTAACAGAACTCAAAAACCACTGGACAATTGACACCAAATTTGGACACAAGACACCTAACAACCCAATGTATGCCCTTCACTCAAAAATTTGATTTTGTCATTTGAAAGTTGTAGTTGCTGGGATTTATAGTTCACCTACAATCAAAGAGCATTCTGAACCCCACCAACGATGGAATTGAACCAAACTTGGCACACAGTTCTCCCATGACAAGAGAAAATACTGGAAGGGTTTGGTGGGCAGTGTCCTTTGGTTTTGGAGTTGTAGTTCACCTACATCCAGAGATCACTGTGGACTCAAGCAATGATGGATCTGGACCAAACTCTACATGAATACTCAATATGCCCAAATGTGAACACTGGTGGAGTTTGGGGAAAAATAGAATCTTGACATTTGGGAGTTGTAGTTGCTGGGATTTATAGTTCACCTACAACCACAGAGCATTCTGAACCCCACCACCTATAGAATTGGGCCAAACTTCCCACACAGAACCCCCATGACCACCAGAGTGGGCCACAGCAAGGTGTGACAGGGGATGGCTAGTAGAACATATGACCCACAGAATATCATATTTAATAATCTAGAGCTGATGTGATCTATCCAATGCCATTTTCTGAATCAGCAACCCAAATAGGGACAGGCCTAAAAACAAAGACACAAATTCGCCCCTGCTTCCAAGTGCCACATGAGGCTCCACTCAGGGAAAGGATGGAAAAGGAAAAGCAGCAGTCAGGAGGTTTGTTGTTTGTTGTTGTGCCTTTCGTGGGCAGTCAGCCTCTCCCCTCCTGACATTCCCATTGCCTTAGCACTATAAGAGGGTTTAATGAGACCAGTCACTCTCGTTGCAACAATCGGGGCGGCTCAACCCATTACGCAAAGTAAGCATTTGCAGTATAGTTGATTTTGCCCAGGGGCGCTCTTGAGGCGTTCTTGGGAGAAAATAGAACTTGACATATGCAAGTTGTAGTTACTGGGATGTATAGTTCACCTAAAATCAAAGAGCATTCTGAACTCCACCAATGATGGAATTGAACCAAATATGGCACACAGAACTCCCACGATGAACAGAAAATATATATCAATGATTGGTTGGGGAGGGGGCACCAAAATACTGTTTGCTTACCTTTGAAAATTACCTAGGGCCGCCTGTGGCAACAATGTAGTAATGGTGAGGCCATGAACCATATTTTAGTTCTTGGGAACCACTGGTGGTTCACAGTCAACCGGTTGGGAACCACTGATGTAAAGTAATACACAAATATCTTTGCCACTTTGTATGGTAGAGAGATGTGTTTAGTTCATGTTTTAATTTTTGTATGCTCTTTTGGGGAAAAAATCACAAAGTTCTGCGCCGAGGAAATTAGCACAAGGGAAACATCAATAGGAATTTAAGAAATTTTTCATTTATAAACAAAAAACATTGTTTCTTGAGATTTCCTATACACATGCACACACACACGCACAAATATGTGTGTGTGTGGAGCCATTTGAGAGTGTGGGTGATAATTCAACAGTGACTGTATCCTAGGCTTTGATTTGGTTAGCAGTTAATAGAAGGAAAGACATAATAGGGCAGTGGCATGACATTTTCTTTGACTCACAATAAATATAACTCTTAGTTTCATTTGCAAAGAAGCAAGCCTGTTTTGGGTTGATCTGCAATGTAGCTCCAAATACTTCAGGCTACTTCTTCTCCTTTGGAGAAGGACTGGCTAATAGTTGAGGAACTCTCTGGAGCAGAACTAGATATGCACCCAATTCTGCAGTTAGTAAGGGAAATTAGCAAATATAGGTGAGAAAATCTATCACATCCTTTCTATCGTTTTGTTCTTCCATCTGCCTCCAACACTATTTCCATGTTGTTTTCACATGCTGTATTCTTTTTAATGACAAAATATTTGGGGATGTATTATTCTAATAGACACATTGATGGATGGTTTTCATTTTCCCATTTCCATAGTCAAACCATTAACACTGGTAGGGATGTGCAAATTTTTTGTTAGTTGTCATAACTTGTATCAAATTCGTTACATTCTTATGATGCGGTATTCAATGCATGAACATGGCCCACGCCAAAAACTGAAGAGTCAAAACTTCCCCATTATTTTTTTTTTAATTTTGTAAATCTTGGACGCCTACCAAAGTCAGTTTCATTTTCAGCACAAGAAAGAAAAGCAAAGACAAAAAGTCTGCCATTCTTCTTTAAATTAATGGCTTCTCAACATTAGGAGAGGGAAGCAGCAGGGAGAAAGCAGAGTTCGCTGGGAAAGAGACTGAGAAAGTATGGAATTCTGGGAAATGTAGTTTGGGAAGCCGAGGAGCCCTATGCCAAAGAATTCAAAAGGCCCTGCCCTAAACTACATTTCCTAGCATTCTGATCAGCATTAGAAAACCCCAATCAGGATAGGGGAGAGATTTGTCCTTCTGTAGCAGCAGACAGCCAGAGTTCCAATAAATTGTTGAATCTGCAAAGAGAAGGACTGACTGATACTTCTAGTACGTAAATTTCTGTGCTGGGATGGGAAGAAAATCATAAATGGAAGTTCTAATATGAGAGACATTCAATGAGATAGCTGTTATGGCTTCTTCTTCTTTTTTTAAGTTTTGTCAAATCTTTTTTAAAATCCCTAAAATCAGTAGATGTATGAATATTTCTGAAAGTTGAGGGGATGATCCCCTGTTACCTTATGTCATTGTATAGAAAATTCAAGGAGATAAGTCTTGTAGGTTTTTTAAAAATGTTATTTATTTTAAAAAATCCCCCAAAATCAGTGGAAACTTTGTGGGCTAACAGTGGTAAATGTGTTCTACCACTGTAGTAAGTTTCACCCCAATAGCTGTACAAATGAGAGAGAAAGGAGTCCCTGAAGTTTCCACACTTTTGCAATTACTGTAACAAAAAAGTAACAAAATTTCATTACTCTCATTATAGTAATGAAAGTTGCACTAATGACACTTTAGAAACACATTAGAAATGAAATGCTGGCACTCCCTAATTTTGTAATAAATTTGGAAACATTTTTTCATTGATCGCAGAGCCCTAGTAGATAGCATGGACTGTAAAAAAGACAAATCAATGTGTCTTACAGCAATCAATGCTGGACTCTTGCTAAAAGCCAAATGGGTAAACCAAAACTCTCATACTTTGGGAATATCATGAGACAATGTATCCTCTAGAAAAGATAATTCTGGAAAAAGTGGAAGACAGCAGAGAAAGTAGGAGACCACGTGGCAAATGGTAAAAGGCATACAAAAGGGTTTCTGAGATATCTCCACCAGTGCCATATACATACTACTATTGCTGATCACTAGCTGTTTGGCACATGTAGTCTGGCTCCTTAACTAAAATGGTATTATTGCTCTAAAATGAGTTATTCTTGGCCAGACCTCTATGGTGTGGTTGCCAATGGTTTCTTCTGAGACTGAGAGAGTGTGACTTGCTCACCCATTGGTTTTTATGGTAAGCAGGGAGGTGAACCTTGGTTTCAACAATCTTATCACATGGGGCAAAAAAAAGTCCTAGGGTTCTTCTGCCCCAGTTCACCCATGGAGCCCTACAGCGCCCACCAGACAATGTAGGATGACTTCTGGTGGGACCCCATTGGTGAACTGGGGTGGCAGCATGGTGAGACACTGCCGCCACCAACACACAAGCTTCTCCATATTCCATAGCAGGGCTTCGGTGAACTCAAGCCACACGGTGACACTTCCTCACGTGTGATGGGGAAGCATCAGCTGGTGGCCAGGGCACTGGGATTGCCCCCCTGCTGCCCCAATGCTGCCCAGATTTGCCAGGGAGGCTGGCAAATCATAAAGCTGGACCTCAACCATGTGAGACCTGGTCCACACAAACCTGCTAATGTATTTATATGTTTGTTTGTTTGTTTGTTTGTTTATCAAAATAAGTCTGTTCTGCCCTTTATTATGAGATCTCAGTGTTGTTGTGCAACAACCTAAACATTTATTTTCAATTGTTTAGGTTGTTTCCAGATTAAAGCCATAATATAATTTTATCAGGATAAAATAGATCCAGTGCATATTGACTGTTTTCTTGAATACACAAATTTTTCCTTTTGTTTTTAGTTGCAAACTGGATCACAACATTCTGAAAGGTGTGGGTTTGGGCACTTAGGTGCCTTCTAGTTTGGCTGTACCTTGAGGAGCTCCATATCTGGTAAGTACAAACAAAAATTCAGGCAATAATTTTCTCTTATTATTATTATTATTATTATTATTATTATTATTATTATATACTGCTTTATCTCTCCCAAAGGAGATTCAAGGATGCTTAACGTAAAAGCATTAGCATACAATTTAAAATATACAAATATGCAAACATTAAAACAGAATTAAATATAAATAGTATTTTCAAAAATCACAGTTTAAAAGCATTAAAATATATTCAATGTTAAAAACTACAGCATTCCCTGAATTGAACCTTCTTAAAAGCCTGTGTGATTTGAAAGGTTTTAGACTGCTGCTGGAAGGACAGCAGGAAGGGGGCCATTCTGACTTCCCCGAGCAAGGAGTTCCAGAGTCCTTAAGCTCAATCGGTGCAAAATATCAAATTGCTCCTGTTACTATATGGCTCTGCTCCCAAACCGAGTAGACTCTTGATCATCCAGTTGGGCTGAATTCAGTTTAACCCTGTTAGATAGTCAACCCTGTATACGTCATTAAGGAGCCACGATGGTGCAATGGGTTAAACCCTTGTGCTGCTGAACTGCTGATCTGAAGGTCGGCTGAACTGCTGACCTGGAGGTCGGCAGTTCAAATCTGTGAGACAGGGTGAGCTCCCATCTATCAGCTCCAGTTCCTACCAACCTAGCAGTTTGAAAACTTGCAAATGTGAATAGATAAATACTAGGTACCGTTTCGGCAGGAATAGGCAAAGAGATGCTCCAAGCAATCTTCCAGGGCCACACAACCAGGAGGTGACAAGTCAGGCTCCTCGGCTTGAAAATAGAAAAAGCACCTCCCCAGAGCTAGAGATGAGTTCCGCCTCCAGAAGCCGGAAATAAAAGGAGAAGCCTCTGCCTTTGTTTGTGTTTGTGTACCCCATTGAATATGACTGTAAACGCATTGAATGTTTGTGTGTGTGTGTAAATGCTATAATCTGCTCTGAGTTCCCTAGGGAAGAAAGGCTGAATATAAATAAAGATTATTATTATTATTATTATTATTATTATTATTATTATTATTATTATTATGAGGGAAAAGCACAATGTACAAATCAATGCACACATTTATAAATGTGCCTAGATTAAATACTATTAATAAGCATCCATGTTGAAGAATGCATACAAAAAGAGGGTAATCTCACAAACAGATGCAAAACAAAATATGAGAAGAACATGCTAGTGGAAGTTGGAAGTGTAGTTTCCAAATTCAAATTGAGTAGCCATTTGAATTCAATTTCTATTGCTTTCCAGACTGGAGAGCTACCAGAATGTTACCTCTGTGGACCTCGTTTGTTCTTCTTTGTAGTAAGTATGCTTCTCATTTCTTCAGAAAAATAGGAATGGTTTCCCAGAATTATGTGTATATACACACCAGGGAAGCATGGCAGTCTACCAGATAAAGCCACCAAATACAAATATTGACTTCCATGAGAGCAGCTTCTACCAACATCGCTTTGCTCCCATATATATGCCCCATTACTTGGGGTATTGTCTGGAGAAGGTTTTCAGCATTATAAAAATATGGGAGGAACGACATATCAGAAAATACGAACACTAGTGCATGTGATATGTTGGATCTAGGCATGTGTTTGTGTATTATATGGGGAAAGAAGAATGGAATGTGTAGAAACTTCATGGGTTTCATTGCAATACTCAATCAGCTGTGATGACCCTCTTTCAGGGCTTCCAAGAAGCTGCAACATGGTGGAGTAAATGGACCTATGTCTAATTCAGTCATTCTCAACCTGTGGGTTCCCAGGTGTTTTGGCCTACAACTCCCAGAAATCCCAGCCAGTTTACCAGCTGTTAAGATTTCTGGGAGTTGAAGGCCAAAACATCTGGGGACCCACAGGTTGAGAACCGCTGGTCTAATTCATCTGAGCTATTCTCACATTGTCAGTAGCAGCTTCCAGGGCAATAGAGTCATACAATCCTAGAATTGCAAGGAACAACAAAGGTCCTCTAGGGTTCTTCCCCAGAGGGATGACATAATTAAAACACTCCTGAAAGACACCCATCCAACATCTGTTTATAGATCTCCAAAGCTGGAGAATCCACCATCTTCTATTCCAGGAAGAAAAAAAATCTTCCTCTCTTTCTATCTCTAATTTAGGAGCCCTTGGTGGTGCAATGGGTAAACCCTTGTGCCAGCAAAACTGCTGACTGACAGGTCGGCAGTTCGAATCCGGGGAGCATGGTGAGCTCCCATCTCAGCTCTAGCTTCCCATGTGGGGACATGAAAGAAGCCTCCCACAAGGATGGTGAAACATCAAACATCCAAAAGTCCCCTGGGCAATGCCCTTGCAGATGGCCAATTCTCTCACACCAGAAAGCAACTTGCAGTTTCTTAAGTCGCTCCTGACATGAAGAAAAAATTCTCCAATTTGTATCTATTCCCATTCTAGTGTCCAGAGCAGCAGAAAACAAGCTCACTCCATGTTTGACATTCCTTCAGATATTCAAAGATAGCTATTACATCACTGTTCAGTTTTTTAAAATAATATATAGGGTGGTTGATTAAGAGTGGAACTGTACAGCATGGATCAAAGGAACAGAAACTAGTCAGACTCCAACTGAGCAGTCTTATGGGTGGCTCTTGAGTCTCCAGACATCCTGGCATGTCAATGGGGCTGTGATAAAAAAAGTATATCTGATAAGTATGGCTCATGAATATTTGACATGCTGCTAGATAAGTACAAGGCCACCAATTCTGTTCCCAGTTATGGGATTTGGGGAGGGTGGGAAGGAGGGGGGGGGGGAGCAAGTACTTTACTTCTTATTCAGTATCCAGCTTGAAGAGCAGATTCCCCACCCCATCCCAAATGCTAATTTTAGTTTGTATTTACATTTTTTTTTTAAAGTSGAGTTAAGTTCACTTTAGTTTTTAAAATYTGGAAGTGGAGGTGGAAGAAGAGAAGGAGAAGTAGGAGAAAGAGGAGGATCTGGATATACCATGGCATGCATGAATCCTTGTTACAGTCACTTTCTGGCTGACCAAGAGGTCAGCAGTTTGAATCCGTGGAGAGCTGGTTGACCTCCCTCTGTCAGCTCCAGCTACCCATGCGGTGACATGAGGGAAGCCTCCCACAAGGATGGTGAAACATTAAACATTCGGGCTTCTCCTGGGCAATGTCTTTGCAGACAGCCAATTCTCTCACACCAGACGTGACTTGCAGTGTCTCAAGTTGCTCCTGATATACAAAAAAATGGTATTCCTCATATGAATTCTCATAAACAGTGTCACATTCAAAAGCAAATTAAAATTCAATCTGTGATTGTTGATTCGATAACCCCTAACTTTCATTTGCAGAATGAAATGAGAAACTGAGAATTTATAGTCTGTTATTTCCTATTAACTTTCAGGTTTTGTGGGGCTTCAGAAGTACTTTTATGAGTTTATTGTCCATTTCTCATTAGCTGTTTGTTTGTTTTCTAGTAATTGTGCCTCCCGTGAACCTTGTTCAGAATTCCTGCAGTGAAACCAAGTGTAGAAGTGGGTACATCTGCAAGATTACTCACAACCAGCCACAGTGCATCCCAGAACATCAGTCTTGCAATACTATGCAGTGCCCTGAGGGGAAAGTATGTGAAATGGTTGATGGCCTGCCAAAGTGTGTTCCTTACCCACCATCTTGTCATCAGGTCCAATGCCAAGAAGGGACAATATGTGATACATCAGATGGCTTTCCTAAATGTGTGCCAACACCAAGGACATGTGCTGCTGTCCAATGCAAAGAAGGCACAACGTGTGTAATAACTAACAATTGGCCTAAATGTGTACCAGCACCTATATCCTGTCAAACCACTCAATGCAACCCAGGAACCACATGCAAGCTCATTAACAGCTTACCCCAATGTGTGCCCACCCAGCTTTCTTGCAGTGAAGTCCAATGCAAAGCTGGTTCTGCATGCAAGATAATTCATGGCCATGCCAAATGTGTCCCGCTTGCAGCATCATGTGGAACCATCTTATGTGAAAAAGGAACCATCTGTGAGATGATTGGTGGCCATCCCAACTGTGTTCCATTGCCATCGTCCTGTCTGTTTGTGGAATGCAAAATTGGGACTGTGTGTAATATTGTTGACGGATGGCCCAAATGCATTCCCAACCCAGTCCCATTATCCTGTGACCAAATTCATTGCAAACAGGGAGCTGTGTGTGAGATACTTAACGGCAAGCCTGTATGCGTTCCCATTCTGCCTTCCTGCCACACAATCCACTGCAAAGAAGGGACCATATGCGAGATCATTGATGATGTCCCCAAGTGTGTTTCTGCCATAGCTTCCTGTGACAGAATCCAGTGTGCAACAGGGACTATCTGCGAAATGGAGAATGAGTGGCCTAAGTGTGTGCCTAGTCCACGTTCCTGCGAAAAATTTAAATGCAAACTGGGGACAGTGTGTAACATTGTAAATGGCTGGCCAACCTGCATTCCAGGTTCACGAACATCTTGCACATCTATTTCTTGCAAAGAGGAGACGGTGTGTGAAATGATTAATGGAACACCAAAGTGCATTCCCCGACCACGTTCCTGTGAACAATTTAAGTGCCGAGAGGGAACTATGTGTGAAATACGAAATGGATGGCCTACTTGTGTGCCTTTGCCATCTTCATGTCAGGAAGTACAGTGTGCTCAGGGCACTAATTGCAAAATTGTTGATGGTTGGCCCAAATGTGTTTCCATCCCTTCCACATGTGACAAGCTGAAATGTAATGTGGGAACTATCTGCAAAATAGTGGATGGGCAACCGAAGTGTGTTTCAGTTCCTCCTTCCTGTGAAAACACCTATTGCGCACTAGGAACAGTTTGTAAAATTGTTGAAGGTTGGCCCACGTGTCATCCTGTCCCAAGCTCTTGTGAAAATTTTAGCTGCAGCATTGGAACCAAGTGTGAGATATATGCCGGAAGACCAAAATGTATTCCTGTCTCACCTTCCTGTGACAACTTCCAATGTACGGAAGGGACAGTTTGTAAAATCAGTAATGGTTGGCCTAAATGTGTTCCCATCCATACACCGGTTTCATGTGAAAAAGTCAACTGCAATGTAGGAACTAAGTGCGAGATATACAGTGACCAGGCAACATGCATTCCCATCTCACCCACTTGTGATAAATTCCATTGCAAAGCTGGCACAGTGTGTCAGATCAGTAATGGTTGGCCTAAATGTATTTCAATTCCCATTCCCATTCCTGCTCCCACATCTGCTCTTACACCAGCCTCTTGTGAAAGAGTGACTTGCAATGTTGGAACGGTATGTGAAATGTACAATGGGAAACCAACGTGTATGATTGTCTCACCCTCTTGTGATAAATTCCATTGCAGTGCTGGAAAGATTTGTCAAATCAGCAATGGTTGGCCCAGATGTGTCCCCATTCCTCTTCCTCTCCCTGTTTCCGCTCCCAATCCTATTCCAGCTTCTTGTGAAAAACTCATTTGCAGTCCAGGAACTAAGTGTGAGATATATAATGGGCAGCCAAAATGTCTTCCCATCTCACCTTCCTGTGACAAATTCCATTGTAATGTTGGAAAAGTTTGTCAAATCAAAAATGGTTGGCCCCAATGTGTTGCTCTTCCTATTCACCCTCCTGCTCCTGCTCCTGCTCCTGCTCCTGCTCCTGCTCCTGCTCCTGCTCCTGCTCCTGCCCCTGCCCCTGCCCCTGCCCCTGCCCCTGCCCCTGCTCCTGCTCCTGCTCTTACTCCAATTCACCCCTCTTGTGCAATGGCCACTTGCAGTGTAGGGACCAAGTGTGAGATATATGATGGGCAGCCAAAATGTCTTCCCATCTCACCTTCCTGTGACAAATTCCATTGTAGTGCTGGGACAGTTTGTCAAATCAAAAATGGTTGGCCCCAATGTGTTCCTGTTCCTATTCACCATCCTGCTCCGGCTCCGGCTCCAGCTCCTGTCCTTATTCCTGCTCCCATCCCGCCCTCTTGTGCAATGGCCACTTGCACTCCAGGAACCAAGTGTGAGATATATGGTGGGCAGCCAAAATGTCTTCCCATCTCACCTTCCTGTAACAAATTCCATTGTAATGTTGGAACAGTTTGTCAAATCAAAAATGGTTGGCCCCAATGTGTTCCTCTTCCTATTCACCCTCCTGCTCCTCTTCCTGTCCCTGCACCCATTCCCATCCCACCCTCTTGTGCAATGGCCACTTGCACTGTAGGAACTAAGTGTGAGATATATGGTGGGCAGCCAAAATGTATTCCCATCTCACCTTCCTGTGACAAATTTCATTGTGATGTTGGAACAGTTTGTCAAATCAAAAATGGTTGGCCCCAATGTGTTCCTGTTCCTATTCCAGTTTCTGTTCGCTTTCTAGCTCACAATCTTGATCTTACTCCAGCCTCTTGTGAAAGGGCCACTTGTCATGTAGGGACCAAGTGTGAGATATATGAAGGTAAGCCAGAATGTCTTCCCATCTCCCCTTCTTGTGACCAAATCCAATGCGAAGTTGGAACAATCTGTCACATTTTTAGTGGCTGGCCTCAGTGTGTTCCCATCCCATCCTCCTGCGGAAATGTCACCTGCAACATAGGGACTTCATGTCAAATGGTTTCTGGTTGGTCCAGGTGTGTTCCCACCCCAAACAATTTGATTCCCTCCTGTGACAACTTACATTGCAAAGAAGGGACTATTTGTGAGATCGTCGGTAGTGTACCAACCTGTGTTCTCATTCCATCTTCATGTGACAGTATTCATTGTCAACAGGGAACAGCATGCCAGAATGTACATGGCAGGCCAACATGTGTTTCGGAATCATCACCTGAATCTTGTGCTTCTGTACTTTGCAATGTGGGAACTGTGTGCCAGCTTGTTAGTGGAAGTCCCCAATGTGTACCCATCCCACCTTCCTGCGAGCAATTCCACTGCAACCCTGGAACTGTCTGTAACTTGGAGAACGGCCAGCCCCAGTGTGTTCCTATAACGGTTTTCTGTGAGACCATCCATTGCCAAAATGGAACTGCATGTCAGGTTGTGAATGGCACTCCCAAATGTGTGCCCACTGCACAATCATGCCATGCAATTCAATGTATGGAGGGAACTAGCTGCAAGATTGTGGATGGCTCACCCAAATGTGTTCCAGGTTTGCCCATCCAACCAATGTGCTGGGCCTCTGGCCAGCCCCATTACCACACCTTCGATGGACGTAGTTATGATTTTCAAGGTACCTGCACGTACACTGTAATTAAGACCTGCACGGCCAGTTCTGGACTACCATTCTTCCACATCTTCACCAAGAGCCAGAAGAGCTCCCCATTATCTCTCATCAGCCAGGTCACCATCACAGTCTACAATTACAATATCTCCATGGTCAAGAACGAATATGGCCTTGTCAGAGTAAGAATCCATTTCTATGTGCTTTTATTATATTTGAGAAAATTATGTTTGCTTGTGTTGGTTCCCAAATAAAAATAGGTGAATATTTGTTGGCGTAGTAATAGCAGCACCGCTAATATTGGAAGTAATAACAACAACAAATTATTCCAGTTGGCAATACTGGCGTTTACAAGCCAGTCACTCCTGTCTCTCTTTTCTGATCCCGTATTATCTGTTTTGTACTGGATTACATGACAGTATGGACTCATATGATGCAGTTCAAATTAAGTAATCTGGGATCGATATAGCAGCGTACCTCCAGCCTTAGGCCCCATCTACACAGCCATATGAAATCCAGGTTATCTGGTTTGAACTGGATTATATGGCAATGCAGTCTCATATGATGCAGTTCAAAGCAAATAATCTGGGATCAGATAGTGGAATATATAGCAGTGTAGCTCCAGCCTTACGCCCCACCTACACAGCCATATAAAATCCAGATAATCTGGTTTGAACTGGATTGTATGGCAATGTAGACTCATATAATCCAGTTCAAATCAGATAATGTGGATTATATGTCAGTATAGACACAGCCATAGTCAGCATTCCAAAGCCACTGTGCTTGCTTGGTCAGTACTGAGCTGTTTAGGAATTTTTCCCTTTTATGTTTTCCTCCCTCAAAGCATTGCCCCTCCCACCCAGACAAGAATACTGCTCCCAATGAAATTTCTAGACATGGGGTATATCTACAGTATACAGCTACAGCATTTTGATACCACTTCATATTCCAGTGGCGCAGTGAGTTAAACTGCTGAGCTGAACTTGCTTACTGAAAAGTTGCAGGTTTGAATTCGGGGAGCGAGGTGAGCTCCTGTTGTTAGCCCCAGCTTCTACCAACCTGTCAGTTTGAAAACATGCAAATGTGGGTAGATCAATAGGTACTGCTCCAGCAGGAAGGTAACGGTGCTCCATGCAGTCATGCCGACCACAGTCATGACCTTGGAGGTGTCTATGGATAATGCCAGCTCTTAAGCTTAGAAATGGAGATGAGCGCCAACCTCCAGAGTTGGACGTGACTGGACTTAATGTCAGGGGAAAACCTTTACCTTTTACCTATGCCATGATTCCATGACTTTTGCATCTATACTCATTTTCTATGCTGGTTGGGGATTCTGGGAGCTATACCCCAAAATCATTGTCCCTTTTTCCCACATAGCAAGGTGCTGAGGATGAGAGAGAACTGTCTTACAGAGCTTAACCCAATCATTTGCAAGGAGCTTTTGAAAATAAGATGCATTATTATCATTTTAGTCCAGTTCTTTCTCAGGATTATTTCATTTTAACTATAAAAAAATGTTCTTTATCTGCCTTTGCACCATCTAGGTCAACCAACTACGCTCCCGCTTACCCCTTAGTTTGCATGATGGGAAACTCTCCCTGTACCACCGAGGAGAACAGTTGGTCATTGAAACCCATTTTGGCCTGAAGGTCTACTACGACTGGAAATATTACCTTGCAGTGAAGGTGACTCCAGCTTTTCAGAACCACATTTGTGGCCTCTGTGGCAATTACAACGGGAACCCTAATGATGACTTTACAACATCCTTGGGAAGCTTGACCACCAATGCTGTCGAATTCGGCAAAAGCTGGAAGGTAGAAGATGGGGACCATGCCTGTAGTCATGGCTGCCACAGCAAATGCAGACGCTGTACTCCAGAGATGGTGAGCAGATACAACGCAGAGACCTTATGCGGCCAGATCACTAAGCACACCGGTGGCCCTTTCCGACCCTGCCATGCTGTGATTGATCCCAAGCCCTATCTGAATGACTGTGTGATTGATTTATGTACCTTTGATGGGTACAAGCAGATCTTGTGCCGAGCATTAAAGACTTACGCTGATGCCTGCCAAAGAGAAGGGGTAAAAATTGCTGACTGGAGGAAACATACTGGCTGCAGTGAGTACAAGGGGGAATTTGTGGAAGTAGGGGTCAAATGAGAAGCACAATCAAGACATTTGGATGGGGGGACTTTCCAAAAGAGAACATATTTTGCAAAGGACTTCTGTATAAATATATAAACAGCTAAGTGCTTCATGTAGATAGAGATTTGGGGCAGTATTCTGTATCAGCTACTTACCATATATAGAATCATAGAGTTAGAAAAGACCTCGTGGGCCATCCAGTCCAACACCTTGCCAAGAAGCAGGAAAATCTCATTCAAAGCACACACACACACACACACACACCCCAACAGATGGCCATCCAGTCTCTGTTTAAAAGCCTCCAAAGAAGGAGCCTCCACCATACTCGGGGACAGAGAGTTCCACTGCTGAACAGCTCTCACAGTCAGGAAATTCTTCCTCATGTTCAGGTGGAATCTCCTTTCCTGTAGTTTGAAGCCATTGTTCCTTAGTCTCCAGGGCAGCAGAAAACAAGGTTGCTCCCTCCTCCCCATGACTTCCCCTCACATATTTATACATGGCCATCATGTCTCCTCTCAGTCTTTTCTTCTTCAGGCTAAACATGCCCAGCTCTTTAAGCCTCCTCATAGGGCTTGTTCTCCAGACCCTTGATCATTTTAGTCGCCCTCCTCTGGACACATTCCAGCTTGTCAATATTTCTTCAATTGTGGTGCCCAGAACTGGACACAATATTCCAGGTGTGGGCTAACCAAGGCAGAATAATAATAATAATAATAATAATAATAATAATAATAATAATATTTAATTCTACCCCGCCACCATCTCCCCAATGGGGACTCAGTGCGGCTTACATGGGGCCAAGCCCAGACAACATAATACAGCAATAAAATCAAAGCATATACAACAACATTATCAAAATGACATTAAAATAATAATAAAATAATAATAGTAATAATAAAAAATAAAAATAAAATACCAATAGACACAATCACAATAGAAATGACAATGGGCGGGCCACATATTCCGAATAAAAACAATTAACAGACTATGATGAGATAAAATAGGAGCAGGAAGTTTAAATGGAACTCATAAAACACACAGAGTTATGGGGCAGAACATCCTATTTGGAGGGCACAAACTCCATAAGCCAAAAACGTTGAGGGGGTATAAAAAATCATACTGAGCACCTACTCGCCAAAGGCACAGCAGAAAAGCCAGAATAGAGGGATAGCATGACTTCCCTGGACCTAGACACTATATTCCTATTTATTCAGGCCAAAATCCCATTGGTTTTTTTGCCGCTGCATGACATTGTTGACTCGTGTTTAACTTGTTGTCCATACGGACTCCAAGATCTCCAATATACTCATGTATAGGTTCAGGGCATGTTTAGAGTCCATTATTATGGATTTTGACCCATAGATAAGACAAGAATAAAACTCAGGAACTCATTACAGAGCTCCTTAGATCTCTTCCACAGAGAGGTGAAAGCACCAGTACTGTCTCAGGGGGCCAAACTGCCCTGCCACTGCCATTTTCTCACCCAAGGCCTTTTGCCACTCTGCTCAGGAGATTGTTCCCTTTTTGACAAAAGATATCATATAACCTCTTATGAAAAAATATTGTGTAGAGACATGCACTCTTAACAAAAATAACCATCCTCTTCTCTCAGTGGAGTGGCGAGAGACAAGAGTTTAGTCTGTCCAGAGAAGACATGAAAGAAGCCATCTCTCAACCACTTTCTCTGCCACAATACCACTTGTGAATGCCTAGGCAGAAAAATGATGGTCCTCAAAGGAGCTGTGCGAGTAGTAGGTGGCAGTGCTTCTTTTAGATTGACTTAGGATACACTAAGTTCTCACCTTTCACCACCCTACATTTTCAGGTTAAAGTTTGAGGATTTGGGCTCAGTCTTGCATGTAACATCACTTGTTCACTTGGTCTGAGGAGAAGGCGATAGGACACGGAAAGCAGGAGAAGAGAGGTGGTGTGTGAGTTTCCAGGGTAGACAAAGGGACTGAGATGGGGGGAGTGGTGGTTTTGTGTTTTTTGCCTATGTTCTCCAGATCCTGTTCAGTGTCCAATCTCACCTACAGACTAGCTAAGGACAACTGAAGGTGGGCGGGCAGTCAAGCAGTGGAGAGAAAACTGACAAAAGACAAGCAACCCAACAGCTCCCCAGGTGCTCCAGAAAGATCTGGAGAGGGTGATAATTGGGTCAGAGCCGACTTTCAAACCAATCCTCCAAGGAGACTGGTTGAGGGCAAAAGGGAGGGAGTAATCAAGACTGGCTTGTGCACCACCAGTAGATGTCTTCCCATCTCAGAACCAAAGGGTGAACTAACAGTGATGGTGACTTTAAATTTGGTGGGTTCCTCATGTGTCCTCAGTTGTCTCCCCAAGGGCACCAGCTGCAGATAGCCATGAGTGGGAAAATGGGTGGCAAACAGTCCGTCTGAGGAGAGCCTATCACAAAAGGGTTACTAACCTTCTCTCCTCATCCTGGTAAGACAGGATAGAGCCAAAAAACCATGGTGGCAGCAAGGAGATTGGATAGTCAGCACTTCTTTTAGGTCCTCCCTGGCTATAATATAATGACAACTTAGTTCATCTGGGTAAAAACAACTGTAAAAGACACATCGATCACGAGCATCCACACATTATTCACTGTGGCAAGGAAGTGCCAAAAAGCATGTACTTGCCAAAAGGGTTTTGTGAATTGTGTGTTTTGAGTTTTTTGTGTTTTTTTTGGGGGGAGGGGGGTTGTTTGTTTGTGGGTATTGGGTTTTTTTGGGGTTTTTTGGTTTTTTTTGCTAGATCAGAAACAGTGCCATGGTGGATAGAGGTACTTAATTGACCCATACATAAGTTCATCCAGGTTGGGGGTTTTGGGAGGACATACAGTTTTGACATATAATAATAGTAATCATCATCATCATAATTTATTTATACCCTGCCACCATCTCCCCAAAGGGGACTTGGGGCTGCTAACATGAGGCCAAGCCCAGAAATACACTACAACAAAATACAATACAAACCAGCAAATATAACATCAAAATAAAATACATGAAATAACAGAATATGAAATAAACAAATGCAAAATAACATGATAAAGAAATAAAAGCACAATGGGCGGGCCAAATGCACAGGATAAAATTGATAAAACTCTGGGTGAGATAAGTAAATGGAGTAAATAAGTAAATGGAGATAAGTAAATGGAGTTAATAAGTAAATGGAAAAATAAGTGTCTGAGGGGGAGCTCAAAAGGGGCAAACAATGGCGTTGAACCTTCATTAAAAATGGGAGAAAGTGTGTCATGAGGACAGAACTGAAGTTGGGACAGACACGATATGGGGGTATGTGTTCACTCGTCAAAAGAACGCCAGAGGAGCCAAGTCTTTAGGTCTTTCTTAAAGGCTGCCAGGGTGGGGACTTGCCTAATCTCACTAGGTAGTGAGTTTTTATGATAGTTAACTAACTTCAATCCCAGCTCCTACAAAATAGACCTTTTTCGTCCTTCTCTTTTCAGCCATAATTTGCCCTGACCATAGTGAATACATGTCCTGTGGCTCAGCTTGTCCTGCCACCTGTAGCGACCTTGATGCACCAAAGAATTGCAAATTGCCATGTGTGGAGACCTGCCAATGCAAGCCAGGCTTTGTATTGGATAGTGGCAAATGCATTTCCAAAGACCGATGTGGTTGTGTCTATCATGGTCAGCTCTATGCACCCAATGAGCGTTTCTGGGGTGACAACCAATGCCATTATCAGTGCATGTGCAGAGCACAAGACAAGAAGGTATTCTGCCATGAGTCCCGTTGCAAAGAGACAGAGGCATGCCATGTGGTCAATGGCATGAGAAAATGTCATCCCACTTTCTATGGGACCTGCACTGCTCTAGGTCAATTACATCATATTACTTTTGATGGCTTGCGCTATGACTTCTACGGGACCTGTTTTTACCGTCTATCTGAACTCTGTCAACACAGCAAAGCCAACTTGACTCACTTCCAAGTGTTGGTTCAGAATGAGAGACAAGGACTCAAGAATCCTTTGGCCTCCAAAGTCATTGAGATCAAAGTCTATGGGGTAGCGGTTACAGTCAGCAAGAACCAAGTCCTGGTGAGTGATCAAATCATGGGAGTTTCTACTATTCTCCTCTTATGTGTTTATGTGTTCACCCTTTCCACCTTATTTCAGGGAATTGAACATTCAGAGGGTGGGGGGAGGAATGAAATAAGGAGCATCAAGGAATAATATTGTGGAACTCTCAAAGTTATTCTGCACACCTCATGTTTTCCTTATGAAAATGATTAAACTCGTGTAAGGATGATATCACAATATTAGTTTTCCTGCTCATTTTTTTTAAAAGAGCAGAACTGATGTGTCTATAAACTAGACCTTGGAAAAGTTACTTTTTTGACTACAATTTCTCCAAGCCCCATAGCCGCAATGAACAGGCACCTGCGTCAATTCTACTCACTTGAATGCCTGCTTTCTACTGGCTGCTATCTTCTCTCGCTTTCCCATCTCAAGATGCACATGGTTCAATATATTGTCGAAGGCTTTCATGGCTGGATTCACTGAGTTGTTGTAGGTTTTTTGGGCTGTATGGCCATGTTCTAGAAGCGTTCTCTCTTGATGTTTCATCTGCATCTGTGGCAGGCATCCTTACAACCTTTGAGGGTGTCTGCCACAGATGCAGGTGAAACACCAGGAGAGAATGCTTCTAGAATATGGCCATACAGTCCGAAAAAGCCACAACAACCCAGCACATGGTTCCTATATCTCTAGCTCTCATGGTGTCCAGGGGAGAAATTGACTGCCAACACCACCTCACTGTGTTTGGCATCCTATTAATAACATAAACAGGCTGGAAAGCACCTAAATATGTTTCTTCTTGGTCATTCCAGAGATTGGTTTTCTTCTCCTCCTTCTGCAATGACTAAAGCTGGGCCTCCCCCCGCCCAACCTCAAAATAGCCCTCATTGTTTATATGTTGCAGTCTCCATCACATAGTAATAAAGTAGCTAGTGGACAGTGGGAGAGAATCAAGAGAATTACCTGGCTATGTGCTCATAGCCAGATGCAGAAGGATTACATTATCCACTAAGATTACTAGAGGAATTCATCAGATCTCAGTGGATGATGTACCATATATACTTGAGTATAAGCCGACTCGAATATAAGCTGAGGCACCTAATTTTATGACAAAAAACCTGGAAAATGTATTGACTCGAATATAAGCTGAGAGTGGGAAATGCAGCAGCTACTGGTGAATTTCAAAATAAAATAGATACCAATAAAGTTTCATTAACTGAGGCATCAGAAGGTTAAATGTTTTTGAATATTTACATAAAACAGTAATTTAAGATAACTGCCCAACTCTGATTAAACCATTATTCCAACCTTCTTCAATGTAAATGTGCTTACGTATCCTTCCAATAATAATAAAGTAAAATAATAAATGTTAATAAAAATAATGATAGAGTAAAATAATGGAAATGTAATAGTAAGAGTAATAATAAAGTAAAATAATAAATGTAATAATAATAATAAATATTGTAAAATAATAAATGTAACAATCATAATGTAGAGAGTAAAAAATAAATATAATAAAAGAATAATAGAGTAAAATAATGTAAATGGAGTAATAATAAATAGAGTAAAATAATAAATGTAATAAAAATAATACTAATAACAGAATAAAATAATAAATACCCTTGACTTGAGTATAAGCCAAAGGGAGCTTTTTCAGCCTTAAAAGGGGGCTGAAAAACTAGGCTTATACTCAAGTATATACAGTAATTGGTCCACATTTAACTGTGGAAACACAACAAGCTTGTCTGAGCTGTTGCCTCTTTCATCAGTTACTGAATGGCCATGGATGGGCTACAGAGGTTAAAACAATGTTGTGGAGTTGAGAAGAGAGACATAGCAAAGTTCCACCTGTGAAACATTTATGTTATACTCTCCCATTCAGGATCATGGTCACTGGATGTCATTGATACGTCAAAAGAAGCTAAGGAGGCAATTTTGGAAGGAGTGCCCACTGAATTTGGCTAAATTTCTGCATTGTCTTCAAATACGTTGTGCCCCCCCCCCCTTCCAATTGAAGCAGGTCTTCTAAGCTTCTTTGCTCAAAACATGTTTCCTGTCTGCAAAAATGCAATTCATGGAATTTATATCCCAAATATATTCCATGAAAATATTGTTTTTTGATCTCTCACCCACTCAACTTTTTTTCCCTCCCAGTTGAATGGCCTCTTGATCAACCTGCCTTATAACATCGAATACGACAAAGTCTCCCTGTATCGCCAGGGCTGGGATGTCGTAATCACAACTGATTTTGGCCTATATGTCACATTTGATGGGAAGAATAATATCCGAATCACAGTACCAGGAACCTATAGGAGTCACCTGTGTGGCTTATGTGGCAATTTCAATGCAAAGGCAGATGATGATATGTTGCAGCCAAATGGAGTGTTGGCGACTAATCCTGCAGATTTTGGAAGAAGTTGGAAGTTTCGAGACATCCCGGGCTGCACTGAGAAGGAGAAGAATGCCTGCCCGGATTTTCAGAACATGGAGCACACACAGAGAACAAGCAAGGAATGTGGCATCCTGTTAGAGAAACAAGGGCCCTTCCGAAGGTGCTATAGCAAGGTGCCACCCGAACTGTACTTCAGAGACTGCGTCTTTGACTATTGTTCCAATAAGGGCAACATAAGTGTAATCTGTCACATTATTTCCTCCTATGCTGCAGCATGCCAAGCAGCTGGTGCTATGGTTGATGAATGGAGATCTGCCCATCTCTGCAGTAAGTTTTTGGGGTTTTTTGTGCTTTATCCATATTTTATTACTATGACGCACAGATTTATTATTTTGCTAAGTTCATGCATGCAGTAGCAATATGTCTATATGAAAAAAAGATGACACAAGTGCAGAAACATGCTTCTTGTGTGACATTAAGAGTTCACAGTAGAATTGTGAAATGCAGAGTGTTAATTAAACACTAGGCTTGTGCGTTTGATGTGGAAATACCCTTGGTTCTGATCTAGTTCGGATGTTTGGCACTTTTGAAGCAAGTTCTGACCTGCCTACTTGCTGCCTTTGCAATATTAAGAATTTGAATCAAAAGAAGCCTTTGATTCTTACAACAACAAAAACAAAACTTTATTTATATATTACTTTATCTCCCCGAGGGGGCTCAGAGTGGTTTTCAGGTAACATCGTCAATGCATACAAAGTAAACGACATAAACATAAAATGAACAAGACAATATAAGCATTAAAAAATCACAATAGCACATATATATTTAAAATAATCCTGCCTGTTCAAGGCAATTGAAAAGGCCGGGCCAAGGCTAGTGCAATTTGTAGAGGGCCCGGGAAATTAGGTGCAATGCTATAGTAGGCAACAACAATAATAGGTAAAGTCTAAGGCTATTTATTTCCGGGGCCTAATAGGAGGAAGTAACCTGGGTAATTGGRAGAAAAAGATATGGCCATATMCAACYGTATTTGGGGCTGAGCTAGAACTAGTCGTTCTCAAAGGCTTGTTTAAATCACCAGGTCTTCAGGCTCTTACGAAAGGAGAGGAGGGATGGGGCCTGTCTTATTTCTCTAGGAAGGGCATTCCAGAGGCGGGGGGCCACCACCGAAAAGGCCCTCTCTCTCTCGTCCCCACCAACGGTGCTTGTGACGATGGTGGGAGCGAAAGGAGGGCCTCCCCGGAAGATCTTAAATTTCGCGCCTCAGAAGTTCGGATGCAACTATGACAGAGCTAAAATTCACAGAACAACCAAGCCCTGCTGAGAGATAAAGCCAAACATATTGGTATGCCTCTCTAGCCAATCTGGGCTGATGGGGGAGGGAAGGGGAGGCAGAAGTAGAGATCACCAAAAAAAAAAAGGTTTTTTTTAAAAAAACTTTGAAAATTCCCAAAAATTCTGTGGATGAGTAAAACATTATGAAACTTGATAGGCAAAGAGTAGAAATTGGGTTCTACCATTGTAGTAAGTTTCACCCCAATAACTTTAAAAATGAGGGAGATAGAAGCCCCATTTATAGTAATTTTATTTTAGCCATATGTCTGCACAAAACTACATTTCCAAGAATGCATTGGGCAGCAAGCAATGGCATTTAGTAAATCTATAATAAATAAAATCACGGAATCTGCAAAGAGGGCTAAAGTAAGTAAATATTATAGTATAAATCTGTGCGGCATTGTAGTTATTTGGTTGTATATTAATTGGAAGCATAGTAATTGGATGTCAGGAGAGTTTGGATTGTGCCTTTCTGCCTGGAATAAGGGGATCAGTCATGGGCAAACTGATCTAGACTCCCTGGGAACAGTTTACAAATTTTGCTGTTCTTATTACAATTATTCAGTCACAAGGATAATCTTGTTTAATTCCTTATATTTATATTTTCCCCTTTATTCTGTAAATTAAGCCTTTCCATTTTGCCTCCCATGACTTTCTGATCTGGCCCATCCTGTAGTAACCTTTCATTTCGCTAATGTGCTGTTCATTTCTTCTTGTGTCCCTTCAGAACCTAACTGTTCAGCAAACAGCCACTATAAAGTTTGTGCCAGCAGTTGCCCTGTGACATGTCGCAGCCTCTTTAACCCGGTTCTCTGTACTACTAAGTGCCATGAGGGATGTGAGTGTGATGAAGGTTTCGTCTTGAGTGGCAACCAGTGTGTTCCCATCTCCCAGTGTGGCTGTGTTCACCAAGGCTTCTACTACAAGGCGGGTGAGACTTTCTACCTCAATGGATTCTGCAAGGAACAATGTGTTTGCCAAGTAGGTGGCATCATGAAATGCCACCGTTCTTCCTGCAGTCCTAATGAAGAGTGCCGTCTAGTGAATGGTGTCCACAAGTGTCAAGGACTTGGCTCTAAAGGCAGTGGAACATGCCATGTGGCTGGCGACCCACACTACATCACCTTTGATGGAACCACGTTTGATCTCCAGAGCAACTGCTCATACATTCTGGCTAAAAGCTGCACTTTCAAGAGTTCTTATCCAGCCTTCTCTGTCAACGTGGAGAATGAGAGGCGATCCAATGGCAAGGTCTCAGTGACAAAAGTTGTGTCAGTCATTGCCCATCAAAACACAATCTCAGTCTTTCGGGAAAAGAGAGGCATTATCCTGGTAAGATTCTGTGGACTGGCTGGACATGTGGAATGTTGTTCTTTGCTTTAAAGGGCAGTTGTTAGATAAACGGAGGAAATAAGGACATTATCCACAGCAACTGGGTAGATGTGTAGTAAAACTGGACAAATCCAGGGAAAGGGAAGTCTGTTGGGAATCAGAGCTGTTAGGCTCAAAAAATAACCCTCACTTATTTATTTCGTACACTTCTATCCCACCCTTCTCACCACAAGGGGGACTCAGGGCAGCCTCACATAGGCATCAATGATGCTTACAACGTATACATCATAAGAATACAATTAGAACAGTAAAAACATCTTAAAACATCAGACAAATCAGCTAATAAACTCATTTAACAATAATATTAGAATGCCAGTAAAACCAAAAATCAAGCTGGGAAATCCAATGTTGCAAATCCAAATTCTTTTCCTATTGTCACTTCCATCTAATCAAATGCCTGGCCACAGAGCCAGGTCTTCAGTTGTCTTCTAAAGGGCAGGAGGGAGGTGGCCAACCTGATCTCCTAAGGGAGGGAGTTCCACAGACGGGGGCCACTGCCGAGAAGGCCCTGTCTCTCGTCCCCACCAACCATGTTTGCAAGACTGGTGGGATCAAGAGCAGAGTCTCTCCTGACAATATTAAGCTTCATAATGGTTCATAGCAGGAGATACGTTCGGACAAGTAAGTATTCTGGGCCAGCACTTTGAATTGTGCCCAGAAGCCAATCGGCAGCCAGTGGAGCTGGCACAACAAAGGAGTAGTACGCTCCCTGTACACCACTCCAGTTAACAACCTGGCTACCGACCATTGGACTAATTGAAGCTTCCAAGAGGTTTTCAAAGGCAGCCCCACGTAGAGAGCATTGCAGTAGTCTATTCGGGATGTAACCAGAGCGTGGACCACCGTGGCCAAGTCAGACTTCCCAAGGAACAGGCACAGCTAGCGCACAAGTTTTAATTGTGCAAAAGCTCTCCTGACCACCGCCAAGACCTGAGGTTCCAGGCTCAGCGTTGCGTCCAGGATCACTCCCAGACTGCAAACCTGTGTCTTCAGGGGGAGTGTAACCTTGTCGAATACAGGCTGTCACCCTATCCCCTGGTCAACCTTTCGACTGACCAGGATTACTTCTGTCTTGTCTGGATTACGTTTCAATCTGTTCGCCCTCATCCAGTCTGACACAGCAGCCAAGCACTGATTCAGGACTTGCACAGCCTCCTTAGTGACAGGTGGGAAGGAGTGATAGAGCTGAACATCATCCGTGTACAGATGACATCTGACCCCAAAACTCTGGATGATCTCTCCCAGCGGCTTCATGTAAATGTTAAACAACATGGGGGACAGAATAGAGCCCTGCGAGGCCCCACAAGTCAATGGTTGTGAGGGCGAGCAGGTGTCCCCCAGCAACACCTTATGAAGTGTGCCAGAAGCACACTTCATAACCAGCAGAAACTTATGTGTGGTGAGCCAGGATAAGCTTCCATTCAACAGGATGGAACAGGATTGCAGAGACAGAACTTTAGGTTCAAAATACTTATTCAAGAAAATAAATCCATTCTAGATAGAAAATGTCTTGGAGTTCACTAGCTCACTAAGCCCATTTTCTAAGGAAGGTAAAAAGAGATAAAAATTCAAAATATCCATACAGCTACAATCCACCAGGAGCAACACAAAACTAAATATCAGAGGTTGCTTTAGTTCTGAACTTAGAAAAGTGCACTGCCATGGGGGGTGGGGTGGGATTCTGGGAGTTGTGGGTTAGAATCCTCTTAGTGGCATAGGCAGACCATGCCTGTACTTTATTGGAGGGGTGGGATTACAGGTGGAGATGTCTTGTGTATCCTTTTGCAACATTCCACACACTGGGTGTAAATTCATCCTGCACCATCAGTGAGTTCCTCTCATGCTCAAGAGAGGATAGAGCAGTATAAAGTGTGAGAACGTGGTGGTCCTTCTTTCAAGGTTTTAGAAGGGCAACGAGAGCACACTTCTGAGCCACTTGATGTTCGAAGCAGAACTTTCCAAAGATCTCCTTTGGAGTATTCAGAGCAGAGGGTGCATGTACCTCTTTGCTTCCCACTAACTCTCAATTTCCATTGCCACAGGTGAATGGAGCAATCACCTTCTTACCTTTTCGACTGGAGGGTGATGGCATGTGGGCGTTCTACCATGGTGACAACATTGTAGTTCAGACGGACTTTGGCTTATTTGTCTCCTTTGACCAACTCTACCATCTAATCGTCAAAGTGCCTAACACATATTATGGCCAGATGTGTGGCTTGTGTGGTAATTATAATGGCAGGCCCCGGGATGATTTATTCCTGCCCAGTGGCCAGCCATCCACAAGCATTTCACACTTTGCAACGTCTTGGAAAGTGGGTGGGGTCCAGGCAGTCTGCAAAGAGGATTGTGCGTCTTCAATCTGTGGGCCTTGCCACGTGAGCCAAAAATCCAGCTATGTCCACACCAGCCAATGCAGCATATTGCAGGCAGAAAACGGACCTTTCTCTGCCTGTTATTCTACTATCAATCCTGCAGTCTTCTACAACCACTGTGTGCATGATCTCTGCAAGGCACGAGGGAACACTGTTATCCTCTGTCGAGCTATCCATGGCTATGTCACTGCTTGCCAAGCTGCTGGCATTCAGATCCAGCCCTGGAGAACCGCAAAATTCTGCCGTAAGTAGTCCCAAGTAAAGGTAAAGGTTTCCCTTTGACGTTAAGGCCAGTCATGTCTGACTCTTTAGGGTGGTGCTCATCTCCATTTTCTAAGCCAAAGAGCTGGCATTTTCCATAGACACCTTCAAGGTCATGTGGCCAGCATGACTGCATGGGCACATGCATGGTGAGTAGTTATTTGTGATTTATTGTCCTTATTTTAGAGTTTTTTAATTCTGGTATCCAGATCTTCAATACCATGCGGCTGTGGACAGGTCTACATAGGGACCACCAAATGCAGCAGCACCCAAACATGAATCAAGGAACATGAAAAGCACTGCAGACTAACTCAACCAGAGAAGTTGGCCATAGCAGAGCATTTGATGAACCAATCTGGACACAGCATATTATTTGAGAACACAGAAATGCTGGACCAATCGTACAACTACCATGTCGACGACACAGAGAAGCCATTGAAATCCACAAACATGAAAATGAACAAAATCTGGCTATGAGTATTTAAAAAACTCTAAAATTAAATAAGTAAATAAAAAGCAACACTCTGAAAACAGGTGAATTTCAGACATGAAACAATCAGGGCCAGCTAAAACCTACCAACAAAGAATTCCCCCAGGCAGGAATCAGCCAGGCTTTGAAACTGCAAGGCTTTGCAATGCTAATCAAGGCGATTAATTGCAACATTCCCACTTGCCTCCATCAAACAAGAGTTCCTTGCTTAGTTTCCAATATACTTCACAACCTCTGAGGATTCCTGCCATAGATGCAGGCAAAACATTAGGAGAGAATGTTTCTGGAATATGGCCATATAGCTGGAAAACTCACAGCAATCCAGTGATTCTGGACATGAAAGCCTTTGACAACACAAGGATGAGAAGGTTCAGGAAAAAGCAGTTTTACAATGGAGAAGAGTGGAACCAATGTGTCCCGTCACCATTTCTATTAGCATTGTTGCACTAGAATACACTTTATTCTCTTAATAACATGAATATTAATTACTAACAATTTTCTTAGAGCCCATGCTTGCATGCAAAAAATTCCAGTTAGGAAAGACACCTCCTTTTGAAAACTTGTAGAACTACCACCAATCATTGTAGCCCAGCCTTCTCCAATCTACTGTTCCACTGGAGTTCAGCTGTCATCCTCAGGCAGCATGGCTGATGATCAAAAATGCTGGGAACTTTTAACACAGTAAATGTGGAAGGTGTCTAGCTGTAATTAATACAAAACTCAACTAGTAGGTTGACTGTTTAAAGCAGGTTCTTATGTTTCTAAAAAGCTATTTCTGTGAGCTTCTTTCATGTAGTAATTACTGTCCCTTAATCTTCCTTGCAGCTATGAAATGCCCGGCCAACAGTCACTATGAACTCTGTACCAGGGCTTGCCCCAGCAGATGCAAAGAAGTGACCAGCATCACCAAGTGTCCCAACCTATGTGCTGAAGGCTGTCAGTGCAATAAGGGTTACTTTTTAGCAGGGTATCATTGTGCTCCCCTCAGCCAGTGCCGGTGCTTCCACAAAGGCATGTGGTTTAAGGCAAGTAACTGTAGGGCATTGTTTTTCCATCCCTATACTGAAAGTTGCCCTGATAGGGAATAGTTGCAGCTGGTTTGAAGTCACTTTCTCCCTCTTGAATTTTTCATCAAAATTGGCAATTGGACAGTGTCTTCCATGGTGCCTGCAGGCAATAGGCTCAATGGAGAATGTAACCATCCAGTTATCCTATTTCGCCTTTGCTGCCACCTTCTAGTATCAAGGTTGGCTCTACCATCAAGACAAATAACTGTGTAATAATCACACTAGAGAGAAAAAATCCACTTCAAATCCGGTTTCTGCTTCTTGCAGAATTCAGGGGTTTGTAGTTTAGTGAGTCTGTTAAAATCTCCTCCCTAAACTACAAACCCCAGAATTCTGCAGGAGGCAGAAATCAGATTTCAATTTGATTTTTTTTCTCTCTAGTGTGATGAGGCAGATGGTGAAATTAGATGTGAATTCATATGCCCTTGTCTACTGCCAACGTTGCTGACCTTGTTCAAGAGTCTCAACATCTAGGATCTCTTCACACGGGGTATTTTTGCACCATTTTGCCACTTTTATGCCTGTCGTGCACTATCACACAATGCATGGCAGGCCATGCCCACATTTCTCCCAAAGTGGGATAGAAACACTGAAAGGCACTTCGTCAACCACTACAGGGAGGAAAGTGTTATTGGGTAGCTCTGACGGACTTACCCTAGTTGGAGCTACCCGCACTTTCATCTTCTTTTTGCCATGTGATGGCAGAAAGGGTGGTGGGGCGACACATGTTGCCGCACATTGCCACCCTTTCTGTCATCTGAGGGGTGAGGGAAAGGGTGCCAACGCACCCTGTCCCGTTCCCACCATGTGATCAAGGGAGCAGGGAGGGTGTGTGGGGCATCACGAGCCGCCCCATGCACCTTCCCTTTAGCAATGTAACCGCACGGGCTGAAAGGGCCATGTGAAAAGATCCTTAGCTATGCTATTGTTCTCAACTCAACTGTTCATTTGTTTTTTGAATAACAGGCTGGTGTAAAGGTAATCACACCCAACTGTATGGAGGAATGCATCTGTCCGACCCAAGGCCGGGTATCGTGCAAACCACTCCCTTGTGCAGCTGGGGAATCCTGTGCCTTGAATAATTCCAAATGGAGTTGTGTTCGGAAGGAAGGCCACTGCACCATTGCACAAGGAAATATCTTCACTTCCTATGATCGTGTCACTGGAAAGATTCCTGTCGAAGGGTCCTATGAAATCTCCATGCTCAATGATGCCAAGTCTCCATCTTGGTTCCGGGTGGTGGTACAGTTGCACAAGTGCCCCCAGTGCCCTACACCCTCGGTTGTCTCTATCACAGTCTACTTCCACAAGTTTGTTGTGCAAGTAAAACAGGATAATACAGTATTGGTAAGAAGCTGAGAACAGGCATTGACAAAACTCATGTTCCAACCCCTGCCTCTTGTTTCCGTGTCTACTTCTTTCTGAAAAGGGTTTCTACTTTTTATGTAGGAGAATACACATTTTGCTAAGTAATCCTAATCAATTTTTAATTAGGTTAAAGGACCTATTTATTTATTTAGATCTGATGAAAGGCACTATTCAGTATTCACTAATTCTTTGTGCTCCCTTAAAGGACCTTTATGTATGTATGTATGTATGCATGTTTGCATGTTTGCATGTATGTATTTATTTAGCTTGATCAGAGAAAAGGCACTATCCACTAATTATTTGTGCTCCAAAAGCTTTCCCCAGGATCTTTCTCCTAAACTCCAGGCACACTAATAGAGCAGTTAAATAGTAAGAGGGAGGGAGGCTACTGAGCAGCAAGGATACAAATATAGTAAATAAATAAATAAATAAATAAATAAATAAATAAATAAGGACTATTTACTCTCCCTATTATATTTCTACATATAGAGCAGTGGTTCTCAACCTGTGTGTCTCCAGATGTTTTGGCCTTCAACTCTCAGAAGTCCTGTTTGTTGTTTATTCATTCTGTTGCTTCCGAGTCTTCGTGACCTCATGGACAAGCACACACCAGAGCTCCCTATTGGCCATCACCACCCCAGCTTCTTCAGAGTCAAGCCAGTCACTTCAAGGATATCATCCATCCATCTTGCCCTTGGTCGGCCCCTCTTCCTTTTTACTTCCATTTTCCCCAGCATCATTGTCTTCTCTAAGCTTTCCTGTCTTCTCATGATGTGGCCAAAGTACTTCATCTTTGCTTCTAATATACTTCCCTCCAACGAGAAGTCGGCCTTTATTCCCTGGATTATGGACTGGTTGGATCTTCTTGCGGTTCAAGGCACTCTCAGAATTTTCCTCCAACACCACAGTTCAAAAGCATCTATCTTCCTTCGCTCAGCCTTCCTTATGGTCCAGCTCTCACATCCATAGGTTACTATGGGGAATATCATTGCTTTAACTATGTGGATCTTCGTTGCCAGTGTGATGTCTCTACTATTCACTATTTTATTGAGATTGGTCATTGCTCTCCTCCCCAGAAGTAAATGTCTCCCGATTTCCTGGCTGCAGTCTGCATCTGAAGTAATCTTCGTGCCTAGAAATACAAAGTCTATCACTCCCAGTTTTCTCCCTCTATTTGCCAGTTATCAATCAGTCCGGTTGCCAGAATCTTGGGGTCTTTTTTTGTTCAACTGCAATCTAGCTGTTGCACTTTCTTCTTTCACCTTGGTTAGAATGCTTCCCAGCTCCTCCTCGCTTTCCGCCATCAAAAATCCCAGAAATCCCAACAGCTGGTTAACTGGCTGGGATTTCTGGGAGTTATAGGCCAAAACATCAGGAGAGCCACAGGTTGAGAACCACTGATGAAGAGCAAAGAGGAACTACAGAATTTCTTCCCTTCATCAGGAGAATTGCAACAGTGAAGAGAGACAGCTCCTGCTGCTCATTCACCATTCACCCTCCTTCCTTTCTCTTCTCAATCTATTTACCAGGGAATTAAAAGGTGGCTGAGCTGCACACATGGTTGTAACCATGCTCTCAAAGAGAACAATAAATTTAGCAGAGGCATTTGTTTGAATCCATGTGTAGGCTAGAATCTTCCTGGGGTGATAACACTGGACTAACTCTTGGCTGTGCAGACAGTTGTATGGTTTAGACCAGTGATTCTCAACCTGGAGTCCCCAGATGTTTTTGGCCTTCAACTCCCAGAAATCCTAACAGCTGGTAAACTGGCTGGGATTTCTGGGAGTTGTAGGCCAAAACACCTGGGGACCCACAGGTTGAGAACCACTGGTTTAGAAATTTTCAGTTCACCTCCATTTCAGTGGTACACTATCTCTCCCACCTCCCCACAACCAGAACAGTCATGAGAATGTCCCCAGAATGGTTTCCACAGTGGGATAACAACTGGAAGGCTACTCCCCCCCCCCCCCCCACACACACACACACTTCTGCCATTGCGACCATAACATCTATCTAAGTGTTCAATAGGGCTTTGTACCTGAACAGCATTAAACAGGCCCTGTGCTACAATCAGACTGACTGATTAAATAAGTGGGATTTGAGTTAGCAATGACTAACTTAAATCATGTTGATTTCTTTGTGTATAGCTTAAATAGTAATAATAACAATAATAGTAACAACAACAACAACAACAACAACAACTTTATTTATATTCCGCTCTATCTCCCCAGAGGGACTTAAGGCAGATTCCAAACATAAAAGGCAAACATTCAATGCCCAAACACAACAACAATACATCCATAGTAATGAAATTTGGCAACCCAACATATAAAAACAAATTATGACTTAATAACTAAAAATACATTTAAAAAACACACCCTGTTATTATCAGACATAAGACAAAACATCAAATAGAAGCATCAATTTCCCAGTTCCTTGGGGGCAAATAGATTGAGCATTGCTCAAGATATCTATTGAGTTGGTGGGGCAAGCAGGGCATGGATATAGATTGTAGCTGTTCATCATAAGTATAATGGTAGTAGATCTAGATCCAGTCATTCACCTCTTATCACTCTTTCACTCACATACCTCTTAGAGCAACTTTGGCTATGTTATTGTGTCCTTAACATCTCTACAGCTGCTTACCTTCTTTTCCTCTTTCCTTGGCTAAATAAATACAACTATCTGTTGGTGTTTCCATATAACTTGCCACTTTGCATTTTGTAGGTCAATGGGAAACCAGTGCAGCTTCCAGCCCAACCTTCAAAAGAGTTGTCACTTACAATGGTCCAGGATGTGGTGAAGGTGTCTTATGGATCAGATGTCCAGGTTCTCTACAGTTCCAAAGGAGAACTAACGATTGTCATTAGTGGAACATTAGCCAACAAAGTGTCCAGATCTTGTGGGAACTTCAATGGTCATGGCTCAGATGACCTGCGGCTACCGGATGGTAGGGTAGCACACACCATCACAGAGGTCATTAGCCAATGGAAAGTCACTACAGCAACAGAAAATGGTATGTCAATACAGAAATTATAGTAATTCAATTTTCCTAACACATGCCCATCTTTGTTCACAGAGGTACCCAATGATAGATGGAACATAGATAATAATAATAATAATAATAATAATAATAATAATAATAATAATAATCTTTATTTATATTCTACCCCAAGGCGACTCAGGGTGGATCACAGAACACATACACAGCAAACATTCAATGTCGTTGAAAGAGCAAGGACAAACAGCCAACAAACATGTTGTGTCAGCATCCAACTTTGGTTCCCTGGAGGTTGTGCTCAATTTCAGCCACAGGAGGGTGCTCTCTCTCCATCCTCTATGACAAAGAGCCATCACAGACTTCCTCCTTCCTTTTGGTTGCTGGCATTTCTAGTATTTCTGGTATTTCCTTTTATGGTGTCGTAAAATACCTCCCCTGCTTTAAGCAGTACCTAATTTTCTCTATTTACAACTCTCGGGCTGTTTCCAAACTGCTTAGGTAGACAGTGAACTGGCCGACAGTCAGGTGCTCACCCCTGTTGTGGTTTGTGTACGCATGCAGGCCAGCAAACAAACCAGCAGAAAACCTAATCCAAAAAGGAGCAACACAAAATAGATGAATGAAAAACTTAAAATTTACTCTTGAGTATCGGAGTCTCAAAAATATGAATACAGGAACTTCAACATAAATAGTCACAATCTTCCTGTAGACACTTACACATAGTCCTTTGCATTACTTCATGCATATACTGTTCATCACAAGAGTATATCTTCTTTCTTGTCCAGAGAAGGCAACAATTACAGTTTCAAAATGGGCTGCAAGTCAAGAGATTCCACCCTGGAGCAAAACTTCAATAAGCCCAGTGTTACATTCCAAACACTTTACAATTATACTCTTAGGGAGTAGCCCAGAACCATTAGCCTTAATTAGCCCAATTACACAATGTGAGGAATGTGATTAATCAAGGTAAAGGTTTTTTTTAAAAAAAAAACACACATGGTAGTGATCCTGTAGGAACTTAGCCCATGTATTTTAATAACCCTGACCCAGTCTTCAAACTGGCAACCTTTCAATTGGTAAGATCTTATTGCTGCTGGTAATTTACCAGCTGTGCTAAAGTCTGGCCCAGATGGTGACAGAGGTAGAGATAAAAATCACTGAATAAACAAACACTTTTGCTACTCATACTAGTGAACAAGGGTACAAATATAAGGTTAAGACTGGGAATATAAAGTTAAGGCTGGATGGCCATCTGTCAGGGGTGCTTTGAATGCAATTTTTCTGCTTCTTGGCAGTGGGTTGGACTGGAAGGCTCATGAGGTCTCTTCCAACTCTATGATGGAAATTAGATTTTCCATTATTTGGTTGCAGGAGCCCCTGTCAGGAAGAACAGGACAGCAAGGTTTCTCCACAGAATTCAAACAAAACATATAAAATAGTCTGGAGGATTTTTCAGTTAATAGAATATGGCACCTACCTAACAGAAGGCAATTTCCCTCCCATTTTACCCAAGCTTTGAGTAGGCCAAATGAGCAAATCATGACAAATTGAAATCCTGTAAATTTCAACTGGTCTGCTCCATATGGCTTCATCTTACAGAATCCTAGGATTTGTAGTTCTATGTGGTTTTATGAAAATTATCTGGCAAAGAATTCGAAATACATAGTGGAATTACATATCGCTGTTCTGTTGAATGGAGCACTAGCATGCAAAGTGATATCAGTGTTCCAACTGCGTGATGTGAAAGAAGTATAAATCTGGACTTCACCAAATGCCTGCATCATCCTGACCCACAATGAACTATGGGTTTATTGTTTCTCCTCCGGAATAAGACAACTTGATATGTAAAATAATGGTTTCTCTTTATTTCATTTTTTTAGATCAATCTAAAATCCATACCTATTGAAGAACAGAATTAAGATCAGCCTTTGGAAATCCAGTATGCATGCCACCTGGACTGGCTAACTTCAGAGACACTTTCTGTTGTAATGAGTCCCAAAAATACAACACAATCCCTCTTGTCCAGCTGAAAGCAAGTGGATCCAACTACTAATGTTCTACAGGTTGAAAACTAAACCCTATTGACAATGTAAATAGTTTAAATATGGAGCGGGCAGCCTGTTGTTTGGAATTAAAATTCCCATAATTCCTGGCCACTAGCAGAGCTGTCTAAGCTATGGCCCAAAACATCTATAGGGCATCAGGTTGCCTTCCCATGGCTTTGTTCTCTAGCTAACCCCAATACTTTGAATTTGCATTGTTGTTTTTTTCAACATAGATTTGCTAGCATACAGATTTGACTCAAAAGTGTCATGTTCCACACACACAAAAAAAAGTCTGAAATGGAATAGCTGCCCCTAGCTTATAGAGTTAAGTCTACCTTAATTAAAGGCATTGAGGCAACAGTAGCTTCATAACAATGTATTGACCTGCATCCAGGCAAAACTCTAGAACTAATAAAATGCTTTTGGTAAAAGGGTTTGTGTTCATGTAAGTCTATCTTTTTTTTTTTAAAGAGGGTTTCCCTCTCTCTGAGGATGATTGTTTACATCAGCATTTCTCAACCTGGGGTTCAGGACCCGGGGGGGGAGGGAGTGTCAAAGGTTCGTCAAAGACCATCAGAAAACACAGTATTTTATGTTGGTCAAGTGGGTTCTGTGTGGGAAGTTTGGTCCAATTCAATCATTGGTAGGGTTTCAAATGCTCTTTGATTGTAGGTGAACTATAAAGCCCAGCAACTACAACTCCCAAATGTCCAGGTCTATTCTCCCCAACCTCCACCAATGTTCACATTTATTTATTTTATTTATTTATTTACTTTACTTGTATACCGCAGTTTCTCAGCCCAACAGGCGACTCAACGCGGTTTACAACAAGGATAAGAATCAATCAACGATATACAATTTAAAACCATAAAAGCATAATATACAATATTGACACAACAATAGACAACACAATGCATCTCATAACTAGAGTCGTGATCCAATCCGTCGTCCAATTTCCATTCCTGTAATCATCACATTCATTGCACTGTTTAACCGAATGCCCGTTCAAACATCCAAGTTTTTAATCTTCTTCGGAACACCATTAGCGAGGGGGCTGATCTTACCTCCATGGGAAGGGCGTTCCACAGCCGAGGGGCCACCACAGAAAAGGCCCTGTCTCTCATCCCCGCCAGCCGCACCTGTGAAGCAGGCGGGATAGAGAGCAGGGCCTCCCCAGAAGATCTTAGGGTCCTGGCGGGCTGATAGGCAGAGATACGTTCGGATAGGTAGCTTGGGCCAGAACCGTTTAGGGCTTTATAGGCCAACGCCAGCACTTTGAATTGAGCCCGGTAGCAAATCGGCAGCCAGTGGAGCTGGTGCAGCAGAGGAGTTGTATGCTCCCTGCGCTCCGCTCCTGTTAGTATCATGGCTGCCGAGCGTTGGACTAGCTGGAGCTTCCGAGCCGTCTTCAAAGGCAACCCCACGTAGAGAGCGTTGCAGTAGTCTAGACGGGATGTAACCAGAGCGTGGACTACCGTGGCCAAGTCAGACTTCCCAAGGTACGGGCGCAGTTGGCGCACAAGTTTTAACTGTGCGAATGCTCCCCTGGTCACCGCCGAAACCTGGGGTTCCAGGCTCAGCGATGAGTCCAGGATCACACCCAAACTGCGAACCTGCGTCTTCAGGGGGAGTGCGACCCCATCCAACACAGGCTGTAACCCTATACCCTGTTCGGCCTTGCGACTGACCAGGAGTACCTCTGTCTTGTCTGGATTCAATTTCAATTTGTTCGCCCCTCATCCAGACCGTCACAGCGGCCAAGCACCGATTCAGGACCTCGACAGCCTCCTTAGTAGCAGGTGGAAAGGAGTGACAGAGTTGGACATCATCCGCGTACAGATGACATCGCACTCCGAAACTCCGGACATTTGGGCATATTGAGTATTCCTGCCAAGTTTGGTCCAGATCCATCATTGTTTGAGTCCACAGTGCTCTCTGGATGTAGGTGAACTACAACTCTAAAACCCAAGATCAATGCCCACCAAACCCTTCCAGTATTTTCTGTTGGTCATGGGAGTTCTGTGTGCCAAGTTTGGTTCAATTTCATCATTGGTGAGTTTCAGAATGCTCTTTGATTGTAGATGAACTATAAATCCCAGCAACTACAACTCCCAAATGACAAAATCAACCCCCCCCCCCCATCCCACCAGTATTCAAATTTGGGCATATCGGGTATTTCTGCCAAATTTGATCCAGTGAATGTAAATACATCCTGCATATCGAATATTTACATTACAATTCAGTTAGCAAAAGTACAGTTATGAAATAGCAACGGAAATAATTTTATGGTTGGGAGTCACCACAGCATGAGGAAAATTACAGTTATGAAATAGCAACAGAAATAATTTTATGGTTGGGGGTCACCGCAACATGAGGAACTGTATTAAGGTGTTTGCCGCATTAGGAAGGTTGAGAAACACTGGTTTACATGATGCTCTTCCAGCTTGAGGAGACACCCAAACATCTGAGTTGAGCAGAAGCAAAGGAAATAATTGAACAGCCAAAAGAGAGGCAAGGAAAGATGAAGAATAAGCAGTTTCCCAGGAGAAGAAAGAAAAAGTAAAGGTGGGATTTTCGGAGTCCTCGGCCTGGGAGAAAGCTTGTTTTGGGATTTCAATGCTTGGAGGCTCTGAGACAGTACACAACCATTACATTTCCCACTCTTTTCCTTCATCAACTCATTTGGTTCACCCTCCACTTCCTGTAACATGAAGAAGGATTCAAAGTTCTCCTTGTATCATGTGAAGGAGGAAAGTAGACAATGAAACCAGTAGAAAAATGAGAGAGGGACTACAGAAGTTCAACAGAACTTCTATAGAAGGATTAGAGGTGTAGCTACAGAGGGCATTGCTCCCTCTACAAACACAAATTTAGGAGACCCTGCCTAGGCAGAGACCAGCCAGACCCAAAAGGAGGTGGCAAGCGCCAAAAAGATTTTTCCCTTATTTTCCCAAATAAAGTCTCACCAAGTTGAAGGAAAGCCACCAAAGCGTTTATTTCACTCCATCTGGAAAGGATGATGATTGCAATAATCTGCCAACAAATCGACATGTCTGCTAGGCAGGTAAATACAGAATATATAGCTTTCAGATTCAAAAGTTTCCAATCCCACCCCCCTGAGCCGACTTCGTTGTGATTGGCTGTGATGTCAGCAAGCCGGGAGGAGATCCAGTGAGGGCCCTGGCCATGCTTTTGGCTGCTCAGCCAATGAGGTGGGAGGGAAGTGGGCAACAGGGTAACAATGAAGAAATGTCCAAGTGACTGGATTACAAATGAGCCATGAGTTGCTAGTTTATGAAAAGGCAGCTTTGCTTCATATTTTCTTATATAGACATACATACATGTAGGGAATGAGGAATGGGGCATGGGAGCATACACAGAGTTCATAGGGACAAAATCCTCCCTCCCAACCTAGTGTCATGGCTCAAACACATCTTACTAAAGAAAGGAAAAGAGAAAGAACAAGGAAAAAATAGAGAAAGGAAAGGAAAGGAGGGCATGCTTGATAGGTATTTTGTGATTGTTGAAAAATAGAGTTTGTGGGTTTTATTATCATTCAAAGAGGTCTGTCATTGCCTTGTTTTGAATCTGAGAGAATGGGACTTGGGCAAGGTAGGCTTCCATGACTGACTGGGGATTCGAAACCTAGCCTCCAATCAAAGTCCAAAGCTCAAGCTGCTACATCATGCTGGCTCCCACTCACACATCCATACAGGATAAGAAAATATGTGTCCAGTCTTGGAAACTTCATCATTTTGTAGGATGTCAGATTAAGTTATTAGTGCATCAAAATGCAATAGATCATATCTAGCATTCCTATGAAAGAGGTAAGATGAACTCTAACCAGTGTAACGCATGCAGGGGTGTGGTGAATCTTACCTGGTAGGCCGGAAAGGGAGCCTGGATAACAGTAAGGCAGGCCTCCATTTTGGGAGGGAATGCCAGGGAGGCAGCCATCATGAGTGAGGATAGTTGGAAAAGGGGAGGAGTTGGGAGACTCCTAGGATTGGTCAGAGCAGTTGGGAGGAGCCAAGTCGGAGGGGGAAAAGAATGTAGCTTCAGGGGGTTTTAAAACTGGGTTTTTCAGAGAGAGACAGCTAGGCGAGAGAGTGTCTGTGTTAGAGCCGTAGCAAACTAGGATTTTGCGAGAGCAAACTAAGCCAGCACGAGTGATGCTCCGCCTCTTTCTCCGCCTATTTCCCTTTGCTAGGGCAGCGTTGCGAGCATACGCTCGTGCCGCAGCAAACTACAGGAAGCTTGCGCTCGGGCTTGCTCCGAAGCCCCGCCTTTTTCCCCCCCGAGGTTGCTCTCTCTTTCTAGCGTGCCTGTTTTCCATTGCAGAGGGCAGGGATGCGAGCGTACGCTCACAGTTGAATTCTGCCAACTGCGAGAGTACACTCGCATCGCTTCCCTAGCAAGGGAAAACAGGCACACTAGCAAGAGAGAGAGCAGCCTTGGGGGAAAAAAGGCGGGGCTTCGGAGCGAGCTCGAGCACAAGCTCGCTCTCGCTTCCAGTAGTTTGCTACGGCTCTTAGACAGTGCTGTGAGCTGACAGGAAAAAGGTCAGACAGCAGTCTGATCTCTTGTGAGGGTTAGCACAAGAGATTGGCTCTCCAGGCTGGGTTGGTTAACAGGAAGAACTCTAGGGTAGAGTTAGTTAATAACCCAGGGGCTACCTAGATAGACTAGTCAGACTCATCACTATTCTCTGAAATAGAGCGAGGGTTTTGTTACCAACAGTTAGTTCTGTTTGGTTAGCTCTGTCTAGAACAAAGTGAAGAGAACTGTTCAAGCAACCAATCAAGCTGAAGTACTTTTGTAACAAGTCACGCTTTTTGTACCTCTCACGAGTGGTTAGTTGTCTGTTTTAAAAATAAATCCTATTCTAATTTACTTTCAACTTGACGGACCGCCTCATCCCCTACCAACCCCAGAGATCCCTCCATTCTGAGGACCAAGATCTATTGGAAATTCCCAGTGTCAAGACCTTGCGTCTAACAGCAACCAGACGCAGAGCCTTTACAGCAGTGGCACCATCACTCTGGAATACTCTGCCACCTGAAGTCTGTGCCTTGCGGGACTTATCAGCTTTCCGCAGGGCATGTAAGACATATCTGTTTCGACAGGCCTTTGATTTTTGATATTGCCGTTTTTAAATTGTTTTAAATTGTTTTTAAATTGTGTTAGATTTTAGCCATTCTTGTAAGCCGCTCCGAGCCCCAGGGGAGTGGCGGCATATAAGTTCGAAAAATAAATAAATAAATAAACAAAGTCTCTACTGTACATCATTCCATCGTCAAGCTTTTGGGATAGTTCCAGCAATTTTAACACCCTGTTGCTACAGAAAAGCCTCTCAACAAACAGTTGTGTGCCTTCCCAGAATAAGGAAACTCCCAGCAATATGTCCCTAAACGCACTTTAATAATGATTAAAGATTGTCTGCACATTTCTTCCCTCTCCAAAAACTTATATCCCAGTTACATGTCACCTTGTCTCCCAGCATTATTTTTAAAAAAATTTAATTATTACATTTGGCCCAGCCATAGGTTTTAAATGCGTCGTGTTACTGTTAATGTTTATTGCTTATTTTTGCTTATGAGTTTCTTTATTGTTTTGTATTATTGTTGTTATTGTTTATTGTTGTATTCTGGGCTCGGCCTCATGTAAGCTGCACCAAGTCCCTTGCGGAGATGGTAGCGGGGTACAAATAAAGTTGTTGTTGTGGTTGTAGTTGTTGTTGTGGTTGTTGTCGTTTGGGAGCCAAGGATAAGAGCAGTGTTGGCAGGAGTGGGAAAAGTTCACCTCAAATACTTTTTTTTGAAAATCCTAAAACACCTTAGGTTGGTGGCAGCTTTCATGCAAAAGAAAGTTTAAAGACAAGCAGTGTTCACTTCACCATAACACATATCCATCATCGTCTCGCTATCATATTGGAGGCACAGGGGTGGGATTTTTCTTTTTTTTTTTAAGGAAAGGAAAACCTCTGGGAAGATCCATCCTGCCCGGACATAGTATTAATAAGTCTCCAGCCTCGTGTCTTTTGTTATAAGGGGCAAATACAAACTTAATTAGTTGCACACAGAGACAGAGGTTTGATGAAAAATGTTTTTATTTTAACTCAGAATTCAGATCAAGCAAAATCAGAAGAGTTTATAAGCGATTTCCTGTTATAAGCCCACCTCACCATACACTCATCTGAAATCTCAAACAGGAAGATATTAACAAATTGGTTTTCTAACAAGGATTAAATCCACACGTAAAAATGAAGTCCGTTTCTGAGGTCGATATATTCCATGACGTCAATTTTAACAATTTCCATAAAATATCATCTCTCTTAAAATTTGTGCAAAAGAGTCTTTCCCACGAGAAATCCCATAAATCTGGAGATGATATGGCAATGATTTTCCAGGGCTTACGTGCGTTATTTCCCCATTTCCCCTCACACTTTAGGAGCATTTCAGCAGAGCTTTCAGTTTACCAAGTGAATCTTCTTTCATTCCAGACTGGGGTGAGAAAAAAAAGAGAAAAACCAGTTAGAGCATTCATACAATTAGCAACTATGTCAGATTTTCTAAATGGTGTAAAGAGAGGGCTGATCCAAATTGGTTTCCCAGCATTGTGAGGATGGGTAGTATGGTTGGGGGCTGAACATTATTTATTTAGTTATTTATTTATTTATTTATTTATTTGCAGTATTTATATTCCACCCTTCGCACCCCACAGAGGACTCAGGGCGGATTATAATGTACATATACATGGCAAACATTCAAGGCCATAGACACACAACATATATAGATAGACACTCAGAGGCTATTTAACATTCCAGCTTTTCATGAGAGTATTCTAGCCACCAGGGAGCTGTTGCTTCACTGTCCATTTGTGACACTGATGAAGTACTTCCTCATTCTTTGTATGCTTGCTGGAGATTTTTATGGCCTTATAAATTAGTTAAATTTGCCTCTCCGCATAAGCAGTACCTAAATTTCCTACTTGACAGATGCAACTGTCTTTCGGGCTGCAAAGGTCAACAGCAAGCTACACAAATCGGTCGGAAGCTCACTCCGACCGGGGCTGGCCTTGAACTCATGACCTTCTGGTTACTAGTGATCTTAATGCAGCTGACTCCCAGCCAGCTGCGCCACAGTCCCAGTGCATCTGTCACATACGGCAATTGTTGCATGTCCTGGACTTAGAGATGAGCAAAATTGCCCATCTGTCTGAGGATTATTTCAGGGTGATATTTGTCAGGTAGAAAATTCTGTATTAGATAGAAATGCATTGCATGTAACTCCATTGTGTGAAACATACCATTCTAATGGACATGTGGTCACAGCACACTCCATTGAAAGGGTTAAGAAAGTGGAGATGTGGAACCTAGAGGGACAGCTGAGTCATGACCATGTGACAGGCATGATAAAAATGGCACCATTTCCTGTTGCCATTCCAGGTATATAAGGAAGTGGCAGACATGTGCAGATTCTCTTTGCCATGTGCCACTTTTCTCCCTTTGCCATCCTTGCCATCTGGAACTCATTGGATTATTGTATCTGTGATTTGTTGTTATCTTGTTACGTGCGTGTCTTGCTATGGTCATCTTGCTATGGTTGTGAGTATATCTATGTATATATTTTATTTATTTATTTATTTATTTCGTACATTTGTGCCCCATCCTTCTCAGCCCCGAGGGGGGGGGGACTCAAGGTGGCTTCACAACAAGCACTTGTTCAGTGCCATCCACATTCATAAAGCATGTGTAGTGATCCATTCCGGGAGGGAGAGCTGAAGGGGAGCAGGCCCTTTAATAATATTTGACTACATTTAAAACAATTCATTAAAACATTACATTAATAAGGCATGTTTTTGAAATTACACAGGTTTAAAATCCAAGTTTGGGTTAGTCTACTGTCATTCTTATCACGAGTCTTATTCTCGATTGCTGCCTCTATCGTTCAAACACTTGGTCCCATAACCAGGTTTTGAGTTTCCTTCTAAAGGAAAGGAGGGAGATAGCCAATCTGACATCACTGGGGAGAGAGTTCCACAGGCGAGGAGCCTCCACTGAGAAGGCCCTGTCTCTCATCCCCACCAGTCGCATTTGCGATGATTGTGGGATTGAGAGCAGGGCCTCTCCAGCTGATCTTAAACTCTGTAATGGTTTGTAATGGGAGATACGTTTGATCAGGTAATCTGGGCTGGTAATCTGCTCTATATACTGATAGCAGACCTGTAAATAGCTGTATATAGAACAATGACTGAAAAATAAAAACCTCCAAAGGAGTTTGATGAAGGCCAGAGCTCAAATGTGCTTATTAAAGCAGTGAGCCATAAAACAAGGTCAAAGGCTGAACTATATATCACTGCTAAGTGTTTTGGATCAAATCCTAACTGCTTGCCTTGAGAGACATTAAGTTCCAAGTGCAGATGGAGGAGGACCTGAGAGGATTGATTCACATACCTACTCGCACAGGTCTTTTGTGTGTTTACCTGAACCCTGCGCAGACAATATTCACCTCCAAATGTGAGGATGTTTCATTGGCGACAGAACTAAGACCATTATCTTTAAGCAATAACTTCTTAACATTCCCATCCCCCACTCAATGTCTCATGGAGTGATGCTACTTGAAACTATCATTCAAATGATATCATAGTACACAACTGAATCAGGCTAGTCCATAAACCATTGGCAACCTATTCAGGACAATTTTCCAGGAAAGAAAGAAAAAAACATTTGTAGTCTGTTAATGTAAGATTAGTGTAATGTGAATGTTTAAATGTAATTTTGTGCAATGCCTGTGAATGTAACCTGATTGCATTACCATCCGCCGGGAAGTAGCAGCCAATAGTGAAAGGACCAAGGCAGAGACATCTCCAGCTCATCCCCTGTTTGGGTATCAGCCAGCACGTCAACGACTTAAATCTAGAAATAGTTTTCTAAGATCTACAGAGACACTCGCTGGAACACCTCAGCAAGCGAGAGTCCAAAAGTGCAGGCTCAAACCCAGAACCTCAACCAATGGCTGATACCAAATGAGAGACTCCCTCCTGGGCACACAGAAGACTGGGCGACTTGGAAGGCACTGAACAGACTGCGCTCTGGCACCACGAGATGCAGAGCCAACCTTCAGAAATGGGGCTACAAAGTGGAATCCTCGACATGCGAGTGTGGAGAAGAGCAAACCACTGACCACTTGCTGCAATGCAACCTGAGCCCTCCTACATGCACCATGGAGGACCTTCTTGCAGCAACACCAGAAGCACTCCAAGTGGCCAGATACTGGTCAAAGGACATTTAATCAACTACCAAACTCACAAATTTTGTATTTTGTCTGTTTGTTTGCTTTGTTCTGTTAGAAATGTAATATAATCGACTGGTTGCCTTGACACGATAAATAAATAAAATATTACCAAAGAGTGTATTGACACTGAAAGGGTTAATCAGTCAAGCCTCTAATGAACTGTGAAGATGTGACCCTGAGTTTGCCTGGAACGCGTAGGGAGGATCCAGAGATAAGGTTTCGTTCGTCCTTCTTACTTCGGTGTGTTTTTTTTGTATTGTTCCTGTCTGTTTGGTTGGATGTAAATGCAAATGTGTGCTGTATATTTGCTCTACTCAGTAAAGCTAAATGTTTGCTTTTACTGAAGTCTCAAAGTGTCCATTCTTCTAAGCTTCAAAGCTTCTGTCGCACTCTGACATAGTCAACAGGCAAAAATATTGTCCATGGTGAGGCAGAGAAGAATTATATAGGCTGAATAACCTTGATTTATATCATGGAATCATTTACCAGGATGCTTTGCATGTTATAGTACAATATAGTAATATATAATATTAATATTGTGCTATGGTAATAATATAATATATTGAATTTACATATTACTTGTAAGCCGCTCTGGGTCCCCTTTGGGGCGAGAAGGGCGGCATATAAATGTCGTAAATTATAAATAAATAATAGATAAATGGGATCAGATCCAGCAATGCCACCAAGGAGATTCTGAGCTCCAAACCATGCAGTGAAACTTGCCCTCCCCTTTCACCTCTCCTCTTCTTCCTGAAAATGGATCTATTTTTGCTACAGCAGGACTGGGAAACACATGGCTTTCATGCTGATGGTGGGCCGTAATACCATCAGCCCTTTCAATACAGTGAAACAGGGATGATGGGACTCACCATGTAGCAACATCTGAGGAACTGCACATCCTTTGTGCTTATGCTAAGATTATTTTAAGAACATGGAAAAAATAAAGCTCAATTCTCATTTCTACATTATACAGCAAAGTAATTTGTTATTTTTCAAAACCATTTCAACATTTAACATCCTTAGGGATGTTTAAGTATTGATTATTTAGGGAAGGGGCATCTGTGCGGACAGATAATCGAAAGCTAACTTACCAGAGAGTGAAATCTTTGGCTATCCAAGATATCATCAGCTCAGGCACATTCTGGACATCCACTCCACCTGGACCCTTCAGATCATCGATTTGATTATGATTGAAGTTTCCACATGCTCCACATACTCTCCCTGATAAACTGGGGTTGACAGTCACCTGTACTTCTCCAGTGGAGCTCAGGGACACTTTAACTTGTGGTGACTGCAGGAGGAGAGTGTTGCCAGCCAGGCTAAGTGTTACTTCGCCAGGAGCTGTGTATGGGATCGGAACAGGCAGTCCATTCACCTACAAGAGAGAAACAAGAAAGCCAGGGCCAATTGAGCTTTAAAAGAAAGGAGAAACCCACACAGTGAATAAGGAAACATAATAATAACTTTGTATTGTCAAAAGTTTTCATGGCCAGAATCACTGGGTTGTTGTGAGTTTTCCGGGCTGTATGGCCATGTTCCAGAAGCATTCTCTCCTGATGTTTCGCCCACATCTATGGCACGCATCCTCAGAGGTTGTGAGGTCTGTTGGAAACTAGGAAAATTGGGTTTATATATATCTGTGGAATGTCCGGGGTGGGAGAAAGAATTCTTCTCTGTTGGAGCTAGGTGTGAATGTTGTAATTGGCCACCTTGTTCCTATTTTGGTCACCTCCCAACAAAGGATTCCCCCGGGGAGTAAGAAGCCACACCTTGAAACTACTAGGGCAGTAAATGCTAATCAAGGTGGCCAATTGCAACATTGATACCTACCTCAAACAGACAAGAGTTCACTGGAATTTTTAGGTGTGTTTTGAAGTTTTTTCCCCTTTGTTTTCCTTCAATAAGAATAGAAAAGAATGAAAGTATGGATGTTGAAAATGTCACTGTCTGAGAGTTCTAGTGTTTTTGGTTTGTTTGTTTGTTTGTTTTGGATGAGTTAGGAGTTAATTTGGACCTATTCCCAAGAAGTTACATTCACAGGCAGTTATCAAAATCCCAGCACTGGCTCAGCATCCACTGGGCATGGTAATTTTGTATTTCTTTTCCTTTTATTTTCAGCTATGCAAAATTACAAATATAGTGTATCGGGAACAGTATATTTTGTGCCAAAAATATGTCTTTTGTAAAAAAAACTGTAGAAATTACTTTAGTCCAGTGGTTCTCAACCTTCCTAATGCCGTGACTCTTTAATACAGACCCCCAACCATAATATTATTTTCGTTGCTACTTCATAACTGGAATTTTGCTACTTTTATGAATCAGAATGTAAATATCTGATATTTAGGATGCATTTTCATTCACTGGACCAAATTTACTGGTGGGATTGGGGGGGATTGATTTTGTCATTTGGAAGTTGTAGTTGCTGGGATTTATAGTTCACCAATCAAAGAGCCTTTTGAACTCCACCAATGATGGAAGTAAACCAAACTTGGAACACAGAACTCCCATGACCAAGAGAAAATACTGGATGTTTTGGTGGGCATTGATCTTGAATTTTGGAGTTGTAGTTCACCTACATCCAAAGAGCACAGTGGACTCAAACAACGATGGACCTGGATCAAACTTGATAAGAATACTCAATATGCCCAAATGTGAGTTTGGGGAAAATAGACCTTAACATTTGCTGGGATTTACAAAATCAAAGAGGATTCTGAACCCTACCAATGATAGAAATGGGCCAAACATCCCACACAGAACCCCCATAACCAACAGAAAATACTGTGTTTTCGGATGGTCCTTGGCGACCCCTCTGACACCCCCTCACAACCCCCCAGGGTCCTGAGACCCAGGTTGAGAAACACTGCTTTAGTACAATCATTAATGGAGCTATCCTAGGTCCTGAACCCTAGCCTCTAAATTGGGTTATCTTTTCATATATATTACACAATCAATTCCAATTTCGGGTCAGTAAACAACACAACTGTCTAATTGGAGGATGTCATGCACAGTGTCCTACCTAAACAAGCTGAAACTAGTCCATGAGGAGTTAGAAGACAGAAAATACATGCCAGAATATATATTTTGAAACCTTATTTTCTTTTGTCGGTTTTCCACTTACCCAAATTTCATTGTGTCCATTTACACTTATAAATAAGTCCTTGAAGAAGGCATGGAGCAATGTGGGGGCAACAGTTCCAATAGGCTGGCAAGAGGCAACTCCTACAACCACTCGGAACCAATCCTCAGAGCTGGGATCACAAATGGAAACCAACTGGTAGGAGCCAGGAGTAGGAACATCCCCAAAAAGACCATCAAATGTAGAGAGGTGAGCCCCTGGCATCAGTGTGCAGTGACCCTCTGTCGAAAAGCAGCCATGGACCCCATCTGTCAGCTCACACACTTCCTCAGCAGCACAGTCATTGGTTGTGCATATCACTGAGCCATCGGTTTGGCAAGTGCAGCGTGTCTTGCAGTCAGAAGAAAGATAACTCTCTCCTTGCTACAAAGAGGAGGAGAAACAGGAAACAGCTAGTTACATGAAGAAATATACAGTTGGCCTTCTGCATCCATGGATTCTGTGCCCAGGATTCAGCCATATATATATAGTCTTGATTTTGTCATTCTATATACATCTTACTATACCACCGTATAGTAAGCCCCCGGTGGCGCAGTGGGTTAAAGCACTGAGCTGCTGAGCTTGTTGATTGAAAGGTCGCAGGTTCGTTTCCGGGGAGCGGCATGAGCTTCCGCTGTCAGCCCTAGCTTCTGCCAACCTAGCAGTTCAAAAACATACAAATGTGAGTAGATCAATAGGTACCGCTCCGGCGGGAAGGTAACGGCACTCCATGCAGTCATGCCGGCCACATGACCTTGGAGGTATCTACGGACAACGCTGGCTCTTCGGCTTAGAAATGGAGATGAGCACCACACCCCAGAGTCAGGCATGACTGGACTTAATGTCAGGGGAAAACCTTTACCTTTACCTATACCACCGTATATAATAGTAGTAAAGTACCCGCAGATGATGGCATCCACAGGGACCTCTGGAATCAAATCCCAGTGGATACCACTAGCTCACTATACCAAATTCAGCAACTAGAAAAACAACAATTCTGCAAAGAAGGAACAATATGCAGTTTGGTTTTGTCTAACTTGCATAATAACAAGGCGTAGTTTTGAGGGGAAAGGGGTTATTTTGCACACAAATAGGAATAGCATTTGTGGCTTAATTAGCACAAGACTGAAAAAGGTGCCACGGCAGTTTAATGGCCACTATGACAAAAGGAAAGGGTAGCTGATTACAGTAGAGTCTCGCTTATCCAACATAAATAGGCCGGCAGAATATAGGATAAGTGAAAATGTTGGATAATAAGGAGGGATTAAGGAAAAGCCTATTAAACATTGAATTACAATATGCTTTTACAAATTAAGCAACAAAACATCATGTTTTACAACAAATTGACAGAAAAAGCAGTTCAATACATTGTAATGTTATGTAGTAATTCCTGTATTTACAAATTTTGCACCAAAACATTGCAATGTACTGAAACAGCTGTGGATCTGGGCGGGAGGCAGACTGCGTTGGATAATACAGAACGTTGGATGGGCAAAGGTTGGATAAGCAAGGCTCTACTGTATTTGTAAGAGCACTGAGGTTTGTAGAACTACAAATGAACTCTCTCTATGTCTGTGTGTGTGTGTGTGTGTGTGTAGAGAGAGAGAGAGAGATTGTTAAGTGCTGGTGGTGGTGGGGGTTGTGCTAATGCATTTTACAGTTTGTTTTTAATTTTCAAGCTGAAGGGATAGAAGATCATTTGGTATTTTTCCAAAGAACCTTCCAAATATTAACCAGTGCTGCAGAATACAACCTTTATTTACAGCTCAGTTCTTCATATGAGATTGAGATGTCATTTCAGTTATTTACGTATATATTGCTCTTCTATTTCCATGTTGCACAATGATCTATGAGCAGAAGAGTGGAGGAGTTCTCTCTTTAACAATAAATTCAATTTTGTTGTGTCAGGAGTGATTTGAGAAACTGCAAGTCGCTTCTGGTGCAAGAGAAATGGCTGTCTGCAAGGATATTGCCCAGGGGATGGCCAATGTTTTACTGTCCTGTGTGAGGCTTCTCTCATGTCCCTTCATGGGAAGCTGGAGCTGACAGACAGGAGCTCAACCCACTCACAACATTTAAACCACCGATCTTTTGGTCAGCAGTCCTGCCAGCACAAGGCTTTAACCCATTGCACCACCGGGAGCTCCTACTAAATCTATATAGTCGGTCCCAACAGGAGTAAAACTGAAATGACCCCCAATATGGGGGAGGGGATTGGAATTTTTGCAAAGCATAAACCATCCCACACTGTAGACTATAATCAAATAATTCTAATAGCTAATGCAGAAGCATTCCAAGACTAAAAAGCTTCTGTAAGTACAACCTAACAACATCTACAGCCCCAATATAGCCTTCTTCACATACCGGGAGGCACCTGTTGTTTTGAAAGCAGCCACAATTGTCCAAGGGAACACACTTGAGGCCATCAAAGAAGAACCCGTCGTCGCATTGGCAACCTTCTGCACAGCTCTCTGGGCACTTATGGCGATCCGTGAGTCTTGCACAGTTTGATTCGCAGTAGTTAGAGCAGATCCTATAATGGCTGTTGGGTGGACAAGTCGTGGCTGTAGGAGAAACGAGAAAGGAGATTAATGACTGCAGGTAGGAAGGAACTCAAAATAACAGAGAATTGTGTCATCCTGTTTGGGGTGGTGGCATGTGGTGTCGACCAGAGCAGGACAGCTTTTGTGGCCATATGATGTGGTGTGCTGAACACCAGCCAATTTACCCAACATCTCATTCTTTCTCGAGGTGGAGTCTTCAGTAACAAGCATAGGAACCATTCCCTTAGGGATCGTTGTAGCCCACCTCCCCAGATTTTCAGCCTCATGGTACCTCTGTTTGAACAGAATTTGTGTAATGGAGGTAACAACTACACTGAGAAAACTACCCTCTTTAAATATGTACTCCAAGGGCTGTCACAGAAGGGAGGGGGAAGGTTTGTTTTTTGCTGCCTCAGAGCATAGAACTAGCTCTAACAGTTTTAGTTACAGAAGGTTAGGTTTCAACTAAACAGTAGAAGGAACTTCTCGACAGTGAGAACAGTCCAGCAATGGAAGCAATTGCCAAGGGCGGTGATGTACCGCATTGAATATAAGCCGACCTGAATATAAGCCGAGGCATCTAATTTTACCATAAAAGAACTGGGAAAATGTATTGACTTGAATATAAACCAAGGGTGGGAAATGCAGCAGCTACTGGTAAATTTCAAAATAAAATTGATACCAATAAAATTGGTATCTATTGACCTTGAAGGAGCTGGGGGTGGTGACGGCTGACAGGGAGCTCTGGCGTGGGCTGGTCCATGAGGTCACGAAGAGTCGGAGACGACTGAACGAATGAACAACAACAACCAATAAAATTACAGTAGGTTAAATGTTTTTGAATATATACATAAAACTGTAATTTAAGATAGGATGGTCCAACTCAGATTAATCCATCATTTTAACCTTCTACAATGTAAATGTGCTTACGTATCCTTCCAAAAATAATAAAGAAAGTAAAATAATAAATGTGACAAAAATAATAGTAATAGAGTAAAATAAGGGAAAAGTAATAATAACAGTAATAATAATAAAGTAATAAATGTAATAATAATAAAGTAATATAATAATAATAGAGTAAAATAATAAATGTAATAATTACAATAATACATAGAGTAATAGAATAAATGTGATAAAATACTAATAATAGAGCAAAGTAATGTAATGTAAATGTAATAATAATAATAGAGTAAAATAATAAATATAATAATAATAATAATAATAATAATAATAAGCCTTTGCAAATGCAGAGTAACTGATATAGGAAAATGGAACGACTAGACGATGGGACCGGACAATGTTTTTAACAAGGAGATGCTAATGATTTATGTTTTTATTGATTTTGTTATGGTTTTGTATTATATGTTAATGTTTTTAATTGTATTTATGATATTGGGCATTGAATTTTGGCCCTGTAAACCGCCTTGAGTTGCCTGTGGGCTGAGAAAGGCAGTATGCAAATACAGTAAATAAATAAATAAATAAATAAATAAATAAATAAATAAATAAATAACATTGACTCAAGTGTAAACCAAGGGGGGCTTTTTCAGCCTAAAAAGGGGGCTTATACTTATGCATATACGGTAATCTCTTAGTCTGAACAACTTCATAAAGAGGCCTGCTGGGGATGCTTTGGCTAGAAATCCTGTGCTGGGGACAGGAAGTTGGATCTGATGGCACATAAGTTCCTTTCCGGCACTCTGATTCTGTGACTTAAAAACAGAAAAAAATCTAATTGCTACTCACGGCAAAACAATGGGCTTCTCCAAGGTGGCAGGTTGACCTTGGCTTCTTGGCAGGCAGTCACATAACTCTGGATGGCCTGGCACAGGGCCTTCTTGTCCCCACCATTTATACACAATTCAAAGGCACAGTTGTTCAGGTACACATTGGGGTCCACAATGGCATGGCAGGCCTGGAAAGGTCCATCTGATGCTGTGAGGATCCCACAGTAGCTGCGCTGCTTAAAAAGTTCTTGCTTCTCTATCTCACAAAGTGGGCAGTGGGATCCAGAGCATCCATCTGTGCAGGATACACCAAGGACAGGGATTTTCCAGGCAGCAACAAATGTCGCCACATCAGATACGACACTGCCATCAGGAAGCTGAAGATCATCTTCTTGCTTTCCATTGTAGTTGCCACACAAGCCTGTCATTTGACCCTGATAGGTGCTGAGAACGGTAATCCTCACATGGTAATACAGGTCGTAGGTCACTGCAAAGCCAGAAGCACTCTCTATCCTGATATTGAATCCATGCTGATAGATTCTCACTTGCCCATCCAAAAGATTCACAGGAAGGTAGTGGAATATTCCATCTACCTGCAGGAATAAAGAGGATAATCTGATGAGTAAAATGCACTTTACAGATTAGCAAAAAATAAATACATCGTTGGTATTGACTTGGCAGGAATAAAAGGGATGTTGTGTGCTTTACAGATTAACAAAACAGACATTGACATGGAATTTTCCCAAATATACTCCCCAAAAACAGAATATTGAAAAATATATATGGTGAGGGAACATGATTGTGTTCGAATATATTCAGTGTAGGTATCAAATTTGAAATTCCACTTTGAATTACAATACTATATGGTCCCATGGTCAAACCTACACCTGTTGATAAACTCTACAGGCTAGCTGGCATTGTACCCCCACCCCCAATATGCAATGGGAGGTTGCCACCAACTGTGAGAGAAGTAAGGTTAAACACTGTGAAAGCAACGCACTGCATAGCTATCAGCCTCCTCCCAGTAGACTCCAATCAAGGAAAAGCTTCATGAGAAGCACCACTCCTCTTAATGTTCCCCCAGCAACAGCAACAGTATCCCTCTGGGCAGCTAAACCAGGAAATCCCAATTGAATGCCCCCCACGAGGGTCTTCCTCCAGGGGCAAACCAAGAATGGGCAACTTGGAAGTCCCTGAACAGACTCAGAAGGGGAGTGGGCAGATCAAAAGACAGCCTGGCAAAATGGTACTACCTAAAAGAATCCTCCAACTTGTGTGACTGTGGAGCAGAAAAAACAACTCCTCATCTGTATGCTTGTCCGCAATGTCCTGCCTCGTGCACAGAGGAAGAATTGTGTGAGGCTACAGATAAAGTTGCCCATTTTTGATCAAAAGATATTTAGCTGCTTGTGCTCCTTTCTATCAGTTTTATACTAATTATGCAATGCTTTTGATAGTAAATAAATAAATAAATAAATTATCAAGGATGAGTGAGTATCGTATATATTCATCAGTAAATCAGCAAAATGACAAAAAAAAATCATACCCATCCCAGACTGGCCTAGCTTATACATGGTAAGGACCCAGAATGAAGGCAGTGAGAAGAGGCAGTGTTCCCACTCTATTGCCCCCCGCAAAAGAAGAAGCTAAGGAAGGGAAGGAGAGGGATTAAAATGATCAAGAGTCTGGAGAACAAGCCCTATGGGGAGCGGCTTAAGGAGCTGGGCATGTTTAGCCTGAAGAAGAGAAGGCTGAGAGGAGACATAAGCATGGGAGGGGAAGTCATAGGGAGGAGGGAGCAAGCTTGTTTTCTGCAGCTCTGGAGACTGGGACATTGAACAATGGGTTCAAAGTACAGAAAAGGTGATTCCACCTGAACATTAGGAAGAACTTCCTGACTGTGAAAACTGTTCAGCAGTGGAACTCTCTGCCCCAGAATGTGGTGAGGCTCCTTCTTTGGAGGCTTTTAAGCAGAGGCTGGATGGCCATCTGTCAAAGGTGCTTTGAATGCGGTTTTCCTGCTTCTTGGCAGGGGGTTGGACTGGATGGGCCATGAGGTCTCTTCAACTCTATGATTCTATAATGCTATGATTCTCTGCATGAGTTTCTTACTCCAGGTGGAGGGAAGCTTTCACATGGAGTCCCCAATAGAGGCACCAGCATACTTTGGGAAGCTTGTTAAAGACCTTGTTGACCTACAACTCCCAGGATTCATAGCACAGAGCCATGGCAGATCAAGGGATGTCAAACTCAACCATGAGAGTTGTAGTTTTACAAGGTCTTGAGCACTTGTGAAACTACAATTTCAATGACTCCATAGTACTGAGCCATGGTAGAGAAAGGATCTAGGGACTATTTGTAGTTGTAAAGAAAGGGTTAAGCTTTGTTTCTCTTCCCAAAAGTTCAACCCGCAAAGGATTCAAAGACATATTAAAAGACTGTCTGATAAGGTTCTAAAAGTGCCTAGATACACCGTGGTTACAGTGACACGACTTACTCCTTTTTTTCTGGATATCTTCAAAAGGAGGCCATACAGTTACCTGCATGGGAAGTTCTCACTGGATTTCCTGCACTGATTTGATTGTCCCTGCCAGCCTCATAATTCTACAGTTCTAAAATCATAGTCTGGCTCACAAAGAATAAATGCCCAGAAACATCTGCCTGCCCCCCCCCCCCCCCCCCGTGTGTATCTCAGAAAAGAAGGTGACAAATGCATAATTTGCAACAGATCCATAGTTAAATTCATGTGTGAGTACCCTTGCCCAGTGGGAAAGAAATTAGCCTCATTATTGAACAATAAGTAGCATGAAGTGACCTACTAGGATGCTTCCCGCTTTGTTCCGCAGCAGAGTAACCTCAGCGCCTGGGATTTGTACATGGACCAACTTGATCACAGTCATCTGCCCATTCAGCCAGTCTTCATGCTCTACAATAACAGTGATGGGTGTCAAGCCCACATTGTTTTCTTGGAGTTTGGCAAGGATGTAGGTGCAGGTGCCCTGGAAATTAAAGGGCAGCTTATCAAAGGTAAGATAAAAGCTGCCAATAGCAGAGCAGGTAGCACTTCCAGTTGGGTGGCATTTCTGGACTCCGTCCAGCAATTTGCACTCTTCGTTGGGGCCACAGCGGATCACTTCACACACCACTGTCCCACCGGCTTGACATTGGCAGCGTTCTTCACAACTTGGGTAGAAGTACTCAGATACTGGATAGTATTGGCCCCGATGGAAACAGCCACACTCGGCAATTGGGACACAAGCATCATTACTCTTGATGAAGCCCTTGTCACAGACACAGTTCTCCTCGCATTTGGCAGGGCAAGACGCTGGAACATAAAGAGTGCTGCAGCTCTGGCCGCACTCCTTGGCACATAATTCATAGTGACTGTTTCTAGGACAGGCTGGGGCTGCAGACAAAAACAGAGATATTTTAGTTGAAGTTGTTGGCATGTACCTTCGGCTCATATCCTAAAGCCTATCACAGGGTTTTTCTGGCAAGATTAATTTAGTAGTGGGTTAGTCTTGAGGCTAATCCAGTATCAAATTAATTTCCCACAAAGAAGGGTTTTCCTGCTTTGTGGTGAATTAATGCGTTTTTATGTGAATCGTCATTTGGACCCCTATGTAAAAATACAGGAGAGTGCACATTTTCGACTGTGTGGATGCACCCCTAGATAGACCATTCCCCCCCCCCCCCCCAAGACAGATAACAGAGGGCCCATCCAGACAGCCTCTTTATGGCAGAAACTTCTTCAAGGGGACTGTTCAGATGATGTTCTGGCCAACCCGCAATTAATCTTCCACAAACCAGGGAAACCTTGGTGTCTGGACTGCAGTCCAGACACCGGAAGTAGTGGGTTTATCCTGTGCCTTCCAAGAAGTTGCAGAATAAATCCACTATCTAATTAATTTGCCACAAACATTAGAGCCCTCTTGGATATTCCGGGCTGAATCAGCCCGGAAAACCCAAGAGGGATGTCTGGACTGCCCCTTCAGAAGTCCAGGACTTCTGAGGGGGCAGTCCAGGCACCGGCCATACAAGATTAGACTTGGAAGGCACGGGATAAACCCACTACTGCAGTCCACACACCATTCCCACTGTTTTCCAGACTAAATTAGTCTGGAAAACTGTGTGAATCCCACTCCCCTCCCACACAGCCCCCAACCCCCTTTTCAAAGGAAAATAAACTTACCTGGCCTCCATTACAGTCTTGCCGGAACTCTCCCAGCATGTAGAAATGATGCGCCGGGAGAGCGGTGGGGGGGGGGGGGGAGGAAGTAATTTCTATGCACCGGGAGAGCTCCCATCTCCCATTTACTCCCTTTTACTTTTAAAAAGGGTTTGTGGGCTGCGAGAGAGGGGGAGAATCCCCAGATATTCTGCCAGGCCATTTCCAGCAGAACATCTGGACACTCACCCCAGAAAGCGCACATTTTCTGGGGTAGGTGTAAAAGGCTCCCAGGAACATCTGCGTTTTTTAAACACGGATGCTCCTGAGATAAAGGGCTGTGTGGAAGCACCCTGAAAAATATCAAATCATGTGTTTGTAAAAGCTTCCCTCATTTATACTGTCCCTTCTCTTCTTTATATGATTTGGATCATGTGGCATTTATGGCAGAAGGTTGAAGATCTCCACAGATATGTATAGTAATCCCAGCAGTTTGGCAAGCTTTGGCATAGTAAGCGATTCCAGAACAGATGGAACCATAACGTCAATACAACAGAAGCTATGTTGACCACCTGGTGATGTCTTGATTAGGCCAACTTGTCGCTACCTTCATGAGTGACAAGATGAATGTTCTGCCTTTTTACTGGTCTAATAAAAGTACCACCAAAGAATGGTACTTTATGGTAATACTTAACCATGAATACAATCAAAAGGCATTACATCACCCGACTTCCAGATCCAGGATACTACAGAATTGCACTGGAGAACCTGGAGAATATGATAAGGCCTCCAGCACAACCAGGGTAAATATAACATAGAATCACTGCTGGACCAAGCATATTCCTAGAGAGACCATTTTGCCCAGATCCAGGACGGGGAAGAAGACTAAACAATATGTTTACAATCTGCTCCCTCATTTACACTGTACACTGTCTCCTCTTTATCTTCACATAAATGCTACTAGAAAGGGACTTGTCCTTCCCCAAGGAAAAAAATTATTTGAATCATGAAGCACTCACGACAGAAGGTTGAAGATCTCCACGGGTATATAGTAATCCCAGCAGCTTGGCAAGCTTTGGCATAGTTGGCAATTGCAGAACAGATGGCAGTATAATGTCCCTTGAAGAAACAGGAGTCATAGATACAATCCAAGAAAGCATCTTCTGGGTCAATATGTGCATGGCATTCCCTGAAGGGCCCGTCCTTGGCAATAATAAGCCCACAGTCCTTGCCCGAGGCACGCTGCTGGTCTCGCATGGTTTCCATGCCTGGGCACTTTGGATCAGTGATCTCAATGCACTTTGGGTCAGGTTTCTTAGTCTTCCCAAATACTGGAATGCTGGGAATAAGGATAGTACCAGGCACAAGGCCATCATCTTTGCAGTTCCCATTGAAGTTCCCACACAGACCATGCAGGATGCCTGCATATGTGCTGGGTACAGTGACAAAAACATGGCCGTTCCAGTCAAAATGGACAGAAAGGCCAAAGCTTGCCTGGATCACAGCATTGTTGCCCTGCTTGAATGCTTTGACTCTTCCTCCAAATGAGCTGTACGGAAGGGAGGTCAACAAGCCGCTAACCTGTGAAGAAGGGAGAGATGGAAGAGATTCAACAAAAGAAGATAAAGACTTAGGGAAAAGCATCAACACAGAGAGCTAATCTCCACTGGCATCATACTTCTCTAGCTACCTGATCACACGAGATAATGAATCCACTTTGAATCTGGTTTCTACCTCCTGCAGAATTCTGGAGTTTGTAGTTTAGTGAGGCTGTTAAAGGCTCCTCCCTAAACTACAAACCCCAGAATTCTGTAGAAGGCAGAAACCGGATTTAAAGTGGATTCATTCTCTAGTGGGATGTTTATACACTGAGTCTTACAATATGGATCCTACAAGGGGAGACAGGGTTTGAGTCTGAGGAAGATGAGGCACAGAAGAACAGAGGAGGAGGAGGAGGAGGGGTAGTTTATTGGCCTTTTTGTCAGTTTGCAGCCTTGTGTCACTTTAATGAAAGAAAGGCAGATCAAAAATAAACACAATAAATAAAAATATAAAAAATAACATAAAATAATATGCTGAGGATCAGCCTGATTCGACTTAACAAAGGGAAGCTCATGTTCTTGCTTACCAGATATTATCTTAACTTACCAAGATTTGACCTGGATACTGCCTGCTGACAACAATCTCCACATCAAAGGCATTGACTTGCACACTCCGAGTCCAGGTCACATGTTGATTTCCCCGATGTTCATTTTCAACATACACACCAAACCACTCCACGTCCTTTATGGTTTGATCCACTTCAGAAAGCACATAGGAACAGCTCCCTTGGAAATCATACTTGCATTTGTCATAGGTAAGATAGTGGGGGTCTCCCTGCGCTGTGCAGTTACCGTAGTCAATGGGGTAGCAGCCCCGCACGCCCTTCTGCACGTCACATCTTTCTGAGGCTTTGCAAGCACTGGGTCCACACTCCACGTGCCTTGTGGCTGGGTTGCACACGCATAGCTTTGAACACTGGTTGTCGGCCCAGAATCTCTCATTGGGGGCATAGGGGCGTCCTTCATAATAGCATCCACAGCTGCTCCTAGGAATGCAGGTCCCATGGCTCAGCACAAAACCTTCTTTACACTGGCAGCCTTCCACACATATAGCTGGGTACAACTGAACCCTTTGATCTGCACAAGTGGCAGGGCAGGCTGTTCCGCAGGGCTGGTACTCGCTGTTTGGAGGACACTGCGGTACTGTGCAAAAAGAAGGTGACAATTGTGAATATCATCCGCTATTGGAAGGAAAGGTTTCTTACTATGAGTATATGGATCAAATCTCTGAAAGATCTCCCCTCCTATGTGGGGTACCCCAAGGTGCAATTCTCTCCCCTCTTCTCTTCAACATCTATGTTAGACCCCTTGCTAGTTTGGCTCGGAGTTTCGGCCTAGACTGCTATCAATATGCGACGACACCCAACTCCTTCTGCATTTGGAGCCTGGAGCAACGTCAATACCAGACAATTTCACCTTATGTCTGGAGGCTCTGTCGAACTGGCTATGTGCTAGTAGACTGAAGGTGAACCCGGCGAAGACTGAGATTCTCTGGCATGTCCGCTCGATTGGTCTGACCCATTTGCTACCCACCTTCGATGGTGCTACCCTATCTCCTTCGCCTACCGTTAAGAGCTTGGGTGTCGTTTAGGGACCGTCTCTCATTCTCCCATCATCGGAGGTCGCAACAACCATCCCAACGCAACTTACTTTATATACCGGGTCCTAGAGAAGTGCACTTGGAAAGGACCAGACGCAGAGCTTTTTCTATTTCTGCCCCCGCCTTGTGGAATTCCTTGCCGCCCTATATGAGAGCCATGCGTGACTGAGGGCCTTTTACCTTAGCACTTAAGACCTGGTTTTTACTAGAGCTTCTGATCTTTGTTAATTTTATCAATATCTGTATGTATGTATTTTTATCCTTTACGATTTTAGCTAGTAAATCTAGAGCATCTTGGATGGAGGGCGATTAATAAGTAATTAAATGATGATGATGATGATGATGATGATGATGATGATGATGATGAATTATGTCAGAAATTAGAGACTGCCAAATTGGATCTCTCTTGTCTCTTCTGGAAGGCTCCATAAACTTCCAGTGAATCCTAATAGTAGCAAAGGGCGACTATGGCAGCTTCTACAGAGAAGCAGGCTTCTTAGTCCAAAGTAAAGTAGAGTACACATCACTTCCTAAACGGCTGCAGCCCAGTTTACCTGTCCGAACGTATCTCCTCCTATAAACCATCAAAGACTTTAAGATCTTATAGAGAGGCCCTGCTCTCAGTCCCACCACCTTTGCAGTCGCATTTGGTGGGGACGAGAGACAGGGCCTTCTCTGTGGTGGCTCCCTGGCTATGGAACTCTCTCACTGACAAGATTAGGTCTGCCCCCCCCCCCCAATCCTTCAGGAAGCAGCTAAAATCCTGGCTTTGGAATCAGGCATTAGCAGATTGATGGATGATCCTGTATAAACTAAGAGTTAATGGACAACATCTGGATTGAGTTGGATGATGTTTTAACTTGATAAACTGTTTTATATGTATTTTAGAACTTATTTTCTCTATGTTGTTTTCATGATGTTATTTATTTTGCATTGAATGTTTGCTGTTAGCCGTTCGGAGCCCCTCCACAGAGGTAGAAAAGAACAGGATACAAAGTTCTAAATAAATAAATAGGTAAATAAATACCCTTTGTTGCACAGTGAGTTAATATATAGATAAATCTAAGGGATTCATTGGCTCTCCAGAATAAACCTAACAAACCAACGAGGTTTCTTTTTATTTTCATGATCATTAGATTAGTAAATTGTGTGAATACTTTTTATTTCATTTATCTAGATATCACTGGTTTCAGCACTGACCCTGGAAGACCAGGGACCACTTTGACCAGGGTCCACTTGACCAGGGACCACTTTGACCAGGGACCACTCTCCAACATTAGTACCAAAAGGGTTATGAATCGGTTTTTGGTCAACTTCAGATTTGGTTTGGTTATTTGGTGTGCTGATTCAGAACCACTGGTGTAAATGTATCACATGCTCTACACATGGAAACTCTTCTTCCACAAGTGAGCATCTCTAAAATTACTGGCAGGACCAAGAATCTCAGACAATGGACCAAAGCCCATGCATAAACATTAGGCCTGGGTAACAACGGAAAAATTTGTTTCTAAAATCGATTTGTATTTGGGGTTTTTTTTTTGTTTCGATATTTAAAATAATTACAAAATTTTCCTTTTAAAAAGTTCGATATTTACGAAATTTCGTAAATGGTAAAAAATTAACGAATCGATTTCCGAAACAATAACGAATCGATTCGTTAATGGCGGACGCGACCGCGAAATATGCTAAAAAACCTCCAAAACCTTCTGAAGCTTCCCTCTCCCTCTGTTGTTGACTGTTGGTGTGATATTATAATTTTTTTTCACTAATTAAACCATAAAACTGGCCCAGACATGCGGAAATAATAACGAAACGACCTCAAAACAATAACGAAACGAATACAATATCGAAATACGAAGATTTACAAAACGTTTTTGAAAATTCGTTTTTTTTAATAATTGCTCCAGAATGGTTCGTTATCGTTTTGTAATTGAAAAAATTAACGAATTATTAACGAATTACAAATTAACGAAACGAAACCGCCCAGCCCTAATAAACATAGTAATAGTCACTCCAGATACGAATTCCAGATACTTATACTTGTGCAGCCAAGATGACATGCCTGCAAACATGGGAAAACATCCCATCACTCAGCTTTCCCCAAGTACAAAAACTTTTTTCAGAGAAGTAGGGGGTGAAGCAAAAAAGTATATCCTCCCCCACACACCCCAAATGCAAAAAACCACACAAGAAGACTGACCAGGCTCGGTGGACAAGGATTGCTGATTCTTAGGTGTAGGGGGTATGTAATGCCAAGAGAAGACAAGGAAAATAATGTTGTCTCTGGAATGTTGAACCTTTACTGCACAAAATGAGCAAGTATCCATTTGGACACTCTAACAACAAAACCAGCCTAACCTACTGAGCTTACCTCCTAAACATCATTAATTTTTGGGGGAATTAATTCCTCCAGCTCTTGTTCTGGAGCAAAGCCCCAGGAGAAAACATGATGCCTCCCAAAATATTCAAATATTTTTCCAAGTGGTGGACCCTGATATTTATCAAACGTTTACCAAAATCAACAATAGGAGTATAATTCCGGGGGGCTGGAAACAGAGTGTAGTGGTCCCTACTCACAAGAAGGGTGATAAGAAAGACCCCAATAATTATCAACCTATTTTCACTCCAAAATGATATACTTATTAAATAAATTTAATAATCACAGAATTCACCCAATGGTTATAGCAAGGCCAGAGCATGGTTGAAGACCATGGTATGACTCTTTATTTTTTTGGCTCAACAAGGAATTGTTGGTCCTACCAAACATATAAAATTTACCAGGCTTCATGAACAAGGACTGCTGACTATTGGGAAGGGGGATTTTGTAAAACCATTAGAGCAGAAGAAAAAGAATCTGGAATGCTGAACCTTTATCACACAAAATGAGCATAGTGTCCATTCAAACACTCTAACAACGAAATCGGCCTGGCCTAGTGAGCTTGTCCCCTTGCACACTTACAGCATCCAGCGGTTTTCCTCCATTCGCCAATCTGGACTCCCTCTCTCTGGCAGGCATCTGCATAGGCCTTCAGGGCATCACACAAGGTTGGTCTGTGGCCTTCATTGGCACAAACATCATAGACACAGCTCTCAAAGAAGAAGGCGGGGTTCACCTTGGCATGGCAAGGGGCAAAGGGACCATTTGAAGATGCGGTTATCAGTCCGCAATATTGCTCGGATCCATACTTTGTGATCAGATCAGGTGGGCAAGGCTGACAAGGCCCATGGCAATCATGCCAGCAGTCATCATCTTGGCCCTTCAGCCACCAGCTCTCACCAAAGGCATTGGCATCTGGAGCCAATGTTCCTTCTGGTGTCATGAAGTCATCTTTGGGATCCTCATTATAGTTCCCACAAAGGCCAGTGACAAACCCAAGATAAGCACTGCTGAGGGTGACACGCACATGGTGGTCCCAATCATAAAATAATGTGAGCTGAGAGTCTGTGGTGATGACGACGGAGTTGCCACTCTGTATAATCTGCAATCTCCCATCATCCAGATTGATGGGCAAGGCTGCCCGAATCCCATCGACCTGTATTGGATGGGAAGAAAAAAGTCATGGCTCAGAAAGATAGAAAATGGTTTTGTTAAGCGTAGATGAGAAACAATTACATTTTTCGCAAGGCTTCTTATTTTCTGAGAAGCACATAGTTTGGTGAAAGTACAAGGGTTGAATGAATAGTAATGCCTCCACCTTTGTTACTTGGGTTTAGATGGGAATATTTTAATAAATCAAACGCAGAAATAATCCGTAGAATGTGCTCTTTAACTACCACTATTCACTTTTCCACACAATCACCAGACAATTGGATACATTTCTGCCAACAATAAATGAGTTTTCTGAAGCTGTCACGGAAGAAGTCAACACTCTGTTTCTGCAACCCATCATGCACAGATCTTACAATAGCCAAGCAAAGCAATAATGTGACCTACACGTTCTTGTGAAATGCCAATTATGCTTGAAATTTTTCTCTGAGTGATACGATGATTGTCCTGAATCAATATGTCAACCTTTTGCTTGTGAAACTCAGTGGTTGCTGTCACAGGACATCCAACTCTTTGTCATGCAAGTCAGATGTTCCCACCTCAGCATCTTTAAACTTACTCGCCCAACGATGCACAGTACTCACATCAACACAATCACCATAAACAGATTGCATTCTCTATATAAATCTACTTTGGGGTGACACCTTCTGCTGTCAAGAATTCAATGACTGCATGTTGCTTAAGTTACATTGACCAACTGTCCATGCAGGGTTTCATACTTCGCATTTTAACAACACAACCCTTCAATGCTAAGGCTTCCTGCCAAAATGGAACTATAGAGGAGAGTCTACTGAACAAGCCAGTACCTGAAGTCCAAAACAACTGGAGGGCTTAAGTTTGCCCATGCCTGATGTAGCTTCACTTTAAAGAGTGCTCCAACGGCAGCCATCACAGCAGCCAGAGATGCCTGTGATTGAGTCTCTTTCTAAACCCACCATCACTTACCCTCACAAAACCAGCTTCTGATCTGGACATTGTGATGCTGTACCCCAAAGTCTCAAAAGTCAGAATTCCCATGTAGGATACATGCTTATTCCCTCTGTTTTCATTCTTGGTAAAAATGTGGAAGGGTGGGAATTCAAGATTATCATTTGTTGTCTTGCAAAGGGTGTAGGTACAGGTGCCTTGGAAGTCAAATTTGTGGCCATCAAAAGTGCAGTAATGTGGATCGCCCCACAACCAGCAGGTAGAATTTGAGGTTGGCACGCACTTCGGTTGTCCATTGATCATCTGGCATTCCATGCCTCTCCGGCACTTAACGGTAAGACAGCTGGGAGATGGTGGCTCTAAGAATGGGAGAGAGAGCATTAATGGGACAACCCTGTGGAAGGGGAAGGACAAGCAAAGCTATTTTAAAAATCAATACTGTTTTGAAATTTTAAAAAAAAACACCACATCCTAGTGATGGGCCGTCTGGGAGCCTCTTGAGAGCTGCACCCAGGCTAGATGCATTTTCAGCAAATGCCTCCTCGCTGACTCCTTTCCATTCCAGTGGGCTCAACAGATTTACCTGGAGGAGGCAGTGTTGAGCAGTAGAACTTAAAACACTACACATATGAATTGTCAAAGGTTTTCATGGCCAGAATCACTGGGTTGCGGTGAGTTTTCCAGGCTGTATGGCCATGTTCCAGAAGCATTCTCTCCTGACATTTCACTCACATCTATGGCAGGCATCCACAGAGGTTGAGAGGTCTGCTGAAAATGGGCAAGTGAGGTTTATATATCTGTGGAATGTCCAGGGTGGGAGAAATAACTCTTATCTGCTTGAGGCCAAGTGTGAATGTTGCAATTGGCCACCTTGATTAACATTTAATAGCCTTGCAGCTTCAAAATCTGGCTGGTTGCTGACTGGGGAAATCCTTTGTTGGGAGGTGTTTGCTGACCCCGATTGATTCTTGTCTGGAATTCCCCTGCTTTTTGAGTGTTGTCCTTATTTACTGTCCTGATTTTAGAGTTTTTTTTAAATACTGGTAACCAGATGTTGTTCATTTTCATGGTTTCCTCCTTTCTTTTGAAATTGTTCACATGCTTGTACATTTCAGGGGGGAAAGCAGGGGAATTCGAGACAAGAATCAATCAGGCTCAGCAAATACCTCCCAGCAAAGGATTGCCCCAGGCAGCAACCAGACAGGCTTTGAAGCTGCAAGGCCATTAAATGCTAATGAAGTTGGCCAATTGCAACATTCACACTTGCAGAGAAGAGTTCTCCCACCTTGGGCATTCCACAGATATATAAACCCCGCTCGTGTCATTTCCAATGGACCTCAGAACCTCTGAGGATGCCTGCCATAGATGTGGGTGAAACATCAAGAGGAAATGCTTCTGGAACATGGCCATACAACCCAGAAAACTCACAGCTACTCAGTAATGGCGCTCCATGCAGTCATGCCCGCCACATGACCTTGGAGGTGTCTACGGACAACGCTGGCTCTTCGACTTAGAAATGGAGATGAGCACCACACCCCAGAGTCAGACATGACTGGACTTAATGTCAGGGGAAAACCTTTACCTACTCAGTGGCATGAATAATTTAAAATTAAATAATTTAGCAATTAAGTGAGACATTTTTAATAAAAGGAGACCTTAATTTTACTTTTTTACTTTCCATTTTCATTAAATAAACTCTTTCTTTGGGGTTGGAAAGCTTGCAAACAGATTTAAGGCTTTCAGATTTTGTAGGAAAGCTTGAAGAAGAACAACAACAAAAAGTCTATGGAGGCCACATGTTGTTTGTGGAATACACGATTCCCCACATGTGCTACACCCATCTCTAGCAAAGGTAAACACTGAACAATCAGGGCTATTGTGCCCACCCTCTTAAATATATCACCCAGTACTGGTTCCTTCACCCACAACTGGAACACAAGCAAGGAATTGCTATAGGTTACCTTTGCTGCTGCACTGCAGGACACCATTCTTCACTTCACAGACTTCATTATCTGAGCAAGCATGGGCTTCACAAATGAGGCCCCCAGCCAGGCTACAGACACATTTCTCAGCGCAGTTGTTCAGCAGGATAACCTTATTAGGCTTCATGGCAGGAGAGACATCCACAGGTAGGACAAAAGGAGCATAAGACATATTTTAAAATAAATCGGAAGAAAAGGTGTCCCAAAGCAGAGCAATCGCACTCACAACTTGTCTTTCTTGTACCTCTGCAGCATAACTTGGGAAAAGTAGCTTCTCAAGCTCTTCCTGACAGTAAAGATACGAATTCTTTCCAGGTGAAATGCCCAATGACAATAATTAATAACATTTTCTGGAGCCACATCATTTAGGGGTCAGTAAGGATAGACAACTGTCTATCCAGGGCATAGAATCATCTCTGATGCTACCGAACCCCTTGTTACTGAGTGGATTCCTTCACAGCAGGGGTTTGGACTAGGTGGACATTAAGATTCCTCCAAATGCGATGCTCGTATGATTCTATAGCCATCTCAGTCAATTTTATGTCAATATTCTGAGCTCAGCAATGATTTGTATACTTGAAAACCCACCTTGCCCCCAGCTATGTTCCCTCAGCTAAACGTACAGAATTATTGTGGCCCTCCAGATATAGGGCATTTTTCATTGACATTGATTCTCTGCCATCCAGCAAATGGTTTTATTGACAGGGCAGTGAAATGTGCTGAAATGTGAGTACATGGGAAGAGCGGGGAGCAAGAAAACATTGTCTCACATGGGCAAAATATCATGCTACTGCTTCCTTTTCCAGAATGTGTTAAGTACTAAAGGCATATTTAATCTTGCAACTCTAGTAATAACAGTGTAGGGATGCCCCATCATACAAATCTAAAGCATTCCACATACAGTAGAGTCTCACTTATTCGAACTTTGCTTATCCGACATTCTGTCTTATCCGACACTCTTATCTAACGTGCCCATTTCCCCTTCAATTAAAGGAGTACTCCCCAATTCTCTCTCCATTCCCAATATATGAAAAAGGCAATACAAGGAGTAGGAAGAGGGAGGAAAGGGGGGGAAAGAGGCAGAACCAGAAGCAGAAGTGTCCTCCCTGCTTCCCTCTGTGATTTCCATGCTCCTCTTCCACATCCGGGCATTTCCTGCTGGGCCGCTCGAGACCTGAGGCATTGCTTTGCCATAACCCTTTGAGTCCCTGTTGTTAGTATTATATGTAGCGCCATGTTGGACAGCTACCTTGGCAGCCACCTCTCCATAAAAGTCAACATTGACACTGAAATACAACACCGCCTGAGCTCTGCGAGTGCAGCTTTTTTCCGAATGAAGCAGAGAGTATTTGAGGACCAGGATATCCATAGGGATACCAAGGTGCTTGTTTATAAAGTTATTGTCCTCCCAACCCTGCTATATGCCTGCAATGTCTATAGACGCCACATGCAACACCTGGAACAATTCCATCAGTGCTGCCTCTGGAAAATCCTGCAAATCTCTTGGGAAGACAAGCGCACAAAGGTCAGCGTGCTGGAAGAAGCAAAGACCACCAGCACTGAAGCGATGGTCCTCCACCATCAACTCCGCTGGACCGGCCACATTGTCAGGATGCCCGACCATCGTCCTCCAAAGCAGTTGCTCTACTCTGAACTCAAGAATGGAAAACGGAATGTTGGAGGACAGGAAAAGAGATTTAAAGATGGGCTCAAGGCCAACCTTAAAAACTCTTGCATAGACACTGAGAACTGGGAAGCCCTGGCCCTTGAGCGCTCTAGCTGGAGGTCAGCTGTGACCAACAGTGCTGTAGAATTTGAAGAGGCACGAATGGTGGGCAAAAGAGCGAAACATGCCAAGAGGAAGGCGCATCAAGCCAACCCTGACCGGGACTGCCTTCCACCTGGAAACCAATGCCCTCACTGCAGGAGAAGATGCAGATCAAGAATAGGGTTCCACAGTCACCTACAGACCCACCGCCACTACACTGATCTTGGAAGACTATCCTACTCAAACACCGAGGGATTGCCTAAGTAAGTAAGTAAGTAAGTAAGTAAGGATGGGTAACAGTAGGAGACTCCATATTATCCAACTTTTTCGTTTATCCGATGTTCTGATGGCTCATTTATGTCAGATAAGCAAGACTCTACTGTAATCAAAATTAAGAAGCTACTGTAAACACAATCCAGTAACATCTTCAGCACCAACATGGCCTTCCCCTTCGCATACCGGGAAGTATATGTTGTTCTCAAAACAACCACAATCATCCATGGGGACACATTTGATGCCATCAAAGAAGAATCCATCATCACATTGGCAACCTTCTGCACAGCTTTCTGGGCACTTTAGTTTATCTGTAATCCCAGCACAACTGATTCCGCATATGTCGGAGCAGATGCTATAATGGCTGTTGTCTGGGCAAGTTAGAGCTGCAGGAAAAATGGGAGAGGGGTAAATCACCGAGGGTCGAAAGAAACTCAAGATAGCAAAGACAGTAGAATTGCATGTTCCCACTTATGGTAGGAAAATGTGGTTACATGGCCACAGGATTAATGTGATGTGCTGCTGATATGGACATGTGGCGACGACCAGAGCAGGAGAACCTCTATGGCCATGGCCACAATGCCAATGTGCTATTTTACCTTGCGTTCTAACAAGCATCATTTCCAAGGTGATAAAAATAATATCTCAATCATATTCTCTATTAGTCAGCCCCGTAAGCTGAAATCAGTATTATCTGACTTGTTGACTTGCCATAGACAACTTGAGCATGTTCCAATAAGGGAAACAGGGATGATAAGAATATGGAGAACAAAACACATGAAGAAAGATAGTTGGATGTGTTCAACTTCAGGAAGGGAAGTCTAAGGGTTGGCATAATTGACCTTTTTAAATAACTCAAATGTTGTCATCCCCTGCCTCAGAAGATGGAGCAAGTTCTGAAGATTTTAAGTTACACTTCAGTGTAATATCAGAAGGAACTTCTTGACAACAATAACAGTTCAGCAATGGAAGCAACCGGCTACAGGGGTAGAGTGTTCTCGTTTGCTGAACAGAAAGAATCGGAAGAGCTACCTATTGCTTTGGCTGGGGATCCTGTGCCAGGTGGGAGATGGATTTGATGACCCATGAATTCCCTTCCAACTCTATAATTCTTGGACTGTAAAAAAGGTAAAGAGCAGGATCTGTATCTAATTGCTACTCACGGCAAAACAAGGGACTCCTCCAAGGCTGGATATTGGCCTTGGCTTCTTGGCAAGCGGTTACATAACTCTGGATGGCTTGGCAAAAGGCATCCTTGTCCCCGCCTCTTATACACATTTCAAAGATACAGTTGTTCAGGTACACATTGGGGTCCACAAAGGCATGGCAGGCCTGGAAAGGCCCATCAGAAGCTGTGATGATCCCACAAGAGCTGCGCTGCTTAAAAAGTTCTTCCTTTTCTTTCACACAAACTGGACAGCGGGATCCAGAGCATCCATCTGTGCAGGGCACACCAAGGACTGGGATTTTCCAGGCAGCAACAAATGTCGCCACATCAGATACGATACTGCCATCAGGGAGCTGAAGATCATCTTCTTGCTTTCCATTGTAGTTGCCACACAAGCCTGTCATTTGACCCTGATAGGTGTTGGGAAGTGTGATTTCCAGATGGTAAAGCAGGTCATAGGTGAGTTCAAAGCCAAACACACTCTCTATCTTGATGTTGAGTCCATGTTGATAGATTCCCACTTGCCCACCTAAAAGATTCACAGGAAGGTAGTGGAATACTCCATCCACCTGCAGGAATAAAGAGGATAATCTGGTGAGTAAAATGCACTTTACAGATTAAGAAAAAAATTACATGATTGGCATTGGCTTGGCATTTCCCCAAATATACTTTTCAAAAACAAGAGCTTGAAAAATGTATTTTCAGGAAACATGATTATGTATAAATATATTCAATGCTGTATCAAACTTGCAATTCCATATTTGAATCATGACATTATAAAGTTCAGTTGTTAAGGATTAGAGTGTAAGAAAAGAAATAACAAAAAGTCTCCCCGCAACATTTGGCTCAGTGCTAGAGTCAGTGCTAGAGTAGGAACCTAGCATAATGGCAGAGAGAAGAGGCAGCAGCAAGGAGCAATTATACCCAATTGCACAGGGAGGTCTCTGGAGTAATATGGAGAAATCTCAACAATCAGGCGCACCTTCCATTTTAGGAACATCAGATAGGGTGGAGTGAACAGAAGGGATGGTGGCCATTTTTAATAAGGGCTTTCAGCATAAGCTTCTCTCTGCAGAGCTACTGCTTTCCAAGAAGAGATGTTCAACAATGGAACCAATTGCAGAGAGATAATGGAGTCTCTTTCTTTTCAAAAGCAGATCTAAGATCATGGCCTAATTGTTGGGTTTCATCCCTGGACTGCACAATTCTCTTGTGTCATCAAGTTTCTAGACCTCAATGAGTAGCTAGACTAGAGATAGGATAATAATAATAATAATAATAACAATAATAATAACAACAACAACAACAACAACAACACTTTATTTATATTCCGCCCTATCTCCCCAAGGGGACTCAGGGCGGATCACAGTACACATACGCAACAAACATTCAATGCTGTTTGGACAGACAGAACAGACAGAAAGGAGATATGTTGTGTTGACGTCCAGCTTTCAGTGCCTTTCGAGGTTATGCTCAAATCCAGCACACAGGGGGGTGCTGTCACTCCATCCTCTATGACAAAGAGCCATCAGGACTTCCTCCTTCCTTTTGGTCGCTAGCATTTTCTGGTCTTTTTCTTTTATAGTGTTGTAAAATACCTCCCCTGCTTTTTAGCAGTACCTAATTTCTCTACTTACAGCTCTAAGCTTTTTCGAACTGCTTAGGTAAACAGCGAGCTGGGCTGACAGTTGGATACTCACCCCAACCTGGGTTTTGATGAGATCTACCTTTCAGTTGGTAGATCTCATTACTGCTGGTGGTGAGTTATCAGCTGTGCTATAGCCCGGCTGAGGGATTCCTTCCCCCCCCCCCCCCCCCCCCCCCCCGCATTCCTATGCGTGTTTTCCCAGAAATTTATCTTTGATACAATATTGACTATATTTGTACATAATAATGTTCTCTGAAAATACGTTTTTCAATCTCTTGTTTTTGGAAAGTACATTTGTCTTTACGCTTCCTCCTTGCCACTGTCTCCTCCCCCTTTGATGATGTAGCAATGGAGTTATGTGAGGGAACTTCCTCTTTAAGCTTTGTTGCCCTTGGGTTGCCCATGCAGTCTCCTCCATTGCTTTTTCTTCCCTTCCAGTAAGGCTGCATTTTGTCTCTCTCAAGGCAAAATATAGCTGTGTGGACGTTTTTATGTAACTTAGAAGGTGAGATTTAGTAAGCTAGTTAGCTCCAAGACCTTTTTTTTTTATCAAGATTGTATTTCTTTTACTTCAATAAATACTTTTGAACCTAAAGTTCTAACTCAGCAATCCTGGGCCATCCTATGGAGTAAAAGCTTCTCCTAGCTCACCACACATAAATCTCTGCTGGGTATGGACCTTACTTCTGGTACTCTGCTATATTTATGGTGGAATCACCCCAACTGATGGTTATTTTTTGAGCCTAACAGTTCAGATCCCACAACACGAATTCACAAGGGAAAGTTGCCCAGAAAAAAATGCTTTATATATCCCACTTCATGCATGAGTACCATCCCAACTCCCCTGGGGTAAAAAAATCAGTCCCGTTATTAAACAATAAGTAGCATGAAATGACCTACCATGATGCTTCCTGCTTTGTTCCGCAGCAGAGTAACCTCAGTGCTTGAGATTTGTACACGGACCAGCTTGATCACAGCATTATTTCCATACAACCAGGCTTCATTCTCTACAACAACAGTGATGGGTGTCAAGCCCACATTCTTTTCCTGCAATTTGGCAAAGATGTAGGTGCAGGTGCCCTGGAAATTAAAGGACAGCCTATCAAAGGTTTGATAAAAGCTGCCAATGGCAGAGCAGGTAGTGCTTCCAGTGGGGTGGCATTTCTGGACTCCATTCAGCAATTTGCACTCTTCATTGGGGCCACAGCGGATCAATTCACACACCACGGTCCCACCGGCCTGACACTGGCAGCGTTCTTCACAACTTGGGTAGAAGTACTCCAATACTGGATAGTACTGGCGCTGATGGAAACATCCACACTCGGCAATTGGGACACAAGCATCATTACTCTTGATGAAGCCCTTATCACAGACACAGTTCTCCTCGCATTTGGCAGGGCAAGACGCTGGAACATAAAGAGTGCTGCAGCTCTGGCCACACTCCTTGGCACATAATTCATAGTGACTGTTTCTAGAACAGGCTGGGGCTGCAGACAAAAACAGAGAGAACTTTGTGTTGAAGTTGTTAAGGTGTGTTGCCACATCATTCTTTAAAATCTATCACACATTTTTTCTGGCAAAATTGATTCACAGGGTTTTCTCATTACCTTCCTCTGCGGCTTAAAAAAGATTCCCTCTCAAAGTCATATAATAGCCAAACAGGGATCCAAACCCTGGTGAGCAGGTACCTTAGTCTAACATTTAAACGACACTGACTTCAGATATTCAAGAGGAATGACTGATATATATAAAAACTCTCCATAGGAGGCTACTTTAAGCAATCTTTGTGATCGCTTTGTCCCCTATGAACCAACATGAGCCTAAGATCATCCGGGGAGGCCCTCCTCTCACTTCCACCTCCATCTCAAGCGCAGTTGGTGGGAATGAGTAAGAGGGCCTTCTCGGAGTTGGCCCCCTGGCTCTGGAACTCTCTTTCTAGGGAGATCAGACTGTTATCCACCCTGTCCTTCTTCCACAAGAACCTAAAAATATGGATGTTCCGCTGTGCCTTTGGCTAGACAGTTCCAAAGAATTGGCCTAATAATACCTAAGTTCTGGCACTTTAGCATGGCACTCCGCTCTAAAATCCTGACATGTTAATGCCCAAGGACATTACTCTCCCGTCCTTCCCACTGAATTTTGCACTTTCCCTTAGCTCTATCTAGGAATTTTGCACAAACTCAGAGCCCTCTGAACTCAGCGCTTTTATTGCTCTCCATGGTATTGTTTTTATGATGTTATGTTTTATTGTGGTATGTTTCTATTTGGTTTTGTTTTGATTTTATTTTATTGCACACTGACTTCAGATATTTTTAACTCTGTGCTCTCTGGGCTTTCCCTTTGTAAGCTGCCCCACGTCTCTTTGGGGAGATGGAGGTGGGGTATAAAAATAAAGTAGTGGTAGTAGAAGTTGTTGTTGTTTTGTTGTTGTTATCATCAATGCTGTGACATATGGGAGAAGAGGTACAAGAGAAGCCTTGCCACATACACTGTTATTCCCTTTGGGCCTTGCTAGCTTTACCCCCTGATGGAAGATGGAGGCTCTGGTGTCATACAGACTCTCCTATACCTGTGCCTCGGTTACCCTGTTGCCTTAAGGGATACAACTAAAATAAATAGGTACTGCCTAGCTTGTGGTTGTCTATTGACATCACACATAAATATCCCATTGACCATTTTGAGCTACATGTGGGCTGACCACAGTTTTTAGTCTGACTCCTAGTTATTGGACTGTCTTCCAAAACATTAAGATGATCTGCTCCTTAGTTTGACATAGAAACACTGTTGGACCAAGTATATTTCTAGAGAGACCATTTTGCCCAGATACAGGAAGAGGGAAAATAATATGTTAACAATCTGCTCCCTCATTTATACTGTCTCTTCTCCTCTTTATCTACAAACAAATGCTACTGGAAAGGGACTTGTTCTTCCCCAAGAAGAATTGATTTGAATCATGTGGCACTCACGACAGAAGGTTGAAGATCTCCATGGGTAAATAGTAATCCCAGCAGCTTGGCAAGCTTTGGCATAGTTGGCGATTGCAGAACAGATGGCAGTATAGTGTCCCTTGAAGAAACAGGAGTCATAGACACAATCCAAGAAAGCATCTTCTGGGTCAATATGTGCATGGCATTCCCGGAAGGGCCCGTCCTTGGCAATAATGAGCCCACAGTCCTTGCCCGAGGCACGCTGCTGGTCTCGCATGGCTTCCATGCCTGGGCACTTTGGATCAGTGATCTCAATGCACTTTGGGTCAGGTTTCTTAGTCTTCCCAAACACTGGAATGCTGGGAATAAGGATAGTACCAGGCACAAGGCCATCATCTTTGCAGTTCCCATTGAAGTTCCCACACAGACCATGCAGGATGCCTGCATATGTGCTGGGTACAGTGACAAAAACATGGCCGTTCCAGTCAAAACGGACAGCAAGGCCAAAGATTGCCTGGATCACAGCATTGTTGCCCTGCTTGAATGCCTTGACTCTTCCTCCAAATGAGCTGTACGGAAGGGAGGTCAACAAGCCATCAACCTGTGAAGAAGGGAGAGATGGCTGAAGTTAAACAAAAGAATCTAAAGACTTAGAGGAAAGCATCAACACAGAGAACTAACCCCCACTGGCATAATCCTTCTCTGAGTTTATACACTAAGATCATAAACCATAGCTGACACCCTACAGCAAGCTTCAATAACTTGTAACCAGCTATACCAAGTGCAGTCAGCTAGCCACATATGACAGCCCTTAGATTCCTAATCTATTGGTTGATCACAATATTCATATGGCAGGTTTCATCTTCCCATAGACTAAACACCTGATCAAGAATCTGATGGCAGAGGCACAAAATGGAAATGTCAAGTGTTAGTAGTGAACTATAAAACTGTGTATGACTCAGGTCCAGATTGTTTAACAGATTGTATTTCCTTGTATGGTGCTGAATTGGATTTGTTTAATGGCTTTTAAGACTTATTTTAGAATTGTTTCAATAACTGATTTAGTTTAAATATATCTTTTCAGGGTGTTAAGCTATTTAATGCTCTGTCAGGGGAAAAGAGTATGGCTCAGTAAATGTAATAAATAAAGCATTTATTTGGTCTTTCTGTAAGTAAGCTGCATATATCGAGACAAAGGCGGGATTTGAAAAAAGTATAAATGAAAAATAACGTAAGTTACATCGCTGAGAATCAGCCATCTCAGATTTCACAAAAATGAGCCCATGCTCTTGCTTAGCAGCTGTTAACTTACCAAGATTTTACCCGGATACTGCCTGCTGACAATAATCTCCACATTAAAGGTATTGACTTGCACACTCCGAGTCCAGGTCACATGTTGATTTCCCCGATGTTCATTTTCAACATACACACCGAACCACTCCACGTCCTTTATGGTTTGATCCACTTCAGAAAGCACATAGGAACAGCTCCCTTGGAAATCATACTTGCATTTGTCATAGGTAAGATAGTGGGGGTCTCCCTGCGCCGTGCAGTTACCGTAGTCAATGGGGTAGCAGCCCCGCACGCCCTTCTGCACGTCACATTTTTCTGAGGCTTTGCAAGCACTGGGTCCACACTCCACTTGCTTTGTGGCTGGGTTGCACACACATAGCTTTGAACACTTGTCATCGGCCCAGAATCTCTCATTGGGGGCATAGGGGCGTCCTTCGTAATAGCATCCACAACTGCTCTTTGGAATGCAGGTCCCGTGGCTCAGCACAAAACCTTCTTTACACTGGCAGCCTTCCACACAAACAGCTGGGCACAATAGTTCTCCTTGATCAACACAAGTGGCAGGGCAGGTACCACAGAGCTGGTACTCACTGTTTGGAGGGCACTGTGGCACTGTGAAAAACAGAAGACGGTTACAATAGTGAATATTGTATGAGCCAGCAACATACTCTATAGAAGGGGAAAGGTTGTTATTACAAAGTTGATAAGAGATTGGCAAAAACTCTCTCTTCCCCACCATGTCCTTCCACAATGTAAATGGAAATAATCTGTGAGAAAAGGGAATACACTGGTCAATTAATTTGAGCATAAGATATTTTAGATACTTGACAAAACATTTCACCTACTTATCAGACCATTATTCAATATTTCAGACCCAAACTGATTTGTGTTGCAGCTCAGAGTAAGCTTCACCTTGCTTCCAAACATCACCACACAAGAGCTGTAGTTTGACTTGGAAAAAATCCAAGTCAAAATAAAGAATAAGCATTGCAAAGTTCCAAAGAATAAGGTTAAATGCAGACTATAGTTCCAAAGACCTTCAGGTAAAAACAGGAGACTCAATCCTATTGGCAAAGTTCAAACCAGAGTCCCAGGTACAAGCAATGAAACAATTGCCCCATGAATCACAATACAAGAAATCCCAAGCGTACTGCTTTCCAGGCTAAGGTTATTCCATGAAGCTTCCAGGCTAGTAAGCTACATTGAACCGACGCTTTCTCAGAGTTTGCAAAGGCCTAAATACCTTTCTAACATGAAAACATTAGGCTCTCATCATCATAAAAGCATTGCGACAACCTTTCACCAAGCTGGCTTCTCGTCTGCTGGCCAGACGAGAACTCTGCCTGACCCAGAGATTAAGGCGCGCTTGCCGGGTCAAATCATTATCTACACTTTCGGTATCAGCGTGGGAAAGCACCTGCTCGCTATCTCCTTCGTTAAAATTCCTTTCTGGTGGAAACGGCTGTGTTGACACTGCACAGTCTGTGGGAGCCTCAGAAGCAGGCCCAGAGATATGAGGCACAGACAAAGAGCCAGGAAGCTGAATCCCAGCAGGAATCTGAATCCCATCATCCTCATTGTCAGAAAATAGCTCAGCCACAAGAATTTGCAACAAACAATTCGATCGTAATATAGCAGTAACCAACAGATGGTTTAATGTAGAATGTATATATAATGTATAAACCTTTTTTCTATCCCACCCTATCTGCCCAATGGGGATTCAGGATAGTTCACAACATACAACGGCAAACATTCAATTCCATAAAGTGCGACCAAAAAGCAAATAAACAACCATAAATCAAATAACAACATATTAGACATCGACATCAGAAAATAGTGAAACATTACAACAAATTATAACATTACAACTAAAACATTCACATAACGGTGATCTAATAGATTACTCTCAATACACGGTTAGAAATAAGGATATGTCAAAATGCAAGTTGCCAAGGGACATAATTATTACCTTTAAAAGAAAAAAAAGATTACAGATCAGATACGAGGGTTGAATGAAAAGTAATGCCTCCACCTTCGTTACTTGGGTTTGGATGGGAATATTTTAATAAATCAAACACAGAAATAATCTTTAGAATTTCAGTAGGAAGTCTGGACCTGCTTTTGGCTGATGAGATAGGATTGTTGTTGTTGTTGCGTGCTTTCAAGTCATTTTAGACTTAGGTTGACCCTGTGTGAGGGCCAGGTAAATGACCTTGGAGGACCACATCCGGCCCCCGGGCCTTAGTTTGAGGACCCTGGTCTAAACATCATTAATATTAAAACATTTCTAGCAGTTTGAGGATATACGTAATTCTTCCAGCTCTTGCTCTGAGCAAAGCCCCAGGAGAAAACATGATGCCTCCCGAAATATTCAAATATTTTTCCAAGTGGTGGACCCTGATATTTATCAAAGCGTTTACCAAAATCAACAATAGGAGTATAATTCCGGGGGGCTGGAAACAGAGTGTAGTGGTCCCTATTCACAAGAAGGGTGATAAGAAAGACCCCAATAATTATCAACCTATTTGTCACTCCAAAATGATATACTTATTAAATAAATTTAATAATCACTGAATTCACCCAATGGTTATAGCAAGGCCAGAGCACGGTTGAAGACCATGGTGTGACTCTTTAATTTTTTGGCTCAACAAGGAATTGCTGGTCCTACCAAACATATAAAATTTACCAGGCTTCATGAACAAGGACTGCTGACTATTGGGAAGGGGGATTTTGTAAAACCATTAGAGCAGAAGAAAAAGAATCTGGAATGCTGAACCTTTATCACACAAAATGAGCATAGTGTCCATTCAAACACTCTAACAACGAAATCGGCCTGGGCTAGTGAGCTTGTCCCCTTGCACACTTACAGCATCCAGCGGTTTTCCTCCATTCGCCAATCTGGACTCCCTCTCTCTGGCAGGCATCTGCATAGGCCTTCAGGGCATCACACAAGGTTGGTCTGTGGCCTTCATTGGCACAAACATCATAGACACAGCTCTCAAAGAAGAAGGCAGGGTTCACCTTGTCATGGCAAGGGGCAAAGGGGCCATTTGAAGATGCGGTTATCAGTCCGCAATATTGCTCAGATCCATACTTTGTGACCAGATCAGGTGGGCAAGGCTGGCAAGGCCCATGGCAATCGTGCCAGCAGTCATCATCTTCACCCTTCAGCCACCAGCTCTCACCAAAAGCATTGGCATCTGGAGCCAATGTTCCTTCTGGCGTCATGAAGTCATCATTAGGATCACCATTATAGTTCCCGCAAAAGCCAGCAACAAGCCCATAAAAATCACTGCTGAGGGTGACACGCAAATGGTGGTCCCAGTCATAAGACATCCTGAGCTGAAAGTATGTGGTGATGACAACGGAGTTGCCACTCTGAATAAGTTGAAATCTCCCACCTTCCACACTGATAGGCAAAGCTGCCCGAATTCCATTCATCTGCATTGGAAGGAAATAAAAGATTGTTAATCACAAAGTTAGGGGGGAGTTGCTAAGTATTAAAAAAAACCTCCAAAATTATAACAGTAAATAAAGAACAGAACTCAAACACAGGGGAGCTCCAGACAAGAAACAATCAGGAACATCTAATCACCTCTCAACAAAGGATTCTCCCAAGCAGTAACATGCCACACCTAAAAACTGTCAGGCCATCAAATGCTAATTAAGGTGGCCAATTGAAACATTCACACCCAGCTCCTACAGAAAAGAGTTCTTTCTTCCACCCTGGGCTTTGCACACATACAGGGGCAGCTCAACCCATTACGCAAAGTAAGCATTATGCAAAGTAAGCATAGTTGATTTTGCCCAGGGGCATTCTTGAGGTGCTCTTGGGGGAAAATAGACCTTGACATATGAGAGTTGTAGTTACTGGGATGTATAGTTCACCTACAATCAAAGAGCATTCTGAACTCCACCAATGATGGAATTGAACCAAATATGGCACACAGAACTCCCATGACGAACAGAAAATATATATCAGTGATTGGTTTCGGGGGGGGGGGGTGTTCAAAATACTGTTTGCTTACCGTTGAAAATTACCTAGGGCCACCTCTACACAGATATATAAACTTAATTTTCCTAGTTTCCAACAAACCTCACAACCTCTGAGGATGCCTGCCACAGATGCAGGAGAAACGTCAGGAGAGAATGCTTCTGGAACATGGCCATACAGCTCGAAATACCTACAACAACCCAGGGAGTTGCTTAGTTTAGATGAGAAACCATTACATTTTAGCAAGGGTTCTTCTCTGCTCAGAAACACTGGATTTGATTGAATCATTGTTAGAATTATCTCTCTTCCTCTCTCTATTTTTTTTACTCTCCTTCTATCCCAGCCATGAAATAAGCTCAATAGTCTTCTCCAGTCCTCTAGGCAAAGAAGAAATCTCAGGGCAAACGTGTGAGTGTATATCTGTGTTCCTCATGTATACTTAGGTGTACATTATGTCAGGAGCATTTTCTGTATTTTCTGATATATCACACTTAATGGTCCCATTGTGGGCAGCTCCTTGTAACCTCACAAAGATTCACCCTCTATCACAATAAGGGGCTTTTCTTAGGTCTCAGGTTTTGGCCCTAAAATCTGCAACCATCCTGAGCTTATTTGGACAAGAGACACAAGTAAGTAAAGAAAGTGTTTGGAAAAGGAGAACTGATCCTGGGCTGTCAGAAGAGATTGCCCAGGGCATTAATTCAGTGTGTATTGTGCAATGCTTTATAAAGTCCACAAATATAATCAATCCCTCATTCATAGCTTAGCAATAATACTTTTTTGAACTACATGTCTCAGAATACTACATCTACTGAGGCCCCATCAACAATGCCATATAAAATCCAGATTATTATTATTATTATTATTATTATTATTATTAAGTTCTTGTGGGTTTTTTCGGGCTATATGGGCCATGTTCTAGAGGCATTTCTCCTGATGTTTCGCCTGCATCTATGGCAAGCATCCTCAGAGGTTCCAGCAGACCTCACCTCTGAGGATGCTTGCCATAGATGCAGGTGAAACATCAGGAGAAATGCCTCTAGAACATGGCCATATAGCCCGAAAAAACCCACAAGAACTGAGTGATTCCAGCCATGAAAGCCTTCAACAATACATGTATTATTATTATTATTATTATTATTATTATTATTATTAGTTTACTGACACAAAAACACAGTATGTCACAGCAAACGAGATATACATGCTGGATTTCGTATTATTATTATTATTATTATTATTATTATTATTATTTATTATTGGTGGCCTCCGATGGCACAGTGGGTTAAACCGCTGAGCTGCTAAACTTGTTGACCGAAAGGTCACAGGTCCGAATCTGGGGAGCGCTGTGAGCTTCCGCTGTCAGCCCAGCTTCTGCCAACTTAGCAGTTCAAAAACATGCAAATGTGAGTAGATTAATAAGTATTGCTCTGGTGGGAAGGTAACGGCGCTCCGTGAAGTCATGCTGGCCACATGACCTTTGAGGTGTCTACGGACAACACCAGCTCATTGGCTTAGAAATGGATCTCCAACCCCGAGTTGGACATGACTGGACTTAATGTCAGGGGAAAAGCTTTACCTTACCTATTATTATTATTATTATTATTATTATTATTATTATTTCTTACCCACCTCTCCTCCGTGGACTACCAGTAGTCCGCAAAAAACAAAATATGGTCCTGGCTGCACCATTACTACACCACTGCAGCAAGAGCTACTGGTTTCACGAAACCCTCTTCTTATACTGCCGAGGCTTAATAAATATTTTATTTGTGGGTGAGCAGATGGCAACTACTGGATGGCATATGTTCTGCATCAGAAACTAGAGCTGTTGTGGTCTACCCAATGTAATTTTCTAAATCAGCACCCCAAATAACCAAACAAAATCTAAAGTTGACCAAAAACTGATTTGTAAGCTTTTTGGTACTAATGTTGGAGAGTGGTCCCTGGTCAAAGTGGCCCCTGGTCAAAAAAAATGTTGGGACCCATTGACCTAACAGGTGGATCAATTTTCCATGTGTTGTCGAAGGCTTTCATGGCTGGAATCCCTGGGTTACTGTGAGTTTTCCAGGCTGTATGGCCATGTTCGATAAGCATTATCTCCTGATGTGAGAGATATGTTGGAAACTATGCAAACAGCCAGACCTTGAAACTCAAAGGCTAATCAATGCTAATCAAGTTCGCCAATTGCAACATTCACACCTGCCTCAGACAAAGAGTTCTTTCTCCCACCCAGAACATTCCACAAATATATAAACTCCACTTGCATAGTTTCTAACATACCTCAAAACCTCTGAGGATGCCTGCCATAGATGCAGGAGAAACGTCAGGAGAAAATGCTTATGGAACATGGCCATACAGCCCAAAGAACTCACAACAGCCCAATTTTCCATGTATTGTAGAGTGATCATGTTTCTTCACCACAATGAGGGCAGTAATGCCAGCTCCCATGACAGGCAGCGGTCCCTGGGATTCAATCCCCCTTTCAATCCGCCATCACTTACCCACACAAAACCAGTTTCCGATCTGACAATTGTGATGCTGTAATCCAGAGTCTCAAAAGTCACCTTCCCTATGTAGGATACATGCTTATTTCCTCGGTTTTCGTTCTTAGCAAAGATGTGGAAGGATGGGCAACCTAAATTCTCATCCGTCGTCTTGACAATAGTGTAGGTACAAGTGCCTTGGAAGTCAAAATTGTGGCCATCAAAGGTGTGCATATGTGGGTCACCCCACCCCCAGCAGGTAGAATTGGTTGGCACACAATGCGGTTGTCCGTTGATCACCTTGCATACCATATCTTTCTGACACTTAATCTGATGACAGCTAGGAGTTGGTGGCTCTAAGAATGGGAGAGAGAACATTAGTAACAACAACAACAACAACAACTTTATTTTTATGCCCCGCCACCATCTCCCCAAGGGGACTCGGGGCGGCTTACACGGAGACAAGCCCGATCACAGATAAAAACAACAGCATTAAATCAATCAATAAAAACATAAAACAGACACAAACAACATCATAAAAACAATAACATGGCTGAAAACAGAATCAGAGCTGGGTCCGGGCTCAAGTAAGTGCAATAAATTCCTAAGTGGAGCCGAGGGAAAGTGCAAAAGTGTCAATCTAGAGGGAACACCTCTGGCCATAAAGTCTCAAGATTAGTGGGGGTGGGCAGAACTAAGGTGCCTAATCAAAGGCACAACGGAACATACGTGTTTTTAAGTCCTTATGAAAGGTGGACAAGGTGGGTGCTTGTCTGATCTCCTTAAGGAGGGAGTTCCAGAGCCGGGGAGCCGCCACTGAGAAGGCCTTCTCTTTAGTCCCCACCAACTGCGCTTGAGACAGCGGCGGAAGCGAGAGAAGAGCCTCTCTCGAATCTGGTTCGTAGGGGATGATGCGATCGCGAAGAGAGGAGCCTAGAGCCCTCCCTATGATCTGGTTCGAGTGGATGATGCATCCGCAGAGAGGGCAGTCCTGACCCTTTAGGGCTTTCTATGTAGTATGTCCCTCGCTACTGTTGCATTCACTTTTTCATGACCTCGCCTGTGTTTTTTTTATGTTTTTTACATATTATGGTAAACTTCACAGTTTTTTATTAGTATATATGAATGCTGTGTGTACTATATATAGGTGGCCGTGATGTTTTGGGCTCAGCGTCACCAAGTGCTGATAGCTCCGGGAGAGTATGAGTCCGGAGCTGCTCTTTGATCTCTTTAAGCTGTTTCCTAGTAGGACGTCGGTTAGCATGGAATCTCCCTGCGCGGTGTCAAGACTTCTCTCTGTACGAGATAGTCGGGGAACAACTGATGCATGTCGAGTCGCGACGGCAGCTTAAATCACATACTCGGCCGCTAAGTTTTAATGGCCTTCTCCATGTGAACATACGTTGATATGGTGCGGCGATGGGCGTGAACGCGTTGTTAGTAAGAGGTGGTGGGAGCGTGCACCGTTGATTTTTGAGATCTACGTATGAGGCGTATGCTGTGGCTGGCGCTCTTACTTTGAGTGTACTGGTCGATGCGCTTGTCCTTCTAGTAAGCACGCATCGACTCCATAAGAGTCTATTTATTAGTCTCTCGCTGTGTGCGGATGGTATCGTCTACGGTTAGATGAGTGATGTCGTGATTCCATGGCTCACCTTTTCATGTGCGCATTGCTCTACTCTCGCACGACTGCGAGTATTTATCTGTACTAGCTCTGGTACAGTCCTAGTTAACCTTCCAAGAAGCGTGACACTCTTGAAATGCTATTGAAATGAAGCTGGAATTTCCGTACGTCGAGTCTTACCTTATGTTTATCTGTGTGGTGAGATACAGAAGGGACGGACTGGAGTATCAGTCTGCTATATAAGTGCCTTCACAATAAACGAGCCGATGAAGTGAAGATAAGAGGATGTTTATTGCATGAAGAGTCAGGAGCATGACTAGAGCAGGAGCTGAAGGTGATGATACGAGTACTGTTGTAGGCAGAGAATCAGATAGACATGAATGGAGCATGGAATAGAGAGAATGAGAGGACGACAAGGGGGGGGCAGAGCGCCCTCGTCGATCCCTTAGAGGCTGATAGTAGTCGAAAGGTATGTGTAGAGAGTCGAGAGCGATCGCTTAGCGTCTAGATGGCTAGCTGAGTCCCTTGTCATGCAGGAGGAGGGCAAAGGGGCGTGAGTGGGGTAGGCGAGAGAGGAATCGTACGGGCGCTAGACCGAGGGCACGCAAGAATGGAGTAGCTAAGGAGGATGAGAAAGAGCAGGGTTAAGAGAGAATACATATGGAACGGAAGATATGCGAGCAGGACAGGGATATGGCCTGGGTGAAAACGCGCTGATTGTTGTGGATGTGCGGGGAGCCCAGAGGAAACGTATCTAGGTGCGGCTCACCTAGATGGCGGGGAAGCGTTGATAAGAGGAAAATGGGGGGCTCAAAGAGAGGAGAAGGTGAGAAGAGGAAGAAAGGAGAACGAGGGAGCAGGAGGGGGCACGGGAACGACACAGCACAGTAAGAACGGAAGACCGAACAGGGAGAGGGCCCGGAACGTACTGAGCCAGTGGAGCGGCGGACAGGTGGGAACCTCGTACGGGAACGAAATCCCATGAACAACGGGGCTGCAAAGCTGAGGGGGGACTCATAGACTGGGTAGCATTCTCGTTGGGCTGGTCAGTGCAGACACAGAGCGCGGGGAAGATCCAACTAATAATAGCGGGCGGGGAGAGCAGCTTGAAAGAAGACGGAGTGAAGGCACGTAAGGAGAAGGAAAAAGGAGAGAGCCCCTTGACTCTGCTAGTGCTTATCAAGGTTGCCTCCAGGCTTTGTGGAGATATCACCAAAGTGTCTTCAGGCTGAGTCCCTTATGGCTGACTCCATCACTGGCCCCTTCAGAGTTACTGTATATACTCGAGTATAAGCCTCGTTTTTCAGCCCTTTTTTTTAGGCTGAAAAAGTTCCCCTCGGCTTATACATGAGTCAAGGTTATTTATTATTTTACTCTGTATTATTATTATTATTACATTATTTTGCTCTATTATTATTATTTTATTACATTTATTATTTTACTTTATTATTGTTATTATTACATTTACATCATTATACTCTACTTATTATTATTACATTTATTATTTTCCCCTCTTTATTATTATTGGAAGAATACGTAAGCACATTTACACTGAAGGTTAGAATCATGGTTTGATCAAAGTTGGAAAGTCTTATCTTAAATTACAGTTTTATGTAAATATTCAAAACATTTAACCTACTGATGCCTCAATTAATGTAATTTTATTGGTATCTATTTTTATTTTGAAACTTACCAGTAGCTGCTGAATATCCCACCCTCGGCTGATACTTGAGTCAATACATTTCCACTCTGGAACTCTCTCCCCAAGGACATCAGACAAGCCCCAACGTTGGCAGTCTTTAGGAAGAGCTTGAAGACGTGGCTGTTCCAGTGTGCCTTCCAGAATAGGAAACTCCAAGCATCATGTCCCAAATGCACTTTACTAGAGATTTAAGATTGTCTGCATACCGCACCTATCTCGAAAAACTTATCTATTTCACCTGTCATGTCCAGCATTTTTAAATTTTTAATCATTACATTTGGCCTGGCCTTAGTTTTCAAATGTGTCATGGTGTTATTGTCTAATGTTTATTGCTTTTGTTTTAATGTTTATTGCTTGTTTTTTGAGTTTATTTATTGTTGTTTAATAGGAGCATAGTGTCTAGATCTAGGGAAGTAATGCTACCCCTCTATTCTGCTTTGGTTAGACCACACCTGGAATATTGTGTCCAATTCTGGGCACCACAATTCAAGAGAGATATTGACAAGCTGGAATGTGTCCAGAGGAGGGCGACTAAAATGATCAAGGGTCTGGAGAACAACCCCTATGAGGAGCGGCTTAAGGAGCTGGGCATGTTTAGCCTGAAGAAGAGAAGGCTGAGAGGAGATATGATAGCCATGTATAAATATGTGAAAGGAAGCCACAGGGAGGAGGGAGCAAGCTTGTTTTCTGCTTCCTTGGAGACTAGGACGCGGAACAATGGCTTCAAACTACAAGAGAGGAGATTCCATCTGAACATGAGGAAGAACTTCCTGACTGTGAGAGCCGTTCAGCAGTGGAACTCTCTGCCCCGGAGTGTGGTGGAGGCTCCTTCTTTGGAAGCTTTTAAACAGAGGCTGGATGGCCATCTGTCAGGGGTGATTTGAATGCAATATTCCTGCTTCTTGGCAGGGGGTTGGACTGGGTGGCCCATGAGGTCTCTTCCAACTCTTTGATTCTATGATTCTATGATTGTATTGTTATGCTGTTGTTTTATTGATGTATTGGGCCTCGACCTCTTGTAAGCCGCACCGAGTTCTTCGGGAGATGTTAGCGGGGTATAAATAAAGGTTTATCATTATATTATTATTATCTGTTTTCCCAGTTTTTGCAGTAAAATTAGGTGCCTCAGCTTATATTCGGGTTGGCTTATACTCCAGTATATATGGTATCTGGAAGAGGTAGTGCTTAGGAGTAGAGTTGAGACTTCGCCCTGACGGTGGCATGAAATATTTAAAGTCATTTAAGTTCTCAATTAAGTCAGAGAGTTTTTTTTTGTCGGAAAAGGAGAACTTAATCTTCTTTCATTAAAAAATCTCTAACTTAGTTTCCAACACAATTTTAATTATTGTTCAACTTTAGTTTGGGTTCTGTGCATTCAACTAATTTCAGAAATAACTTATTAATCAGGAAATGCATTAATTAAATTACCAACTACAGTAATTTTCCACTTCCCTGCTGGTTTTTTAGCTAAAGTCTAGTTCCCTTGGATGTTTGCAGAATTATTTCTTGCTTTTTCTTAGACCTTCAGGCTGCAAGAATTACAATGCTGGGGTCAAAAGAGTCCAACCACTTATTCTAGAGTAATTCCTTTGGGATGAGCTGAGTTATTAGTAATTGTGCTAAGGGCTTTTGAAGTAAATGATCTTTTCACTTCCTCCACCCATTTCTAAAAATAATGCAGGATCAAAATTACTAGAACCAGGCATTTCTTCATAAAATCAAGAGAACATCACAAAAAAGGGAGGGGGGGTTCTACGTATAAGAGAAAAGAGATATAAAAGAAAGGGGCTTGTACAGAATACTTCCAGTCAATATTCTTACTGATATGTTTTCCTCTACTTTGTTGTTTATTTTAATTAATAATAGTCTCAACTTCCCTATCTCATTTATCTAAAATTTCTCCTTATCTAATGGTGGTTCAAATCTGCTATTCCTCTGACATACATAACCACGAAATGCTTTCCATATACTACAAACATATTCTCTTTTATGACTCCTGTATCTAATCTTGGGGACCCTGGTGGCGCAGTGGATTGAACTGCTGGGCTGCTGAACTTGCTGACCGAAAGGTTGGCAGTTCACATCCGGGGAGCAAGATGAGCTCCCGCTTTTAGCCACAGCTTCTGCCAACCTAGCAGTTCGAAAACATGCAAATGTGAGTAGATTAATAGGTACTGCTTCTGTGGGAAGGTAATGGCGCTCCATGCAGTCATGCTGGCCACATGACCTTGGAGGTGTCTACAGACAATGCCAGCTCTTTGGCTTAGAAATGGAGATGAGCATCAACCCCCAGAGATGGAAACAACTGGACTTAATGTCAAGGGGAAACCTTTACCTTTTATCTAATCTAACTTTGTATGTTAATTTTTCAGATAAATCAATGGCCCATGTTGTGTTTAACGAATTCCGTATCAAATCAATAGATTATCTACTGACCATAATATCATCACAGTTTCACATCATAGTATTATGTCTTGCAGAGTGACACAGACATGGAGGGCACGGGGGCAATTTTTGTCTCTGTGTCCCAGCTGGTGTTGAGAACATGCAATGCCATTTTCAACTAATATTTTGACAAAACTGGAACCAGAAGTCATCCTTGCTTTCATTTTCAGGGTTTTCCCCATGAATTTTTGTTTTGTTTTGTTTCATTTCATTTGGATTTGGGGGTTGGGGGGCTTGCAGACAGCTTTAAGGCAAGCTGCCATTCAGATTTTGTGGGGAATCCTGAAAGAGGACCGGGCTGTAGCACAGCTGGTTAATCAACAGCAACAATAGATCACTGCCGACTGAAAGATGGCAAGTTCGAAGCCCAAGTCAGATTGAGCACCCGACTGTTAAGCCTAGCTTATTGTCCACTGAAGCCGTTCGAAAACAGCTGAGCTATGAGTAGAGAAATTAGGTACCGCTTAAAGCAGGGAGGTATTTTACAACACCATAAAAATGCCAAAGATGATGATGATGATGATGATGACGACGACAACACTTTATTTATATTCCGCCCTTCTCACCCCAAAGGTGCTCAGGGTGGATCACAGCACACAGACATTGCAAACAATACACAGACAGATAGAACAGAATGGAGATGTTGTCGACTCAGTGTCCAGCTGTTTTGTTTGTTTGTTTGTTTGGGGGGGTTTTGGTGCCAAGGAAGGTGAGTCCAGCCACAGTGGGTGCTGTTGCTCCATTCTCTATGACAAAAACGGTCAGGACTTCCTCCTCCCTTTTTGTTCACCTAGCATTTTCTGATCTTCTTTCTTTATGGCATCGTAAAACACCTCTCCCACTTTTAGCGGTACCTAATTTCTCTAAATACAGCTAAAGCTGTTTTCAAACTGCTTAGGTAAACGGTGAGCAGGGCTGACAGTCGACCGCTCACGTCGACTTGGGGCTTCGAACTTGCAACCTTTGGTTGACAGATCTTCTAGTTGCTGGCGATTTATCAGCTGTGCTAAACCTCCGGCAATCAAAGAACAAGGAGGAAATACAATCTAAAGGAGTCGGCATCAAGCGACAGCACCCCTTGTGGTCAGAATCGAGCATAACCTCCAGACACCAGCATTGGAAAATGCCAAATACCTCTGTCTGTCTTGTATGTCTAAATACGGTATTGAATGTTTGCCGTGTATGTGTGAATCATGATCCGCCATGAATCCCTTTCGAGGAGAGAAGGGCAGAATATAAATACTGCAGAAAAATAAATAAATAAGTAAATAAACACAAAAAAGACTCTGGGGGCTACATGTGGCCCATAACATACATGATTCCCAGAATGCACTAAATCCCTCTCTAGCAAAGACAAACACTGGTTCAGCACTGGTTCCTTCACCCACAGTAGGATCATAGGCAAGGAATTGGCACAAGTTACCTTTGTTCCTGCACTGCGCAACACCATCCTTCACTATACAGGTTTTATTCTCCTCGCAAGCATTGGCTTCACAGATGACACCCCCAGCGGCACTACAGATGCATTTCTCAGTGCAGTCGTTCAGCAGGATCTCTTCATTAGGCTTCACGACAGGAGAGGCATCCACAGGCAAAGCAAATTGGAAGAGAAGACATATTTCAGAACCACAATGCTCACTGGATTCATCATTTGTTTTTGGTGTGATTATTTTTTTTAAGAATTTTTTTAAGCTGCCTTGAAGAATGTCTGGCCCTGGCTCAAAAATAAATAATTACAAGCAGAAATTGCAAGGAGGAGCAAGCTTCTAATTAAAACAACAAGTCAACCTGGGAAGCCTTAACTTCACTTTAATAGTGAGGCTGCCAGGACAATCAATGCTGTTAATGAAAGTTCTCTCCATAAATCACATTCAAAAAGACACCAGGAATATGCAACAGACTGGCAATAAAAGCCCTTCATTCAGCCACATTTCCACAGGTGAGGAATGTACAGAACCTATGTTACCCTTTAATGCTGTGTTCCCAGGTATAGGACTATATCTGGACACTTTAATGCTGCCAGCCAGTGAATGACTTTGTTGCAGAAGCGGGAGAGGGCTGATGCAGGGATCGAAATGTGAGTTTATAGGGACAATGAAGAAGAAGACATTGCCTTACTCTGGCAAAGCATTATCCCATATCTTCCTTTTCCAATCCCCCCCCCCCCAAAACCTATTAAAGATACAGTGTTTTCTCACTTATGATGGGTGTTCCTTTCCAGGACCACCCGTAATAAGTGAAAATCCACGAAGTAGGAATGCCATGCCCACTCAGCAGTGGCCTCCTCCTCCTCCTCGCCACCTCCGCTGCTCCCAGCCTCAGAGGCCCCTTGGGTGCCGTTGATGGCACTGCCAGGCTGGGCTGAGGCCTCCGAGGAAGGAGCGGGGAGCAGCAGAGGCGGCAAGGAGGAGGAGGAGGCCACCGTCAATGATTCCAGAGACAAGTCCCAGGGTAAGGCCCAGCGCTTGGAACCCCTCCTCTTCCTCCTCCTGAAACAGCAAGTCCGCAAAAAGCGAACCACGAAACAGCGAGGGACCACTGTATCTCTTTATCATATTCAATCTTGCAACCCTGGGGATCTCTCTATAAAATTGTTTCTCAACCTTCCTAATGCCCTGACCCCTTAATACAGTTCCTCATGTTGTGGTGATCCCCAACCATAGCATTATTTTCATTGCTTCTTCATAACTGTAATTTTTCTACTGTTATGAATCATAATGTAAATATCTGATATTGTATTTTCATTTACTGGACCAAGTTTGGCATAAATACCCAATACTCCCAAATTTGAATACTGGTGGGGTTGAAGAGGGTTGATTTTGTCATTTGGGAGTTGTAGTTGCTGGGAATTATAGTTAACCTACAAACAAAGAGCATTCCGAACTCCACAATGATGGAACTGAACCAAACATGGCACACAGAACTCCCATGACCAACAGAAAATACTGGACGGGTTTGGTGAGCATTGACTTTGAGTTTTCGACTCATAGTACACCTACATCCAGAGAGCAGTGTGGACTGAAATCATGATGGATCAGGACCAAACTTGGCATGAATACTCAATATGCCCAAATGTGAACACTGGTGGAGTTTGGGGAAAATAGTCTTTGACATTTGGGAGTTGTAGTTGCTAGGATTTATAGTTCGCCTACAATCAAAGAGCATTCTAAACTCAGCCCACAATGAATCTGCACCAAACTGGGAACACTGCCTACATGGCCAACATTGCACACTGGTGTGGTTGGGGGGAGCTGTTTTTGAATTCTGGGACTTGTAGTTCACTCAGAGAGCACTCTGTATCAAACTGGTGATGCAATTAGTAAGCTTGCCACACAGAACTTGTCTCAGAAACAGTCCTCCCCTTGGCTGAGAGGCCAGCTAATCACAGTGGAGGAGGGCTTTTGGTGGGAGGATTTGCCATCTGTTTCCAAAAAGGAAGAGAAGGTTTCTAGTGGAGAGATCTTCAGCCTTCTCTGCCAAAGGGGTTCTGAAGACCACCAGAAATATATGTCTTCCAACGGTCTTTGGTGACCCCTCTGAAACCCCCCTCGCAGCCCCCCCCCCAGGGGTCCCGAGCCCCAGGTTGAGAAACACTGCTCTATAAGGACTCCCATTGTACAAATCAAATGGCTAATGCAGAAGTGTTCCATGAAAAGCTTCTGTAAGCACCATCGGACAACATCGTCAGCCTCCAAATGGTCTTTCGCTTGACATACCGGGAAGTATATGTTGTTCTCAAAGCAACCACAATCGTCCATGGAGACACATTTGATGCCATCAAAGAAGAATCCGTCATCACACTGGCAACCTTCTGCACAGCTTTCTGGGCACTTGAGATTATCCGTGATCCCAGCACAGTGGGTCTCACAGATGTCAGTGCAGGTGCTATAATGGCTGTTGGGTGGGCAAGTCAGAGCTGCAGGAAAAATCGGAGAGGGATAAATCACTGAGGGTGGGAAGAAACTCAGGGTAGCTCAGACAGGAGAATTGCATCTTCCTATTTTTGTTAGGGACATGTGGTACCATGGTCACAATATTAATGTGATGTGCTGATGGGGAGATGTGGTATCAACCAAAGCAGAAGAACAGCTAGTATGATGTGCTGTGTGGCAGCCAATTTGCCAGACATCTCATTCTCTCACTAGGGTGAAAAGTGAGACAGACTGCAGAATTACATCTTCCACCTTTTTTTGGGGGGGTGGGGGGGTGGGAAATGTTTCCATTGTGACCCAGGTAGCCCTCCTCCCCTTCTTTTCAGTACCTATGATACTGCTGTTTGTACAAAACTTGCTATAAAAAATACAAAACAGGACTAATCCATTTCAATGCCAGTTTGCCTCCTTTATGTTAAAGAGACCCCAGCTCCCAAATTCTGTTTTTGTTCCCAAAGGGAACTGAACTACACTGATAAACATTAAAGTATCTTGCACTTCACAAAGGTGCTCATCTCCTATCTGATGGTCTCAAACTTGATAGTGCAGAGTCAGACACATTGAAAGAGACCACCACCAATGTGGCACCTAGGAGGAAATATATATTGGGATTCTCTTCTTTAAAAACTGACAGGAATTGGAACACAGGAACAGAATACGAATGGATCGTAATAAACTAGAAACAAAAAAATTAAATAGAGACAAATGCAAATTTATATTGTTAGTCCACAAAAAGCAAATGCATAGGTATAGGATGAGAAATGCATCGCAAAGGGAACATTTCCCATCCCTGTTATTGAAAGCTCCATCCCGTTTTTTACCCTGGAGAAAGAATGAGATGTCTGGCAAGTTGGCTGCCACTCAGTCGATCGCATTGATCTTGAGAGCAAAACATCCAAAGAAAGATAGAACGAGGCGGACACATTCACTTGGTGAGGAGAAGTCTAAGGGTTGGCGTAACTGCCGTCTTTAAATACCTTTTTTTGGGTCAGGAGTGACTTAAAAAACTGCAAGTTGCTTCTGGTGTGGGAGAACTGGCTGTCTGCAAGGACATTGCCCAGGGGACACCCAGATGTTTTACCATCCTGTGGGAGACTTCTCTCCTGTCCCTGCATGGGAAGCTGAAGCTGACAGATGGGAGCTCACCCCACTACCCAGATCTGAACCACCAACCTTTGAGTCAGCAGTCCTGTTGGCACAAGTGTTTAACCCATTGCACCACTGGGGGCTCCTTTTAAATACCTCAAGGGCTGTCACTGAGGGAATGGATTCTAATGCTTTTAAGTTACAGAAGGGTAGGTTTCAACTGAATATTAGAAGGAAACACTTAACAGTGCGAACAGCAGGCAATGGATCCAGTTGCCGAGTGGTGGTGTGCCCTCCTATAGAGTTGGAAGAGACCTCATGGGCCATCCAGTCCAAGCCCCTGCCAAGAAGCAGGAAAAGTGTGCTCAAAGCACCCCCAACAGATGGCCATCCAGTTTCTGTTTAAAAGCCTCCAAGGAAGGAGCCTCCTATTCTGAACAACTTCAAAAAGACACTGGGGATGCTTCGGCAGGGGAGCCCATGCTAGGTGGAGGTTAGAATCAATGGTCCATGAGCCCCTTTCCAACATTATGATTCCCCAATTCTAAAAACAAGGAAAAGAGCAGAATCTGTATCTAATTTCAACTCACGGCAAAACGAGGCACTCCTCCAAGGCTGGATGTCGACCTTGGCTTCTTGACAGACAGCGACATAACTCTGGATGGCCTGGCACAGGGCATTCTTGTCCTCACCTCCTATACACATTTTAAAGATACAGTTGTTCAGGTACATATTGGGGTCCACAATGGCATGGCAAGCCTGGAAAGGCCCATCAGAGGCTGTGAGGATCCCACAGGAGCTGCGCTGCTTAAAAAGTTCTTCCTTCTCTTTCCCACAAATTGGAATGCTGGGACCTTTGCATCCATCTCTGCAGGAGGCACCAAGGACTGGGATTTTCCAGGCAGAAACAAATTCAATCACATCAGATACGACTTTGCCACCAGGAAGCTGAAGATCATCCTCCTTCTGTCCATTGTAGTTGCCACACAAGCCTGTCATTTGACCCTGATAGGTGTTGGGAAAGGTGATCCTCAGATGGTCATTCTGGTCATAGATCAGTGTCAAGCCAAAACCACTCTCTATCCTGATGTTTAATCCAAACTGATAGATTCTCACCAGCCCATCCAAAAGATTCACAGGGAGGTAATGGAATACTTCATCCACCTGCAGGAATGAAAAGGATGTCCTGTTTAGGAAGGTGCATTTTGTAGATCGACAATAAATTACATGATTGGCATTGACTTGGACGTTTCCCAATTTTTTTCTTCCAAACACGGGTCTTTAAAATATATACTGGGAGAACACGATTGTGTACAAACACTTAATAAAGTAGAAATTCAACTTTTGAAACAGGATATTATATAATTCCATGGTCAAGGATGAGTGAGTACTGTGTATAGTCATCCATAAGTAGACAAAAATATTGCAAAAAATGCTCAACTCAAAACAAGCCCATCTTATAGACAAGTCAATTCCTTGAAAATGTACCAGAATCATAGAATCATAGAATCAAAGAGTTGGAAGAGACCTCATGGGCCATCCAGTCCAACCCCCTGCCAAGAAGCAGGAATATTGCATTCAAATCACCCCTGACAGATGGCCATCCAGCCTCTGTTTAAAAGCTTCCAAAGAAGGAGCCTCCACACACTCCGGGGCAGAGAGTTCCACTGCTGAACGGCTCTCACAGTCAGGAAGTTCTTCCTCATGTTCATGGAATCTCCTTTCTTGTAGTTTGAAGCCATTGTTCCGTATCCTAGTCTCCAGGGAAGCAGAAAACAAGCTTGCTCCCTCCTCCCTGTGGCTTCCTCTCACATATTTATACATGGCTATCATATCTCCTCTCAGCCTTCTCTTCTTCAGGCTAAACATGCCCAGCTCCTTAAGCCGCTCCTCATAGGGCTTGTTCTCCAGACCCTTGATCATTTTAGTCGCCCTCCTCTGGACACATTCCAGCTTGTCAATATCTCTCTTGAATTGTGGTGCCGAGAATTGGACACAATATTCCAGGTGTGGTCTAACCAAAGCAGAATAGAGGGGTAGCATTACTTCCATAGATCTAGACACTATGCTCCTATTGATGCAGGCCAAAATCCCATTGGCTTTTTTTGCCGCGACATCACATTGTTGGCTCATGTTTAACTTGTTGTCCACGAGGACTCCAAGATCTTTTTCACACGTACTGCTCTCGAGCCAGGCATCCCCCATTCTGTATCTTTGCATTTCGTTGTTCCTGCCAAAGTGGAGTATCTTGCATTTGTCACTGTTGAACTTCATTTTGTTAGTTTTGGCCCATCTCTCTAATCTGTCAAGATCGTTTTGAATCCTGTCAGTGACAAGAACTACTCCTATTCCATTGCTCCTCCCTTTCCTGTGTAACATGGAGGAACCTCAAGAATGTGACATGCATGCCATTTTGGACATGTCAGGTGGAGTGGAGGTGTGGTGACTATTTTTAATAAACGCTTCCAGAATAAAATAAAAAAAATCTGTGCACATATAAGCATTTACAATATGATCCTATTAAGAGTGAGGCTAACAATGTCTCTGCAGAAATGCCTATGCAGGAAACACTGATTGAAAATGGGTACAGCTATTCCACTCAACCTCAAGCACTAATCTGCTCCAACTCAATGATGGGCACACCACATTGCCAAGGGTCATTCATGCTGCAGATGAACATGGCTCAGGTCACAAAAGAAGCAGCTGGTCACCTCATCATGTTGGGTTTTTTGGTTCCCCTTTTCCTCTTCTGGATGGGGCCTTCCTAGGGCCATCAAACAAAGCTTGCTTGACCCACCCTATTCTTCTCAAAGTGGAGGGGAAGCATTGCAAGATGCTTCCTCTGAAAAGAAAAATGGATTCCCTTGGAACTAAAGAGACCAGTATCTACTTATTGCAGTAATGCAAATGTATCTAAACACATAGAAACCCAATGTATGCACACAAATACAAATGTCAATAAAACATAGGATTGTTATATTCACATTTAACAGAAATAATTTGTTCTTTTCTTGAAATATGAAAAAAAAATTCTTGACGTGTGTGGAAATAGTCCTTGTGTCTTTACTACAGATGAGTAGACTCCAAGTCCTTGCATTGTAAATGTCCTATTTTCTTTATTACACAACAGTAGACTCCAATATTCACACGGTTCTGGCCCAGACTACCTGTCTGAACATATCTCCTGCCACGAACCATCACGAAGTTTAAGATCTTCAGGAGAGGCCCTGCTCTCGATCCCACCAATATTGCAAACACGGTTGATAGGGACGAGAGACAGGGCCTTCTCAGCAGTGGCCCTGCCTATGGAACGCCCTCCCTAGAGATATCAAATTGGCCACCTCCCCTTTGTCTTTTAGAAGGAAAATCAAGACCTGGTGATGGGACCAAGCGTTTGATCAGTGAGCAGCAAGTGGAAGAAGATCACACAACTTATGGCAATGAATTGACCCGGACTGGTTTTTGGATTTCAATTTTAATGGATGTGTCTTAATTAATTGTTTTAATTGTTGTTTTAATTCTTAATATTTTGATTGTACTGTGGTTGTTTTTATGATGCTAGCATTGGGGGGAGAAGGGTGGGGTATAAATATAGGAAATAAATAAATAATAAAATAAATGTCCTATTTTCTTTATTACACAAGAATAGACTCCAACGTTCAACCAGTTTCAACTCACAGGAGTCTTCATCAGATAGTTGAGTCTATAAACAATACATATTATTAATACACACACACATATAGTTTATCAACTGGAAACATCAAGTTCGTAAGTGTGTGTGTGTGTGTCTATGCACACACATATACACACTACCTACTCGTTTATCAAAAAAGCTCAATATTTGAGGCAAATGGTCTTCTGACAGTGTTCTTGAAAAGTGGACTCAGAAAAAGATTTTTTTTCATCTTTCAAGAAAAGAACAAATCATTTTTGTTAAATGTGAATATAACAATCCTATGTTTTGTTGGTATCTGTATTTGTAAGCATACATTGAGTTTCTATGCAAGATGTTTTTTTGGCCATGACTGAGAGGTAAGTGTGCTTTGGAGCTACCCACATTTTTTCCCCTTTCTTCCATCATGGGGGAAAGGGCAATGCTGCAACGGGTGTTGCCCCCTTTCACCTATTTGATGGGGTCAGGGTGCCAACACACCTTGTCCCACCAACACCACATGATAGGGGAAGGAGGGAGGGCACGCAGAGTGCCACGGGGCACACAACTGCCAACAGAAAGGTACCACCCCAGGGGCTGTGTGAAGAGATATTAAGGAAGGAGGGATTGGGAGAGGGCTGCCTTTCTTTCTCCAGTTTGAGCAAAAGAAGGGTAATAGGATTAGAGCATTACACTTCTACCTCTTGTCAGTGCCTTCACATTGAGTACCTAATAGAGATAGGTTGCTTTCCTTATGTATACTGCCCACATTTTTTTTACACTGCATTTTGCAATTTTGTCCCAAAAAATCTGCCCTCGACTTTTACATAAAGTTTGTTCTCAAGGGATAACAGCTCGGAAATACTTCTTTCATATGTCCTAGAAAAGGTTGTGATAAATTCATAGTTTAATTCATGTGTGAGTACCCTGCCCCTCAGTGGCGACATGAGGAACAGTTTAAAAAGCTGGGCATGTTTAGCCCGCAGAAGAGAAGGCTGAGAGGAGACCTGATGGCCATGTATAAATACGTGAGGGGAAGTCATAGGGAGGAAGGAGCAGCCTTGTTTTCTGCCCTGGAGACTAGGATGCGGAACAATGGCTTCAAACTACAAGAAAGGAGATTCCACCTGAACTTTAGGAAGAACTTCCTGGCTGTGAGAGCTGTTTAGCAGTGAAACTCTCTGCCCAGAGTATAGTGGAGGCTCCTTTGGAGGCTTTTAAACAAAGACTGGATGGCCATCTGTCAGGAGTGCTCTGAATGAATTTTCCTGCTTCCTTCAGTGGGTTGGAATGGATGGCCCACAAGATCTCTTCCAACTCTATGATTCTATGAAATTAGCATGAAGTGACCTACCATGATGATTCCCACTTTGTTCCGCAGCAAAGTAACCGCAGTGCCTGAGATTTCTATACGGACCAGCTTGATCGCAGTCCTCTTGCTATTCCGCAAGGCTTCATTCTCTACAACAACAGTAATGGGTCTCAAGCCCACAATATTTTCCTGCAGCTTGGCAAGAATGTAGGTGCAGGTACTCTGGAAATTAAAGGACACGCTATCAAAGGTTTGATAAAAGTAGCCAGTAGCAGAGCAGGTAGCACTTCCAGTTGGGTGGCATTTCTGGACACCACCCTGCAATTTGCACTCTTCTTTGGGGCCACAGCGGATGACTTCACACGCCACTGTCCCACTGGCCTGACACTGGCAGCGTTCTTCACAACTTGGGTAGAAGTACTCCAACATTGGATAGTACTGGCCCTGATGGAAACATCCACACTGGGCAATTGGGACACAAGCATCATTGCTCTTGATGAAGCCTTTGTCACAGACACAGTTCTCCTCACATTTGGCAGGGCAAGACGCTGGAACATAAAGAGTGCTGCAGCTCTGGCCACACTCCTTGGCACATAATTCATAGTGACTGTTTTTAGGACAAGCTGGGGCTGCAGACAAAAACAGAGAGATTGGAGTTGTTAATGTGTGCCATCACGTCATTCCCTAAAACATATTACAGATGTTCCTAGTAAGATTAATTCAGGTGAAGATTAATTCTGAGAGTGAAAGCGAATGTTCTCCTGAAGTCACATAGTGAGTCTCTGTGACCAAACAGGGATCCGAACACAGGACACTAGGAGTCCTGATCAAATATTTAAACCACACCGAGTCCCCAGAGATTCATGAGGGATGTCTAATACATACTTATGCAATACATAAGTATATAGGCCTAAAACTGAGACCAATAATCCCACACTCGCTTAAGCAACCAATGTTGTGACATGTGGTTAAAGGTAAAGGTTTCCCCCTGACATTAAGTCCAGTTGTATCAAACTCTAGGGGTTGGTCTTCATCTCCATTTCTAAGCCAAAGTGCCAGTGTTGTCCATAGACACCTCCAAGATCATGTGGCTGGCATGACTGCATGGAGCGCCGTTACCTTCCCATTGGAGCAGTACCTATTGATCTACTCACATTTGCATGTTTTCAAACTGCTAGGTTGGCAGAAGCTGGGGCTGAAAGTGGAAGCTCATGCTGCTCCCCAGATTCAAACCTGCGATGTTTTGGTCAGGATGTAGGAGAAGGGAAAACAGCAGGAGAAGCCTCCCCACCACCACCTCACCATTCTTTCTCTTGAACTTTGTTGGCATTACCCCATGTAGACTGCCTTGTATCTGTGCCTAATTTACCCTCTTGTCTTCAGGGTACAACCGCAATATATTGGTACTGCTTTTCTTATGGCTGTCTATGGACATCAAAGGCACATGTTTCCCATTGGCCTCAACTGGAATATTTTACAGACTAGACACACTTTGAGGCTGTTCCAAGTTCTTATTCTCTGTCTAGAGTTATTGGAACCTGCTTATTAAACATTTAAATTATCTGCTCCTTAGTTTGACCTCTGCATTATGCATTGTGACCTTCACAAACAATGAAGATCAGCCAAACTTTGTGAAATAATAATGCAACCCTCAAAAACTAGAATATGAATTTTGTGCCTTTTTTGTTGGCCTAATAAAAGTACCACTATAGAATGCTATTTCATGGTTATATGAAACTATAAAGAAAGCTGAAATCTGTTAAATTACATCACTTCTGGTTCCAGAATGCTACAGACTTTGCCGGTGGGTTTAAGAGTTTGCATAGTCCTCTAACACAACTCTATGATAATTTCATTGCAAACATAACAGAATCCCTTGCTTCAGGCCCGTAGCCAGGATTTTGATTTGGGGGGGGGGGGGGGGCTGAGTCTGAGTGAAAGAGGGTCTACCCTATCAAACCTTTTGTATCGTTACCCCAATACCCCCATGCATATGGGATATATTGAGCATGGTGATCAGATCATGATATGAATAAACATAACAGTTTAAATAATATACCAGTAAGGCTTTCTCGCGGACCACCATGAGAATTTGGGGGGGGGGTGAAGCCCCTCAAGCCCCCCCCCCCCCGCTACATGCTTGCCTTGCTTGATCTACCAAATTCCTAGACAGATCATTTTTTTAGACATGAATAAACCATGTATTTACACTCTCTTCCCCAAGAAGAATTTGATTTGAATCATGTGGCACTCACGACAGAAGGTTGAAGATCTCCAAGTATATTCCTAGAGAGACCATTTTCCCCAGATACAGGAAGAGGGAAAAGACTAAATAATATGTTAACAATCTGCTCCCTCATTTATACTGWCTCTTCTCCTCTTAATCTACAGACAAATGCTACTGGAAAYTGACTTGTACTCCCCCAAGAAGAATTGATTTGATTCATGTGGCACTCACGACAGAAGGTTGAAGATCTCCATGGGTAAATAGTAATCCCAGCAGCTTGGCAAGCTTTGGCATAGTTGGCAATTGCAGAACAGATYGCAGTATAYTGTCCCTTGAAGAAACAGGAGTCATAGARACAATCCAAGAAAGCATCTTCTGGMTCAATARGTGCATGGCATTCCCMGAAYGGCCCYTCCTTGGCAATAATYAGCCCACAYTCCTTGCCCGAGGCACGRTGCTGGTCTCGCATGGRTTCCATGCCTGGGCACTTTGGATCAGTGATRTCAATGCACTTTGGGTCAGGTTTCTTAGTCTTCCCAAATACTGGAATGCTGGGAATAAGGATAGTACCAGGCACAAGGCCATCATCTTTGCAGTTCCCATTGAAGTTCCCACACAGACCATGCAGGATGCCTGCATATGTGCTGGGTACAGTGACAAAAACATGGCCATTCCAGTCAAAACGGACAGCAAGGCCAAAGTTTGCCTGGATCACAGCATTGTTGCCCTGCTTGAATGCCTTGACTCTTCCTCCAAATGAGCTATACGGAAGGGAGGTCAACAAGCCACTAACCTGTGAAGAAGGGAGAGACGGAAGAGATTCAACAAAAGAATCTAAAGACTTAGAGGAAAGCATCAACACAGAGAACTAACCCCCACTGGCATAATCCTTCTCTGAGTTTATGCACTAAGATCATAAACCATAGCTGATACTCTACAGCAAGCTTCAATAACTTGTAACCAGCCATACCAAGTGCAGTCAGCTAGCCACATATGACAGTCCCTTAGATTCCTAATCTATTGGTTGATCACAATATTCATATGGCAGGTTTCATCTTCCCATAGACTAATCACCTGATCAAGAATCTGATGGAAGAGGCACAAGATGGAAATGTCAAGTGGTTTTAGTGGACTAGGGCCTTCTAGTGGCTCAGCGGGTGTAACCACTGAACTGCTGAACTTGCTGACCGAAAGGTCAACAGTTCGAATCCAAGGAGTAGGGTGAGCTCCCACTGTTAGCCCCAGCTCCTGCCAACCTAGCAGTTTGAAAACATGCAAATGTGAATAGATCAATAGGTACTGCTTCAGCGGGAAGGTAACGGCACTCCATACAGGAATGGCGGCCACATAACCTTGGAGGTGTCTACGGACAATACCGGCTCTTTGGCTTAGAAATGGAGATGAGCTCCAACCCCCAGAGTCAGACACAACTAGACTTAATGTCAGGGGAAACCCTTTACCTTTTAGTAGTGAACTATGAAACTGTATATGGCTCAGGTTCAGATTATTTAACAGATTGCATTTCTTTGTATTCTGCTGAACTGGATTTATGTAATGGTTTTTTAGTCTGATTTTATAATTGTGTTTCAATTTACCTGTAATAATAGATTTAGTTTAACTATATCTTTTTGGTATTAGCTGTTTAGTGTTCTTTCAGGGTAAAGATTATGGTTCAGTCAATATAAAAAATATAGCATTTATTTGGTAAGTAAGCTGCCTTGATCCCTATATTGGGAGAAAGGCAGGATAAAAAAGTATTAATAAAAATAACATAAGTTACATTGTTGAGGATCAGCCATCTCAGATTTCACAAAGGTGGGCTCTGTCAGTTAATTGAGTTAAAGCAACAGTAAATCAGAAGCCTTTAACTCAGTCTTTTCAACCTTCACAAGAACTCCTCTTGAAAGCACGAAGATAAAATAGTTCAAATGGACTCATAAATTCAGCTTTCAATGAAAGTGGTTCTTTTTACTTTATTTACAAGAACTCCAGTAGAGTCTCGCTTATCCAACCTTCACTCATCCAACATTCTGTATTATCCAAAGTAGTCAACCTCTCGCCCGAATCCACAGCTGTTTCAATACATTGCAATGTTTTGGTGCTAAATTCGTAAATACAGTAATTACTACATAACATTACCATGTATTGAACTGCTTTTTCTGTTGATTTGTTGTAAAACATGATGTTTTGGGGCTTAATTTGTAAAATCATAACCAAAATTTGACGTTTAATAGGCGTTTTCCTTAATCCCTTCTTATTAACCAACATCTTCGCTTATCCAACATTCTGCCGGCCGGTTTATGTTGGATAAGCAAGACTCTTTATTTATTACAGACTTGGAACATGCCAATGCTCATTCACATCATGGCAAAGAAGAGAGCACATTGCCTTTCTTTTACGGTTGGAACAGAAAATGGCATTTCTGACCTTCTAGCAATTTTTCACACCTAGATTGTATTACATTATAAACTAATGAATTTCTGAAACATTTCTGACATATACCATTTAAAATACATGCTATTTTCACTCAAATACCATAAAACACTGGCAGACTCATGCTCATGCTTAGCAGCTGTTAACTTACCAAGATTTTACCTGGAAACTGCCTGCTGACAACAATCTCCACATTAAAGACATTGACTTGCACACTCCGAGTCCAGGTCACATGTTGATTTCCCCGATGTTCATTTTCAACATACACACCAAACCACTCCACGTCCTTTATGGTTTGATCCACTTCAGAAAGCACATAGGAACAGCTCCCTTGGAAATCATACTTGCATTTGTCATAGGTAAGATAGTGGGGGTCTCCCTGCGCTGTGCAGTTACCGTAGTCAATGGGGTAGCAGCCCCGCATGCCCTTCTGCACGTCACATATTTCTGAGGCTTTGCAAGCACTGGGTCCACACTCCACTTGCTTTGTGGCTGGGTTGCACACGCATAGCTTTGAACACTTGTCATCGGCCCAGAATCTCTCATTGGGGGCATAGGGGCGTCCTTCGTAATAGCATCCACAGCTGCTCTTTGGAATGCAGGTCCCGTGGCTCAGCACAAAACCTTCTTTACACTGGCAGCCTTCCACACAAATAGCCTGGCACAGTTCCCTTTGATCTGTACAGGTGGCAGGACAGGCTGTTCCACAGTCCTGGTACTCACTGTTTGGAGGGCATTGCAAAGCTGTGCAAAAAACAGTGACGTTTTACAATCGTGAATGTGATGTGGGCCGGCAATATAGGCTATCAGAGGGTAAAGGTTTTTATTACAAATCTGTAAGAAATTAGTGCCATAAATTCATAGAGTTAGAAGAGACCTCATGGACCATCCAGTCCAACCCCCTTCCAAGAATAAGGAAAAATGCATTCAAAGCACCCCCAACAGATGGGCATCCAGCCTCTGTTTAAAAGCTTGGAAAAAGCCAGATTGGATCCATCCTGCCTCATATTGCTCCATAATCTGGGACATCCTGCGTGGCATCCTGTGTGGCAAAGGGGAGAAAGGAACTTCTTGACAGCCAGTGGTTCCATGATGAAACCAATTGTCTCAATTTGGATGGAGAGCTATCTGTAGGGAATGCTCCAGCTGCAAATCCTGCACTGAGGAGAGAGTTCGAGTTGATGGCTGATAGGACCCCATGCAGCTGTAGTCAGGACAAAAGTACAATTTAGATCAGGCATGGGCAAACTAAGGCCTGGGGTTTATTTACAACTTTTATTTGCCGCCCTTCTCACCCCGAAGGGGACTCAGAGTGGCTTACAAGTTATATGTACATACAATATATTATATTATTAGCATAGCACAGTATTAGTATTCCATATTACTATAATGTACTATACCATTATACTGTAATATTATTCATCCCCTGCCACACATTGCTGTGGCCCAATCTGTGTATATGTCTTGTGTGTGTATATATATATGTTTGTGTATATATTTCTGTATATGTGTATGTAAATGGTTTTGTGCATGCGTTATAATGTATTTTTTATTTTTATTTTTGGCTTTTTAAGTCTCTTTTATTGTGTTTTTCAATGTTTTTATGAGTGATGGTCATTTGTTGGCCTAATAGGTGTACTGTGTCCAACTTTGGTGTCAACTCGTCCAGTGGTTTTTGAGTTATGTTAATCCCACAAACAAACATTACATTTTTATTTATATTGATATTACATGTAATATGAAATATAAAATTATTATATATTATTATTAGTATTATATTGTATTACATTATAAAGTTATAATACTATATGTGTATACAATATATTATATTATTAGCATAGCACAATATTAGTATTCTATATTACTATAATGTACTATACCATTGTACTGTAATATTATTAGTAAAATTACATGTAATATGAAATATAAAATTATTATATAGTATTATTATTAGTATTATATTGTATTACATCATAATATCAATATTATATGTATCTACAATATATTATATAATTAGCACAGCACAATATAATATAATATAATAATATATTATATGATTACACACACACACGTGTGTGTGTGCTTATCTCAGGCCCTCCTCATTTTCCTTATCTTCTCTGCATAAGGACACAGTGGCCAGCCACATCCTTATGCAGAAAGGATGGGGGAGGAAGGCACACAGCACCACATGTCTCGCCCTCCTTCTGGCATAAGGGTGGTGTGAGCGGCCCTGTCCCTATGCCAAGAGGACGGCCTGAGGAAGGCATGTTGTGAGAGCCCTCCAGTGTGTCCTTGGCCATTGCCTGTCTTGCCCTCCTCCTGGCATAATGACGAGAGGACAGCCTGAACATCGGGGGAGGAGGATTGTGGTAGTCACTGCATGTCTGATTAATAGATAATAGTGTTGGAAAAGTCCACTTGGGCCATGTCCAACCCCCTTCCATGCAGGAAAAGCACAAAGTATCCCTGACAGATGGCTATCCAGCCTCTGTTTAAAGGTTTCCACTGTTGAACAGCTTGTATGGTCAGGAAGTTCTTCCTGATGTTCAGAATTGAAAAGGTGAATTCTGTAAATGCAGAATAGAGATGGGATACTCTGGGCTTCCTGGTGTTTTGTATTATTTTCCCCAAGAAGACTGAAGCCAAGATGGCAGTAGTGGAGCAGAAAAAGAAGCTGGCTTTCTGGAAGTTCACATTCCGGGGCATTGATCTGGATCAGCTCCTCGACATGTCCTATGAACAGCTAATGCAGCTCTACAGTGCCTGCCAGTGCCGCCAGCTGAACCGGGGCCTGTGCCGCAAGCAGCACTCTCTGCTGAAGCGCCTGCGTAAGGCCAAGAAGGAGGCACCGCCAATGGAGAAGCCCAAGGTGGTCAAGACATGATCATCTTCCCTGAGATGGTGGGCAGCATGGTGGGCATCTACAATGGGAAGACCTTAAACCAGGTGGAGATCAAGCTTGACATGACTGGCCACTACCTGGGGGAGTTCTCCATCACCTACAAGCCAGTGAAGCATGGCTGGCCAGGAATTGGGGCCACCTACTCGTCTCGCTTCATCCCTCTCAAGTAACAGGCCTTTGGGAAGAACTTGGGCGTGTCTCAATAAAGGGGCATCCCCCAGTCCTTGGTTCTTCGTGCTCTCTTTGAGTGTTGCAAAAGTACCGTTCCTCTAGGAAGACGGAGGGTTCAGACCCAATATTATTACTATTCAGTCCTAATGTCACACTGCACAAATAAATCTAATAATTGTATGAAACTACCGTAATCCCTTATGGTTGGCTATGCTACTTAGCAATAGAGGCAGAAGACAAAAAACAGAGGAGAGAAGGAGAGATTAATGGTTTTTGCTCAAACCATTCAAACAGATTTCAAACTTCCACCTCATTTTATTTCTCCTCTTACTTCTGCTGCCCTGGAAATATATATGTGCGCACTAGACGTGGTTAGGTTCCATTGGAATCTTCGGAATCTTTGGAAAGATTTGCTTTTTGAAGCAATTTCAACATTTTTAAGCAAACCGGAAGTCCCTTTGCCCTACCAAAGCTTTTTCTGCCATTTCTCTTATGAATCAGTAAGTGAGTCGATGTTTACCCACTTCTGATCCCTGGCCTCAACTCAAGCGGATGAATTTCCTCTCTCTCCTTCTGCCGGTCACCACCCCCTAGGTGTGCGCTCGCAGCCCTCTTTCCCCTGCGGACTTGGGCACCTCTCTCTCCCAGCGTTGGGAAGCCTCTGGCTGAGTGAAGCACTTGGAGAATGTGCCCTCTGCTGCTTCCCGTCTCCTTCCTCATGCTTCTTCTGTCCTTTCTGGACCCAGCCGGGGCTCCTTGCTCCCAAAGGCCGCCTTTGGCCTCGTTCCTCACTCTGGCCTGCACTGGGCAAGGAGGACACATCGGGTGCAGCACTCACAGAGACCTGCCTGCCTAAACTCCCTGGGCCAGGAGGTTAAAACTATTATTATTATTATTATTATTATTATTATTATTAAGAATGGATGGCCATCTGTCAGGGGTGCTTTGATTGTGCGTTCCCTGCATGAAGGCAGATGAGGGTTTGTTATTATTATTATTATTATTATTATTATTATTATTATTATTATTATTGAGATTGGGTGACCATCTGGAGGCTGGGCAAGCATTTTAAAATGGAGTGGTGAATTTCCTCTCTCTCTCTCTCTCTTTCCCCCTCCTTCTGCCTCGGATCAGTGGCAAGCATTTTAAAACGGAGTGGTGAATTTCCTTTCTCTCTCTTTCCCCCTCCTTCTGCCTGGGATAGCTGGGTTATGCCAGAGAAGCCGTTTTAAACCATTTTAAACCAGAGTGGATGAATTTCCTCCCTTTGCTCCCCCCTTCTGGAGTAAAACAACTATTTCAAAATAAAGACCACCCAGTGAAACAGGAAATAATACTGTTAAACCATTAACGAAGGATTCGGAAGTCTTGGAAGTTTTGAACTTTTTTTCATTGAAAATCGGAATTGACTTTAGATCCGAACCACCAGTGCCCCCTACATCCGAAACGAGTTTTGAACCATTTTTTTATCAACCAAGCCTAGTGTGTATCTGTCCTGTATGTTTTTTACAGAACTAAGAGGCAATGCATATTCTGCAGATTGGCATATGGTGTGTGTGAATGCATTACATGCTGTACACCTGAGCACATTTCTTCCATGAGTAAATCTTTCTAAAATTACTAGTAGGACCACCAGTTATCTGACTGCAGACCAGAGCCCATTCATCAAACATACTAATAATAATCCAAGGAGAAATCCATGTAAAGCTAAGATGGTATATTCACAAAGACGAAAACATCACCTTACTTGGTGGATGCCTAAACTTTTCCCGCAAAAAAAAATCATTTTGGGGGGAGAGCAGGGAGTTAATCCTAAAACCCTGCCCCCCCCCCCCCCATAAAGATAATGAAGACTGACTTGCAAATTTGGTAAACAATGACTGCTGACTCTTGGGGAGAAGGAATATGTAAGGGAGAGAGAGAGAGAAAGGATGACATATCGGGAATGCTGGTTCTTTGTCACACAAAATAATCACAGCATCCATTCAACACTCTAATAACAAAACTGGCTTAATGAGCTTATCCCCTTGCACACTTACGACATCCAGCAGTGCTCCTCCATTTTCCAATCTGAACTCCTTCTCTCTGGCAGGCATCTGCATAGGCCTTCAGGGCATCACACAGGGTTGGTTTGTGACCTTCATTGGCACAAGCATCATAGACACAGCTCTCAAAGAAGAAGGCAGGGTTCACCTTGGCATGGCAAGGGGCAAAGGGGCCATTTGAAGGTGCGGTTATCAGGCCACAATATTGCTCGGATCCATACTTTGTAACCAGATCAGGTCGGCAAGGCTGACAAGGCCCATGGCAATCGTGCCAGCAGTCGTCACCTTGGCCCTTCAGCCACCAACTTTTACCAAAATCATTGGCATCTGGAACCAATGTTCCTTCTGGTGTTGTGAAGTCATCTTTGGGATCCCCATTGTTGTTCCCACAAAGGCCAGAGACAAGCCCATAAAAAGCACTGCTGATGGTGACCCGCACATGGTGGTTCCAGTCATAAGACATCCTGAGCTGAAAGTCAGTGTTGACAACAACAGAGGTGCCACTCTGTGCAATCCACACTTTCCCTCCATTTAGACTGATAGGCAAGGGTGTCCGAATCCCATTGACCTGCATCAGAAGGAAATAAAAGATCATCGCTCGGATGAGAAACAATTACATTTCAAGGAAGGCCCCTTCTCTGCTCAGAAGCACAGAATTTGGTTGAATTGTTGGTAGAATCTCTCTTTCTTTTTGTGTATTTGTGAGTGATGTCACTCTGCTTTGTAACTTCACAAAGACTCACTCTTTATGACAAGACTCACCCTTTGTGACATAATAATGGGTATTTCTTCTGTCTCAGGTTTTGGCTGTGACACCAACAATAATTCCTGCACAACTTGGGGAAAGGAGAGCATTAAAGAGGGGCTAGTTCCACTTTTTCCCCAAGGTTTTTTTTTTTTTTTTTTTTGTCGTGTCAGGAGTGACTCCTGGTGAGAGAGAATTGGCCGTCTGCAAGGACGTTGCCCAGGGGACGCCTGGATGATTTGATGTTTTTATCATCCTTGTGGGAGGCTTCTCTCATGTCCCTGCATGAGGAGCTGAAGCTGATAGAGGGAGCTCATTCGCCTCTCCCCGGATTCGAACCTGTGACCTGTTGGTCTTCAGTCCTGCCGGCACAGGGGTTTAACCCACTGGGCCACCGGGTGCTCCTTCCTCTAGGTGAGCATGTGCCTTTGCTGATGTCAGCAAAGCTATCCAACAATGGCCAGCACATTCCATAAACATATAAAAGAATAGAGTGGGCAAAGAAATGAGCTTAGCTCATCCTGGGAGAATCTCAACTCTCTCCACCATGGCAACTACTTCTGGCTTTTTTAAAAACCTCTGTAGCAAAACTACAACAGTATTGACCCGGCTTCAGGGCAGTGCTTGCAGAATGAGCTTTGACTTTATCCTTGGGAACAAACAACATCTGTAACCACCCCCTGTAAATAAAACCCTGCCTTCAACTTATATAGAGAGTTGACTTAAATATAGGCAGTAAGTCAGTGTTTGTCAACCTGGGAGTCGGGACCACTGAGTGGGGGTCGCGAGGAGGTGTCAGAGGAGTCACCAAAGACCATTGGAAAACACAGTATTTTCTGTTGGTCATGGGGGTTCTATGTGAGAAGTTTGGCCTAATTCTGTCATTGTTGGGGTTCAGAATGCTCTTTGATTGTAGATGAACTATACATTCCAGCAACTACAACTCCCAAATGTCAAGTCTCTTTCCCCCAAACTCCAACAGTGTTCACATTTGGGCATATTGAGGATTTGTGCCAAGTTTGGTCCAGATCCATCATTGTTTGAGTCCACACTGTTCTTTGGATGTAGGTGAACTACAACTTCAAAACTCAAGGACCAGTATTTTCTGTTGGTCATTGTAGTTCTATGTGCCAAGTTTGGTTCAATTCCATCATTGGTGGAGTTCAGAATGCTCTTTGATTGTAGGTGAACTATAAATCCCAGCAACTACAACTCCCAAATGACAAAATCAACCCCCTCCAACCCCACCAGTATTCAAATTTGGGTGTATTGGGTATTTGTACCAAATTTGGTCTAGTGAATGAAAATACATCCTGCATATCAGATATTTATATTACGATTCATAACAGTAGCAAAATTACAGTTATGAAATAGCAACGAAAATAATGTTATGGTTGAGGGTCACCACAACATGAGGAACTGTGTTAAGGGGTCGCA